ATAAACTTCGATATCGGTACTATATTTTTTACAGATTGATTAAAAATGCGTCTGAGAACGTATGAATCAGAAGTTGAAAATTGCGGAAAAGCTGCAAATTTCATAAACAAGGAATTGTTCAACTTTTCCAAGCGAAGCCAAAAAAAATCCTTCCACTTTGCATCCTTATTTACTGCTTGGGTCTTCTTTACACACACACCGCCAAAAATGTCGTTACTCTCCCACAATTATAATTGATTATGTTTTCTTTCCCTTATTTTTTCTCCATTTGAGGTTGCTGTCCTAGACGGAACTTATATTCCACTTCAAATTTCCTCAAAAGCCGGGAAAAAGGAACGGAGAAAACGTGCAATAAATAACAAATTTGGGTAGATGATCCCTTCTCTTCTTTTTGTCTCTGGAAAAAGAAGCATAGTAGTTGTTATTCGTAGTTGGTTGGGTTCCGAAATAAATCAAGTTCAACGGCTTCATGAATTTGGAGTAAAAGAGAGTTAGTATAGTATAGAAGTGGGGCTTATTTTTCGTTTCAAGGATTTTTTTCCCGATAATCTTCAAATAGTAATTTTTAGAAAGATTGAATGAAGCAGAATTGGATTTTGAATCAAAAAGATGAGTCGCCAATGACTAGGAACAGGGGCAAATGTGTTCAATTCGATACTTTGCGACGTCATCTGAAATTCTATTCGATTTCAGCCTACCTTCACAAGGCTTTTACTAGAGAAGATTCGTGTTTCACACATCTGAATGAAGCGGTCAAAACAGTTTAGACGGAATGGTCAAAGATTTTGAGACTCAGGAAGTAACATTAGAGATATCAATGAGCGCCGTTTCGAGTGGTTTTTCAAGTTTCACACTTTTTCTTATTTCAAAAGTGAAAAAGAGAAGACCGGCTTGAAAGTTTCAAAAATCTGAAAAGGAATTTTTCTAATGACTGAAACTAGACGACCATAATGGAGTTTATCAGTACCTGTTCTGTTTACATTGAAGAGCCAGTTAGTTTTACGAGCTTTGTATCAAATAACAATCGAGGATACAAACAGTTACAAGTGTGATCATTGGAAAGGCAAAATAAGCTAGTTCTATGGAAAAACTGAGCCGAAAAGAAACTTTTTCATTTGAAGAACACGGATTTTTGAAAATAAAATTGAGCCGAGGCTATTTATTTTTCTGAACCTTGCGCCACACGAGACGGAGAATTCTCGAAGATCTGATAAATTCCACACCAAAAAAGCACGAACCTTTTTGGCTGTACAAAAGACCTCAAAACGCGTTCTATTTTGATCAGAGGGTTCAACTGACATCTGGCGAATGCCAAATAAAATCTGAGAAGCTTTCAGAGAACCACGAACGCAGTATTAGCTGCCAGAAGCGCGGGAGTTTGTTTTGACGACGACGGTTCTATGGGCGGACGGCAATTGAATTTCAGGATGATTTCGAAGCGCCGCGAAATTTCGCCCCTTCCATCTCAAAATAAAAATTCTCAATCTCACACAAATTCCTATGGCAGCAGAGCAGTCACGTCAAAATACTTCAATTAAAATGAGAGTTTTTTTTGGTAGGAATTGGAAAACTTAATGGGCAAATATTGCAACATGTGAGGGAAGCCTTGTTTTGGGAGTTTCGTAGTTGTTCAGCTGTTTGACGATTCGTCGGACCATTTGCTCAACTGTTTTTGTTCTTTTCCTATTCATTCGATTCGAGATAGGGATTTTTCAAATAAAGAAAAATAGATAGGGATCTTGAAGAATTGGATTATGATTCAGAAAAAAGCCTTTACTCCGTCAGTGGGAGTTTGGTACGTTTTGGAGATTTTCAATCACGGCTCGTGTGAGTCGGTTCGACGTCGGTCGCACCGTTAAAAAAACAGCTAATCATAAATTTTCGAAATAATCGAAACGAGTGCAAAAAAACTTAAATTCTAAAAAGTTGAAACCGAGAAATAGACTCGCTAGATTGAGAACAAAGATCATCCAACAAAAAAGACGAACAATTTCATTTGAGGCATTATTCTTGATTGGAAATTCCGGAGCAGGCGCGTTCAAACAAACAGACAGCAAAGTGAGAACAATATTGAGGAAGAAGTAGTAAAAATTCAAAAATTTCGAAGGCCTCCCCTACTAAAAAGTTCATGCTAAAATAGTTTCCTGTTGCCTTCTTTAGAAAGAAAACAAAGCGAGCAGCGCGAAATGTTAGAAATATTCATGATCAAGCTGCACGCAACTTGCCGCTATACCATCAGAAAACATTCGACGATGCATAAAAACCGTTTTGGACTTTTTCAAGTAAATTTGAGTCATTATAAGAAATTAAAACCGTTCCAAAAATATTGTTCCCGGACAGATTTTTCAACTTCGACAAATTTAAAAAATTATGACAACTTTGAAAAAACTTATCTTCTAAAAATTTAGAGTTTTCAAGACTAAACTTAATTCAAGAAATTCACTTACTTGAGCTGCGGAAGAAAAAAGACGTGACGTGCTTATTGTCCAAGGCCACACCCCCAATTGTCTGCTCTCCTCTCGAGTTTCCGTCATTACAATGAGGAAGTCCAGGATCTTTGTAAAGTGCAGACAGTTCTGAAATATACCTACCCACTTAAGAAAAAAATTAGAAGATGAGAATTATCTTTTAAAAAATTTTTTCAAATTAAATTTTGAAATTTGTAAAATAAACTTTTTTTTGCACGCTGTCGAATTTAATTTTCTCAAAGAGAAATTTTCTGGAAAGTTTTAGTCTTCTTGTCCATTTTATATACAACTTCCAATATGCTGTTGCGAAATCACCCCCACTCGCCACAGTTAAACTCATAACTTTCCGGCAGGTACATCAAGGAAAAAGTTTGTCGGGAGACAACTCAGAACTCGGCTCCGTGCTCAAAACACTCCCATTGGCGCTTCAACAGCTCCTCAGTTTTCTTTTGAGAAAAAAAGCAAGCGGTAAACAAATGGCCCCAACACTGAAGCTCATCTTTCGACATTACTGCCAGACTTGATAATAGAAAAAATATTCGTTCGCAAAGAAAAAGCTGTGGATCTGGTCTAGACCAATATACTTCAAACTATTTGATTTGGAGTTCCACGGTCGTACGAGAAATGAATCGAATTGTCGTGGTCTAAATTCAGTCTACAGTCTTCTTGCAACTTCGCATATTACACTATACTAGAAACACGAAAAAGAAATCCATAAAAGTTTGATTTGAATAAATAAAAGAAATTCTATTAATTTATTTGAATTTATTATCTAGTTCAACGACCATAAAAATCTGAGTTAAGGTAAGCTTCTGTTTTTCGAAATCCCCAACCGCAAAGTGAATTGCCTTCCCTTGTAAGGTTAGAAATAATCTTAAGGAAAACTTAAAAGCAAAACTAAGAAAAGAAGGATCATAAGCGTTCGAAAATTCCATCTACTTCAAAATCTAAAAAGAATTCAAAAAAAAAAACCGGGTTTATTTTTTACTTTAGTAGTCTAATTAAACCACCAATAACCGCGACTTCAACAAATTGCTTTGAGCTCATTGAGTTTGAACGTCGGGGTCCCAATTTACTATACGATTTCTCATCATTTGCACATGACCTTTAAGAAATCTAGTTTACATATGGGGACAAAACAGAAAGATGGCTATATAAATTGGAATGTTAATGAGTGAGTCTGAGTCTGGAGGTGTGCCGCACTAATTTTATTGAGAGCTCAGCCGCTGTATTTTACGACTTTTTAGCGTCACCTCCGCTTTTTTGTTCTTCTTGGGTGGCCGATGGGTGATAACGAGCAAAGCTTCTGGAAGTCGTATAGTACAGAGAAGAAAGAAATCAAAATACGCATGAAATTCCTAGAAGAGTTTGATTTGAACGAAAAACAAGTCTATTTTAAGACTTCGAAATCTTTCAATCATTTTTCTAGGAAGAAATTTTACCTAATTGTTTTGGGCTTTTTGAATCTTCGTAAGAAAACATTAAAATTAGACATAACAATTATCAAAGTAATTTGAAGACCGAAAACGTCTTTCCTAATTGAAAGAATATTCTTCGGGTGAGAAGCTTCTGAAAACTCCAAAAACCTAAGAGCTCTGGAAAGAGCACAAATCAAATGTCATTTCAAGTTACTTGAACTTTCAAAAGTTACACAGATTTATGATGTTGGCTGAAATCGTGGGAAAATGAAAAAATGGCCGTGCAAAAAGCCTTTGCGTACATAAAACTTCCCACGGAGGATCAAGAAGCCTCAAAACTTCTCTGTTATTTTTGCGAGCTCATGAATATGTACGAATGAAGAATATGGCGGACAAAAATAAGAGAATAAGAAAAGTTTTGCTTCCAGCATGTCAGTTCAACCTTTTCAGAGAATGCATCTTTGTTGAATGAATAGTTAAAAAAATTAATGTTTTTAAAAAAATTTCAATAAAAAAGAAAAAAATTAAATTAAACTTACCAAATGTATCTGCGCGAAAAATCTCTCTTGACGATTAAGTTCAATCGGCGCGTATGGAAACGATTGAATTTATTTTTTCCAGCTCCCGTTAATCATGTCTCTCTCATCCATTTGAAAACGCCTTAAACTTTTGTTTTATTGTTCAATCATCGCTGACTTTGGACATGATTTTAACAACAGTCTTCAAAGTATCACTTGATTGTATTTTCTCCCAAAATAGCGATGGAGTAATCTCATTTTGAAGTGCTCATTTTGAACTGCAGAGCATGTTCGCGAAAAACTTCGAAATTTTGAAAAAAACGTCAGTTCTGTGGAGCGCGCTTTCCTTATTTTCTTCTTTCGAAAAAGAAATTTCACACAGTTTTTCTCCTTTTTTAAACTTCTTTATTTTCATTTGGAATGAAAAAATGTTTTTTTTTTTTGTGGATAGGAAAGAAACTTCAGTCATGCAGCTGCTCGTTCCCAATTCGCTCATCGTCGACTAGAAGAATACGAAACTTCTACTGAAGTTAAACGTTGAAAAATTATAAGGTTTGTTTGTAATAAACAAAGTTTTTGATTTAGTTTGTTCAGTTATGGAAGCTCGTGTTGTGAAGCTAGTTGAACAAGCGACTGGTTCTCTGAAAAAAGCTGTAACTTACGACAAAGCCAAGAAATTTAACGATGCTCTACCCAAATACCAAGAAGGAGTAGCTTTTCTCATGGATGCACTCAAGTGGGTTATTTTCTATTTCATTTGGTAAGAAATTTGTCAGAATTTTTTATAGTATGCTCAAAAAATTTTTTAGATGCGTTTGAATAAACACATACATTTTAAAAATGTGTCTAGAAGCTCTTTCAATGTTATTTTGGTTATGTATGACTTCTTCGTTTCAAACTTTTGAACACAATATTTTTGGGAAGCAGTATAAATATAATTCATTAGATTAACGTATTCAGCCTATTGACTGAGGCTGATACTCGGAAGGCTGTATTTCGGACGAAAATAGATGAATACATACGGCGAGCTGAAGAACTTAGAGATATTGTGAAGCCGGAGGTTCATTCTTCAAATAGAATCATGCAAACTTTTTTCTTATTTTTAGGTGAAGTCTATAGAGCAACGGATTGTGCAGGATAACTCGGTGGGACATGGTTATGATAGGGTTTTCGCCAAATGTTTGGACGACAGCCTTACCAGCGTCGTTGTCAAAGACGCCTACATAATCGCTCATCATCAGGTTGAATAACTAAATTTCGATGTGAATAATTTTTCGAAAGATTGTTAACTTTGTCCGTTTCTGCGAGTTGGTAGTGCAATCGGCGAGAAATATTCGCTACATTTCTTTGTCCACTGGGGAAAACGCTCGTCAGAATGCGGCCGCTTTTGAAGAGTTGCGAGGGTGAGTTTCATCAAATTCTTACGAGTTATCGTTAAAATATTCACAAATTGTTTAATTTTATAGAAGTCTCGAGAAAAATAAGATCGCTTTGTCTGTCGGGTTCAGCACCGTTTTGCATGATCGGGAGATTATGTAAGTTTAAGTAAACGATGAACAGATTTAGTTCTTGAAATAACTAGGTTTTCAAAGAAGCCTTTCGCGGGATTAATTTGGATAGTTTTCATAGTTTTACGGTGTCCGTTTTAACTTGAATTTTAATGAGTTGCATCTTTTGATGGGCATACTGCAAAAGTCGTTCGGTTCTGTTGGGTCGGTCCGGTTTTTTATGTTGGCTATTTTTCCGGCTTTCAAATTCTGATAAGGGTTTTTGGACGACATTGAATTTTCAACGGTTGGTACATACATATTTCTTCACGATTTGACCGCTTAAGAAATCCAATTTTCAAAAATGTTGTCATTAAGTATTCGAAAAATTCCCTTTTTTTCTAATTTACTCAAACAAAAAAACGAAGTTTCCTTTTTTTGAATGCCAATATTTTTTTTAAATGTTAAAATAACCAAAAATCAGGAATTCTACGCATTTTGGAAGCGAACACAATTTTCAATATAAAAATAAACTTTAAAAATATTCGAAAAAAATTTTCCATTATAAAAAAACCGACCGACTTTTTGCAGCAAACCCTTAAAAATTCAAACTTGGTCAGTTTTTCGATATTTATAATTATTTCTAGATTCGACAATGGCTGGGTCGTCAAAAATTGGCCGAGGACTCGACTATTTCAAACCTTCTGGGAAATACTGTCTGGGGGCGGCCGACTACAATCTGAGGCCTTGCCGAGAAACTTCCATAGATATTATTCGGCTCAAAAAAAGATAGAGTATAGGGACCTTTTTTTCTTCGAGAATTTTTGGGTATTAACCTGAAAGTTCATTAGGAAATACATTCTAAGGGTCAGAATCCTGCTCGGTTTGCGAAAAAAAAAAGCCTAGAAAATCAAGTTAAGGTGCCTTGAAACAAATTTGAAAACGAAATAAATTGGATGTAACCTTTAAGGAGCTTTTCAACTATTTGATTCTATCATTTTATCATGTTCAGCTTGTATAAGGTAATTTTTGGTTCGTTAATTTTAATTACGGTGTTCTTTAGTTTTTTTTTTGTGTCTTTTTATTCAGGTTTTAGTGTTCAGGGTTTCAAAATTTTCTAGAATATGAATTCATTTTCTCGGAATTCCATCTTTCGTTTCACCTTGTAATTCAATCAAATTGTACAAAACTGCCCTTGTATTTTTCGTTCGTTATCAAAACGTGATCTTCTTATTTCATTTCGCTTCATTTTTTAGCTCTCGGTTGCACTATAAACTTGTTCATTCTTTTTTCTGTGGTGGAAAAAACAAATCCAAGGTTGAGAGCCTCCATTTATTTTCGAATTTTTTCTTTTCCTGTCATCGTTTAACCAAAGTTTTCAGAGTATCGGTTCCAAAATGACGAGAAGAAGCAATTATATTGAAAGTCCTGAGGTTTTAAAAGGAAAAGGATTTCTCAGCGAGTTTCTGAATTTTTGCAGCTGACCAAGTACAAAGATGGACTCTTCGAGGAGGCCGAAAAGCTGGTGAAGGAGGAGTTTCCACGAAAAGTCATCGAATTCAACGGCTTGCTCAAGGTTCCTACTTTTTCCGCTCCGTCAACGCTAATTGTCTTTGATTTTCGCCGAGAATGTCTTTTCTTTCCAGCAATCTCGCTTCTCGATGGAGCGACTAACTGAAATCCTTCCAGAGCCGTCGATGAACATTCCCATTCCCAAAGTCGAGGTTTCTTTGTCTTTTCAGCTCTGAAAACACATGATAAAAAGCCTGCGGTTAATTTTTTTAATAAGTTTTAAACTGAAATTTATGGTTCATTCAAAAAAATTTCATGAAGCTTTGAACGAAGATTCGTATGTCTATTCTCTCAAATTTTTTTCTACTAAAATTTTTTTTAAAAAAATAGTTCGAAAGTTTATTTTTTTATTTTTCTTTTTGAACTATGGATGAAAAGACAAAAAAAGGATCTAACGAATTCGAAATGCTGGAAATCCGAGTTCTGACGACGAATTTGTCGTCTTATTTGTAGGGAATCAATTTCTCTTTCTATTAAATAGGAAAATGCGTTTTCTTCTCAATTTTAAGACAACATGTTGCCTCTTAATTTGGAATGAAAATTAGTTATTGGAGATAAGTTGGAGCCTAATCCAATTACTTTAATTGAAGTTTCAAAGAAAAAAGTTGAATTTAAAGAACGGAAAAGTTTCCCTGCCGGATGAGCCGCCGCGGAAAAGAGTCAAGCAGGAAGACGAATCTGACGTCGTCGACGGAAAGCAACTCGTCGTTAATGGTTCCTTTTCCATTCTTCTTTCTGCTGACAGCTTCAGCTGCAAACCTGTTTTCAAATGCTTCCGCATGCACAATTTTCAGATCCAGGAGATATGGTTTTCAATAAGTTCACGAGCCCTTTCCAAACTAAGTGTAGGTTATCCGATGCTTTCTGCGCTTTTTGGCATTTTTTGTACAGGAGTGCAAGAATATTTGGTCACAGTGTCATGTTTCTTTTTTTCTTGTTTTGTGTGTGTATGTGTTTTTTTTTTTTTGGAGATACGTACATCATCTTTAAATATCATATCGGGTTTATTTTTTAAGATAGAAATGAAAAGACGACGAGAAAGTAGAATATTGACCCTAGTATTCTATTCACTAGTAAAAATAATCAGCCTGAAAATTTTTTTAAGTTCGAGAACTACAGTGGAAACTTAAATGTGATAACGAGGAACACGTAAAATGAACCAGAAGTAAAAAGACATGAAAAAATAGTGGAGGCCTCGATGTTCAAATCAATGTCTGTGTTTGAATTTTTTCTTCCCGCCGGAAACCCCTTCGTACCCTTTGTATTTTACTAATGTATTGTCGTTAAGGCGATCTAATTTTTGACCATAGCAAACTCAAGGAGTTTTCGAAAAAAAGAAAGAAAAGACGACCAAAGTATAGTTTGGAGCTGATTGTAATCGGAGTCGTAGTGTAGTTTGGATGTAGTCGACAAGAAGAACTCAATGACTCTGATAAAAAATCCCTGGGTTTTTGAGATTCAAAGTGTTGGTTATAGCGTATTTGAGACTTCGTTTTGTCCTCGGTTGTTCATTCCTATCCAACTGTTTAACAGAAATCTTAGAAAAAATAACGGAATTGATTCGAGGTGTTATAACAACTAAAGTGTGAAACTTAACATGTTGACTAATATTTTTTGCATTTCTTTACATTTTTATTTTCTACTCCTTTTTTTCAACTTATTTGAAAGAGTCTTCTTGTAGGCGCGCCGGTGTACGCCTTCATAAATGGCTCTGTACCCTGCAATGACCACTTGGCCCATCTCATGGACGAGGTCCGGCCGCTTCTTCGGACAGCCGTCGAGAACGTCAACACGGTAAGTCGTTGTTTGGGATACGTTTCTAGCAATTAACAGGCTCATAGTTAAATTTGGAAAAAAAGAAAGTTTTTAAAAAGTTTTTCTAAATAGGCAAAGCCTGCGGACTTATTTGTTCTTGGAATAGAAAGTTTTAATTTGAGATTATTCTGAGATAGAAATGTGAGACCATGTACTGTATCTGAAAAGAAACTTTCAAGTAGGAATCTAATGTTGAGATTTATTTATTGCCATTTTTCAATTTTTTAAAACAGTTTCTTGATCAGAGAAAAATTCTGGAAAGCTGTTTTGGTCATTTTCTCGAAAATCGGGGCGACGAGTTTTTGAATATTCTTTTCCCGAAGTATATATCTGAGAATCGCATTAAAAAGGAATGGAAAAAAAAGCTGCTGATTAGAGCAAAAGCGATTTTTCTATCAATTTCTTTTTAATTTTTGGGCCAAGCTTGGCAGATTCAGGAAAAAACACTCGAAGAAAAATTGTTCTCCTTATTTTTTTGTAGCTCGAGTTTTATTTATAACCCTATTTTTTTGATTATTTATATGATGAAAAAAAGCCCAATATTACCTATCAATGGTCTTTAGGTGAAAATGTGGATCACTTTGATGATTCCTCGCATCGAAGACGGTAACAATTTCGGCGTCGGCATTCAGGAAGAAGCTCTTTCTGAGGTGACTTTTTTGAACTTTTGATGAGAATCAAGAAAAATGGAGAATTAAATAATTCATCTGGAAATTGAAAATTTGATAAAACAAAAAGTTTTCGTATTCTCATTTGATATTTCAGGTGAGAACAGTTGAGAACGAAGTGGCGTCGTTTCTCGACCAAATGGGCCGATATTTCACGAGCCGCGCCAAGTTAATTACCAAGGTTTTGATTTGTTTTTTTCATTTCCCGAATTTTGCTTCAGATTGCCAAATATCCGCATGTGGACGATTATCGCCGTGCCATTCTCGACATGGATGAAAAGCAGTTCATCAATATTCGGTATATTTTCCCCTTTCTTCTGAAATATTCCCTTTTTTTTCTTCAGCTTGATCATTCTGGAGATGCGCAACCACTTCTCGACCCTCCATGACGTCATCATGAAGAACTACGAGAAGATCAAGAAGCCGCGCACTACCAACACTGAACATCTCTACTGATTCCTCACATCCTTCCCACTTTTCTTTTCCTTCAAAATGAAGAAAACTCATTTTTTCTTAACCTTTTCTTTTATCGGCTGCCTTTCCGTAACGGTTTTATCGGGATTTACATCGGATTCTTTTTTTTCTGTTAAATGTAACATATCGGTGGAAAAGCTTGTGCTCATTGCGTTTCGAATAAGTTTTAATATTACTTTTTTTGTCTGCACATTTGCTGTTTTTGCACAATTTTGTTGACCCTTTGCCCATCATTTTTGTTTTCCATTTTTGTTATTTTGCGACAGAACCTGTTGATAAAATGTCGCTTAATAATTATGGGGTTTTGAGCAGATGGTTTCGTACTACCGTTATATACTTCTGAATATAATAGTTTTTGAAAAGATCAAAGGAAGTGTAGATTCAGAATGACGACAGTTTTGATTGGTGACGACAGTTTGGAAGTCGCCCACGTTGAAGACGATCGCGCACAGGTTTCTTGGAAACTAATATTCAATTAATCTCATGACGTGTTCAAGGGGGAGGCCGCGATTGTCGACGTCGACGATCGTGAAGAATATTTCGTCAAGCCGCTTTATACTTACTATTGTACTTGTGGAGAGGTAAGCTCTATTCCTGCAAACTGCAAAACTATATTTCCAAATATTTTGCAAAAGAGAGTTATTTTTGTTCCTCAAAGCGTTATCTGACACTCGCAGGGAAATCCTCGAAACTTAGAAACAAATATTTCTAAGAGAATTTTTTTTTTTGATTACTTTTGGTCTTCGAGCTCTCATATCTAAAAAATTTTATGTTTTTTAAAAATTTTTCTGGGTTCTAGTGCGTTCCGCGCAAGATGGTCATGTTTCGAAAGTACAGCAGAAAAAAAGTTACTGTAAACCCACCTTTTTTGCATCTTTGCTGCAAAAAACTGTAAAAAAGGAATGGAAATTTAAGGTCTTGAAGAAAAAGGGGGTCAAATTTAATCAAATTTGGTACGTGATCTTCTTGGCGTTTAAAAAATAGAACAAGCTTGCGCGGAACAGGCTATAGGCAATTTAATTTTAAAAGTCTATCATAACTGACAAAATATTTCTCTTCAAAGTTCTCAACTGTAATATACCAAAGAACAGTTTTTACAAAAATATTTTGAACTCACAAAGTCAGAATCCTCTTCTATCAGATAAATGTTTCAGATGGCTATCATCAGCGACACACTTTTAAACCGTATGCCTTTGCGACGACGGGACGGCGCCAGAGTCATCGATCCTGAAAGAACAACAGCCAAGACGTTCGCCAAGGCCGGAGAAACCGTCTACATCAAACGGTACTTTCAACTATAAATTAACGTTTCCAATCTTATGTCGCAGAGAGCTCGGTCTTGAGCAGCAGTACCGTAAGATTTGCAAAAAGTGCGCAGTTCCTCTTTTCTACCAACATCCCGCCAATCTTGCTCGAACTTTCATTTTTGACGGCGCCGTTTTATCGGCCAAGGAGGTCGGCGGGTTCAGTGGGAACAATGAAGAACAACGGGCAAAAAAGGTTGGAATTTTCAAAATGTTCTATAAATAATCTCCATTTTAGATCGTCATGAAAAGGAACGTCAAGAACCAAGGAAAAGTTGGTTCGGTCACAGTTTCGACGATGGAGGGCGAAGAGGAGGATGAGATCGAAGCGGTTTGTTTTGTTTTTGAATTATTTCAGAGGATTATATTTGTAAAAACACTGGGAGCCTTTTTTCTTTTGAAATAAGTTTCGAGTAGAGGGGAGTTTTCATAGAGATCGAAAAACTTAGAATTTGAGTTTCTGAGGTTTTCTCGCGGAAAGTTAAAAGAAGAGCTTTTTTTTAGAAGACGGAATGGGCAGACCTTTTTTAGAGGGCTGTCATCATCTCGTTTCAAGTCTTTCTAAAGTAAAGTCATTACTCACTTTCGAAGAAAAGCTTTATTTACCTTTATTCATGTCAACAGCAAATCACTTAACTTGATTTGGATCCTTTTTTTTCAAAATGTTTTTTATCCTCCTTCTGGATCATTGACTTCTCTACTTGCCCACTTATAGTTAGAACAAAGAAAAAAACCCTTTTTTTCATACAATTTTTTCATCAAAATTGGGATTTTCAGCGTGAAACGGCAGAGTCTTATACGATGAACGCGAGGATCGTCCACGACACCCTCAAAAGAAAAGGAATGCTCCACAAAAAGTTCACCAACACGGGTACGTCACAGGGCGACGATCCGACCGCGAAAAAGAAGCGAGGAACTCTGCTTTAGTTCTTTTTTTCCGTTTCTTGTTGTATTTTCTGTAATTATTTGACTTGTTAATAAAATTTTGAAATGAGTACTAAACGAAGTCCAATCTCGTTCTAACCGTTTGATACCTACTCACAAATTTTCATTGTCATTTTTCCCATTTTATAGCGAAATGAGCCACTGAATCGTTGAACCGCCAGTTATCATGAAAGACATTGAGGATTTTATTTTCACCAACAAGCAGTGTATTGCTGTTTGTTTGGCCAAGGTCAGTTGGTTTCACTACGAAAACTTTTAGAAATTTCTACAAGAAACTTTCTTGAAACGAGGTACGGTAACATATGGATTTTGTAAAATAAGAAAGCTCATCTGAACACATTCTAAAAATTATTTCCTTCTTTGTGATTTTTTCTCGTCTAGAATCAAATTTTCCTTGTTTTAAAACGACGGGATGTGGCACTTACAATGTGGGCGAAGCGGTCGCGATGCGTTTTCAGCGCCAATTCGAAATTATCGCCTAAGTTGATTCTTTTGATTATAGGGATTTATATACATTTATTTGTTTTTTTGAAACCGGAGCAATTCATTTTGAAATTTTACTCATGCCAATTAGTTTTTTTCATCAACAGAAAAAAGATCCGAAATTGTTTTGAGTTTGAACTCGCGACCGCTTTGCACGTTTCAGGTGCCCTTCCAGACCGTGAAAAATGAATTATTCATAAGAAATTCTCTTTTTTTAACAAAATCACCGCCAAGCTTTTGAATGGTTACCATACCGTATCAGGCGGAGAAGACGACTTTGTCGCAAGTTCGTTCTCTTCTTTGCGTCAACGACGACGGCCAAAAGTTCGAGGAACAGACCCTGAGCCACAATGTTCGCGCGTCGCTCATCGCCGTCGGCAATTTCCTGCTTCATTCGCACGGAAAGGTGACGTCATTCGTCGCGAATCCCCTTGGAGAGCCTATTTGCAGTTTGCCGATGAACTCGTTCCTCTGCTCGTCCGAGCCTTGGGCTCCTTGCCTCACATGAAGTGGGTCGACGACGGCCTCGTCAACAAGAATGACAGTACGGCTTCGGTTTATCACGAAATAAAAAAACAGAAAAAAATATTCCTGCTAAGATTTTTTTGAAGCTTCTAATTTTTTTAAAAGTGGTGTGGTTCACATTGAACAATAGCATGGCAAGGGATAAAAAGAAAAAGTTTAAAAAAAACATATTCTTTCCATGTATATTTTCTGCGCTCTGACGACGATGTTTTTCAGACGTCAGTTTTATATTCCCAATCCAGTAGTTATGGAAAAGTTCTGAAATAATTTAGAAATAAGGAAATTTTACTTCTTGGAGCCCATAAAGCAATTTCTCACACGACGATTTTTTCTCATCTTATTTCACATAGATTCAAGTTTTATTTTATAGAAGTCCCCATTCAAGAACAGTTCTCCTTCTGTTTCAACACTGTCCTCAGTGATCTCGCGGCGCGACTCCCCAAGTTCCGAGAAGCTATTGTCAGCGCTCAGGTTAGCATTATGCCTGAAAATAAAGACTCGAATTTCAAAAAACTTGAAGGCCGACGCATTGGCTTGCGTCGTCAGCAGCGTTGAGGATATCGTGAAAGACACCGACGATTTGCATCAAAATGGAGGTTTTCTGCTACTTCTTCCCGAAATCGAAAACTCATTGTTCAGCCCATTCGATGAAATTGGTCTGTTATGCGCTGGGGCTGGTCCGTTCGGTTGGCCGTTTTTCCGCCGACTACAGTAACCCACTCATCAGCTATATTTTCCCCTTGCCGGTCGATGAGCCGCACAAAGATTATCCAGGAAGGATCAGCCGGTGCATAAATATTGGAATCGGTTGAAGAAAAATTAAACCTACAAATATTTGTGAAATGAAAGGCTTTTTGAAAGGGGAGAAAGGATAGAGAGTTGTTGTTGAGGTTTTTTAAAAATTGAAACTAAAAAAGCATAGTAACTTCCAAACCTTTCATTATTCCCGGACCAATTTGCTAATTTTTTAAACAATTTCATTAATTATGCCGATAAAATAGCGGTTAATGAATATTTCTCAGAAGGCTTCAAATGCAACAGCAACGGCTCAGTACGGACGACGTCCTGACGGGTACCGCCTCTGATTTATCAGAGGAGAAGCCTTTCGACGCCTCTCGGTCTGAAGCTGAAACCGCAATCTGCAGCGAAGCTCTCATTCAGATTCGCCAAGATGTACAACAAACATGGCGCCAGTTTCGCGGTGAACATTTATCCCGGAGGCCTGCAATTGCCGATGACCAGCCATGATCTTGAGAAGCTTTTTGACACTGTTCGTCGGAATATTCGAAACTCTTCTCATATCTGAAGTTTCTGTAGGTCCAAAGAATCCTCAACAAAGAGCTGCTCACAACCCTTGACAACACTGCTACGGACGTGTTCAATGTGAAAAATGAATCGAAAATTGATGGAAATCTTGTTTTCAGGCCTGTTGTGTGAAAAGATTCCCTTACAAGACCGTTTCGGAACTCTTCACTCTGAGTTGCTTGTGTCTACTGCGCGACGTCCTTGTCCCATACAACGTCGTGGAAAGGGAAGCTTCCTCGCCGGTGACCGAGGCTTTTGCCAAGGAAGTGCGAGTTGTGATGTTTCTACCGTACCTCGAGTCTTCTCATAGGTCAACGCCTTCTCAATCGGCAAGCTTTTGACGCTGGAGACGTTGCGTCTGAACGCAGACGAGGACAGAGATCGAGCCGGTCGTTCGATGACCCGAGATGACACTTTGCTGGCAGTTTCTCGTGTTCGGCTCAATGTTAGTACCCATCTTTTCAATAGAATATTTATTGGAATAATTTTCGAAACTTGAACTTTTAGATCTTTATTTCAAGGAAAAAGTGACAATTCAGAAGGTAAACGTTTTTTTTTTTCAAACAGTTTTTTTCAAGACAAGTTTCCGTTTTTTTTTTTAGTTTCAAGAAATCTTAAATTAGACTTCTAGGAACTTTGTATATAATTTTCTTGGCGAGATTCAGACTTTATACTGACTATACCTTCCTTGACAGAGATCGAAACTTTTTTCTAACTTCCTGTCTCTTTCCAGGTTCTCGCAGCAACAGTATCTCTGCAGCTGATTGTCTGGGCGGCAGTTGATGACATTGGTGGGAATTTCAACCTTTTTTTCTCGAATAAATCACACAGTTTCTTCAAATGTTTTGTTGAATTATGAATTGAAGATTCGGACAACGTTTGCCAAGTAATGATGGGAAGACTTTTCGCGTCGCCTACTTCCAGAGTTTCTCTCACACAGCTCCCGCTGGCCCTCTGTGCTCTTTCTTCCTTGGCTGGTATCCAAAAGTATTCACTAGCTCCCATAAATTCAATGAACACGCTTGAGGAATCGCCGAGAAGTTTCCTGCGGTCTCTACGGCCACCGTCGTCCCTCAACTCTCGCGATTTCTTCTGGAGCCGGCCTTGATCTTGACCAAACTTGCTTCCGAATCAGTTCACCTGATCTATAGTTTGTTACCAATAATTGGTCCGTTCAGAACCTCGACAAACGAGCCAACGAGGCGGACAAACGCGAGGTCGAGTCGGCCAACAAAAGGAAGCAAGCCTTGGAGTCGCTTCGAATCACGGCAATCCGTTCTCTTTGTCGGTGGGACTTGCAAGATCCTCTTCTTATACAACTGATGGTTCTTGAGAGCCCTCAAGTCTTCGGTCAGCGTCGAGCCGGCATGTGTCCAGGCCTGTCTAGCCAGTCTTTCTTCTAAGCTTTTCGTCTGCTCCAATGCCAGCAATTTGTGAGTATCTACGGTCCTCGAAAACGCAACTTCAGAGATATTTTCTGAAATAAAACTAGAAAAGTTGAAAACCGTATGCTTTCCACAGCAGGTAGAACTTTCCGAAATAAGCATGGAAATGAATTTTTAATGTGCGACCTTTGTTAAAATTGGCTTAGTTCTATTGAAACCTCCAGGAAACTGTTGTATACGTTTTCATGGTCCAAAGGGGTGAATATAAATTTTAAATTAAGTATTGAGGTATAGAAATAAATGATAGTATACGGTAAAAGTTATCATTACATATTTTGGGATTTTAAACTTACCCACTCAATTTCACACCTCATACAGAGCTTTTCATAGTCTTTCTGAAAGATCTCCGATTTTCACACGATTCTAGCTGTTTCCTTCATCGAGTAGCTATCCTAACTGCGTTTTTTTGCGTTTTTTTTTTTCGATACAAAAGTCGATTAAGATTTCTAAAAGTTAAAGCTTTGTTAAAAACCTATTTTAACATCCATTCTAATTTTAGATCGCATAGCACGGACACCAGGTAAATCGAATATATTTTGACCTTTTCAATGTCTCTCCAGCATGAGGAATGTGATTGATATTTCTAAAGTTTCTGAACCCTCACTTTTTTTCATTATCTTGAGCTCCTTTTGTGGCGAATCTGTGATTGGCTCTATCAGAACTGGTGAAATGATTGATTTTGGAGCAAGTCTGAATTTTGGCCAGGAAATAATTCAGAAAAAAATAATTTTCCAAATTGAATGTATTCTAATTTGATTTTTTGAAAAAACTCGACGTTTTATTTGAAACTTCTTCAATTGTTTTTTTAAAGTCCAAATTTCCATAAACAAAAGTTTGGGCATGTCTTAAGTCTAAAAAATGCATTGCAAATTTTTCGAATGACCCATAGGAAATTATATTGTACGTTTTTTTCATCCATTTACCAGTTTTAGGATGGACAGAACCCTTATTCGAAGATAACATGTGACCTCTCAAACTCTTCTCCTTATTGTGATACATAGATTTTCCCTTTGCGCACGGTTTCTCGAATGTAAACACTTTTAAAAAGGAAAAGATATCAAAAGTTGTTTCAGCGTCGTTGCATTGGTCTGCGAAAACGCGATCATGACGCTGGGCGGGATCGGAGTCGCCCTCGTCGGGTCGAGCGAAGTCCCCGACATGGTCCTTCAGATTTACCTGCAGCGGTAAAGGAAGATAACATCAAAAGTATGAAAACCTCAATTCTTGTGAAGATTCGCCAGTCCGCCTTCCTACTTGGACGTGGTCATGGTCCGGTGTCTGGCTGACATGTGGATCGCTGGAGCGGTTTGTATTTCTTCTGTTTTTCGTTTGTTTTTCGTTTGTTTTTCATAGTTCTCGAGCTCGTAGTATTGAAACCAAAGTGCTGCTTTCAGTGTGATTTTCTTGCGAAGCTTTGAATTAACTGGAGCTCGAATCAGAGTTTTAATTTTTTTTTTTAAAGTTACACTACCTTCTTTTTTTAAGACGTTCTAAAAAGATAAAAAAGAGGCTACCAACCCTAATAATTCTTATGAAATTTAACTCAGCTCGCATGGTCATGAAGACTTATGAAGCCCGGCTGAAAAGTTTTGAAAAAAATATTGTTTCAACGGAATTATGATACGGAAAAGCTCTTCAGAGGTCGATCCACGACGGCGTGATGAAGCTCTTCACGCAGATCTGCATCGAATCGAGCAACCGCGTTTATTCCCAGGACACCACTGATAATCACGAACAACGCTATACGTCAGTGAAATGACAAAAGGAGGGAGGAAGTTATTAACTGAGCTGAGAAAAAAGAAATAGCCGTTTAGCTGTAATACCACTTTTGGTGTGAGTTCATTAAGTTGAAGGAACCTCTTACGATTTTTTGGGTGTTTCTTCTAAAAATCCATTTTTTTAAAAACGCTGAGAATAGGTTGAAAAGTGATGAAGAAATCAGGTGGAAGTCCACTTTTAAATGGCTGTTGCAGTTGTGGGATGTTAAACTGAATGAAAAAGAAAATGTGGTTTTTCAAGACACGTCTCGTTGGCTGTGGATATGGCGCTGAGCAAAATGGCGGAGGGCGTTCAGGAAGACGAAGACAAACAGGCGCTTCTTGTTAGGTGCTGATCAAGCTTCATTTCAGATTTTTGAAAGAGTTTTCATTTTTGTTTTTGAGAAAATACAAATCAGATTCATCCTCACAGAGACTACACGAAAAATAAAATGAGACTTGTCATCAAAATTTTTTATTCTGAACATCCTGCTCAATGGAAGTTTTAGATGGCCGGTTTAATTTTTGAAAACTCGGCCAAAGTGTACTTCAGCGTCCCCTGATACCAGTACGTTGAAATAATTTAGAGAGATGTTTTGCTAGAAAATGTATTTATTACTGACATGGAATCAGGAGACTAAAGTAAACTCCAACCACGATCGATCAAAATTTTAACCGACCGGCAAAAAAAAAAATCACATTTACTAGAATTTTTCCCGCAAACAAGTTTGAAAATTTTAACTTTCAAACTGCGCTTTATGAACTGGTCTTTCATGGAACTTATTCTGCCTTTACCAGTTTCAGAAATTTCCTCCATTTTCTAATTTCTTTCAGACTTCTCGAACTGTTCGTCCAGTTGGGAATCGAAGGTCGTCGTGTTGGAGAAAAAGTATCAAAAAGCACCGTCAAGGTTCCATATTTTCCCGTCATTTTCGGCATCGAAGTTCAACTCAAGTTTTTGAATTTAGTTGGAGTTTTTTTCAAATTTTCAAAACTTGAAAACTGAAACTTGACCATTCGGGGAAAGGTGACGAAGCCGCTTTAGCCTCGACTTTTCATTTTTATATTTGTTTTAGTTCTTTCAATTCTGTGATAGAAATTTGCAATTTAGCTGACTATAGTCGCGTTGTCAACATCGGTTAATTCCGTCAAGGTGAAGGCAAAATTTGAATTCGAAATTCATTTTGATCGCTTTTTGTCATTGTTTGTAACAGTAGCTTTTGTCTCCGCCGAAGAAACTCCCATTATTTTGACATTGTTTCGTGGTCGTTCCTATTATTGCCAAATTTCGGGCATCATATTCAAATTCGTATCTAAATTAGTTTGTGCTAGCTTTTATGAATGCTGTCATGCAATTTCCAGCATTTTTTCGGATAGTTCATCACAAATCCCCATTTTCTAGTTTTCGCAGTCTTCATATTTTAGTTTGTGGTTCAGATGTCCACGAGTGCAGGAAACCTCGGCGTTCTGATGCCGAAAATAGCTTCGCTCCTCCGGAGAATGCAGCCGATCACTTATCCCACGACACGACTAAAGAACCTTTTCAGGTAACTGAAACATTGGAGGAAAACAGTTGAAAGGCTTTTTGAAGGGACTTTTGGTTCTACTGCACCGTCTTGGGCTTCGACGTCGAGTATTCTGGTATTCTGAAAAATTCTGAAGATTTTTGAAATGAGTTTCTGAAGGTCTGTGGCCAGAAGAATGGTTCAACGCCGTCTGCGAGACGGCGACGAAGACGCCGATTCTCGTCGCCAACGAGAATCTTCGCTCCGAATTAATCGACAACGCCGCCATCCGGAGCGACTCCATCTCTCCGGTCAGTCTGAGCGGTTCTGGTCTCATTTCGAGGAGAAAAACTTCACGTGGAATGTGTCGAAAGGGACCTTCCAATGTATTTCTTGAGAATTATAACATTTTCAGTTTCAAACTTAAAAGGAATGACAATAAAATTTTTATCATTGGTTTAACAAAAAATCATTTTCTTCTCAATGTGTTTCTCATCCAAAAAGCCCAATGAACAACCTCCAAGCGGGAGAAAATAAAGTTATATTAAGTCTGTTTCTTCAGACTTGTATTTTTTAAACTAAACGTATTCAGGTTCGATTTATTGGTGGTACTTGGAATGTTTATTTCGCTCAGACCGATTTATTTTTTTTTCCATGGATCCAAACGTATATTTAAAACTGGGCAATATAATAAATAAATGAGCTTCAAAAAAATGATTTTGATAGTTTGAATTGTGTGTAGACGATGTTGAAGCATGAGTTTGTAGACTTTGGAAAGCCCAAATCAAAGAAGTTTCAAAATTCCTAAATTTCCAGCAAGAGCTCCAAGAGTTCCGCAACACTGTCTGCGGGGAACTGAAGCATCCCCCAGAAGTCGTCCCTCTTGTCAACCGAATGGACTTTGCCCAGTGCACTTACCTTCTTTCCGTCATTAGAATGGAAACCATGCGTGTTGTCAGTCTTTTTCCGTATTTCAATCTTCAAATTATAACTTCCAGGTCCATGCTGACTATCCGATCGCTGTTCATTGTATTTTCAAATATCTGGAAGAAAAGTTGGCTGAGATCCAAAGTTTTTGAACTGAGAAAATCGTTTCAGAACGATCCGGAAGGACAAAGCTGGCATGTGGGCGTGTCTTCTCGCTGCCGCGCCTCTTATCTTCGACGCCTACTTAGACTCTCAGAAGAAGGTTTCGGTTTGAGAAGTACGAAAAAGGTAAGAAACGGGCTCAGAAAACGGATGACGAAGCGACGGAAAGCGCACTGGTCTATCACGTACAGTTTTTGCTATTCCAGTTCAACCACAATCTTCGTGAAGTTTCGGACCGAATGTTATTGAGAACAATGTCTTTGTTCAGGTCAGGAGATGTGCAGATATCTGCCTTTCCCATTTGGTCGACCGATTCCCCTATCTTTTGTGGAATGGAACTGTGCTCACTACAGCCTTGAGACTTTTGCAGGTTCTTTTTTCCGTGATGAAAATAACTCACTTACAGGGTCATATTTTATGACAGATAGAGAGTTTTTCAGAAACTCTTGAATTTTTCGAAGTTTCATTAGAAAGAATATATTTTAGGCGCTTCAACAAAACCTGACCCAAGATCCGATTTGCAAAGAACCTCAATTCACGATGCGAGGCTTCGAGTGGGCCATCCAACTCCAGGTAGACATTTCTGTAAGGGCTTCCAGAGTGATAACTTTGAAGGACTCTATCGATGGCCGAAAATCTCTTGTGAATGACTTTTCGATGCGATGCAAGCAGATTTTGCAAGAGGCCATCAAATGGGCGCCGGACAGCACTCATAGTCATCTTTTGGTTGGTTTTTCAAGAATTTTCAGACTCATTTTGACCAATTGTTAAATACTGGGGAAGATATCGTTATTTCGTTTTTAATCATCGTTGAGAAGCATGGAAGGCACTTTTCGTCATAGAAAGATTCTAAAAAGCTCAAGACATCTAAAGGGGTTATTTTTGAGCTTTTATTAAAAAATTCAGGAGTACGTCTCCAACTACGGCGGAACGAGCAACTTGTCCATGCAACTGGCCTTGGACGCGGTGAACGAAGGTGGAAGAGAGCACGCGAGTAGCTCTTACCTGGCAGGACTTCACAAAAGGAGCTTGTACCTCGGACAAGTACCGTAGTCCCTCGAGGATACCGTAGGATAATATTTTTGTAGGTGAAAGGCATGTTGGCGGCTCGTCTCAGCGACAATGAACTAGAGGCTGAGAGAATGCTTATCGACCGGCTGGAAGCCAGCTTTTTGCGAGCTTGCAAGTAGGGTTTTCTTCAAAAACAATTATTCGAACAAATCGTAAAATGATATATCAAAGTCATACGAAAACTCATTGTTTCATCAATTGATTTTCCTTTTCAAGGTCCGGCTACGATGAAGAAATGGAACAAGCAGTTCTCCTTCTCACCGCCCTTTTCGTCTCTTTGAACCGTACTTTCTCTAGCTCCTCAGTGATTTCAAGTTATCTCTCAGACCTGAATGACCGAATTTTGACTCTTTTGGTGAGAACCCCTTTGTGCAATTTCACAGAATCTACCATGGAACTGTGTGTCATGAGCTGGAATTGGCTTCTCTCCGCTCGGCCTGACGTTCAAAATGTGGTAAGCTGACAAACATAAACTGAGCACCAAGGAACGTTCAAAAATGAATTTGTTTCATTTTCTACCAGTTTCGATTGTTAAGAGAACTGTATAAGATGTCGCAATTTTGGGCAGTTTGAGACTTCCATAATCTTTTTTTTGGTACATCAATGAGCTTCATAGCCAGTTTGTCAAGAAATTCCTAACCGCAAAGGAAATCGACTTCTCTTGTGAAATGTTCCATCATAATAAAGAAGCAAAGCATTTCAGTTCTTGCAAGAGTTGGCGCGAGCTTTCGCGGATTCTTCTCGAAAGGCAATGGGCGTCTTTGAAAGCGACATCGACCAGCCGTCTCCGCTGTGTGAACAACTGGAAAGACCGCGAACGCCACCTAATTTCAGACCTCATCGCGGCTGGGTTGAAGTAAACACTTGACTTTTTTTCGAAGTTAGGTAGAAAACTAGAAGCGGTTGCTGCTATGTAACTGAAAAGATTTATGTCATGGTTATGTCAGTCAGCATAATTTTCGATCAGTTTTGGCACATTTTTGTTTGTCGTTTTGTACCTTGCCTCAAACGCTTCTTATTCTCTCCAAATGTCAGTTCATCGCCGAGAGATGCGACGTGGCCAAATATTCCTCACGGGAGCAGCTCGATGTTTTGGAGATGATGTTCGCTCAGTCGCTCTCTCTATCTGTAGGAAAATCGTCGACCACTTCGGCTACGGTCCCTGGAAGCATACCTGATAATCAAGGTGGTTCAACGGCTTCTTGAAGGAAACTCATAGGTTTCCAGCCCAAATGACGAGATCGATCGAAGCCGTCGGAGTTCGGTTCCGCCTGCTCTCGTGTGTTCTCGGGCTTCTCCAAGGCGAAGCTTCCATTTCGAGGCCTTCCAACGTTCTCATTCGTCAGCGCGTCTATGCCTCGGCTCTTCATTACTTCACGTAAATATTATTTTATGTTAAATTAAAGAAGCCTCAAGAGGAACTTTAGCTCAGGGCTCCACGTAGTAGTTTCAGAACTTTGTCAATTAAGCCCGAAACTTGACAGCTGAAGTCTAGGCTTCTTTTTAGCTGATCTAATCAAAATACCATAATGCAAATTTATTTTCCTCTTTCTTCCTTTCGAAGTCATGAATCAGAGTCGCTTCAGAATTCCTCCACAAGGACCGACACAGTCAGAAGCTCAACTCCGAGAAGACGTCAATCTTCTTATATCGTTCTGGCAGGTGTCTTTCACATTCCTTTCAGATTTATCTCACTTCATTGTTTCTCCAGGTCCTTTACGCCGATGGAAAGTATATCCGAAAAGAGGTCTTTGCTTCTACTGGTAGGCCGGAATGAAATCACTCCTTCCATTTCATTTTTTAAGACAACGAGCTGAAGCTTTCTCAAACGTTGTCACAAGTTCAAGGAGCCTATAACAGCGAAACAATCAATCCTAGGTTTTTCGCAGATGAAAACCAAGTTCGAGCAAATGATTATTCAGAAACGTGTCCCAAACCTGGAACAATGCGCCAGGTGCAAATCTTACGTTGCCCCCTTCATCCAACTACGTCAATACCTTGACTTTGTCGCAGAAGTCGGCCGCTGTTTCTACTCGAAGTGGTTCGAAGCGAGATTAATCAATGAAAATCACTTAAAATATTCTTTCAAAGAAGCACAGACGAATTTCGAAGAAGTTTTGGCGAATAAGCTTTTTCAGTTTCAATAGGCTCTTCAAAATGTCTGCGCCTTAAAATTTTTTGAGGTTCTTCGAACAGCGAAATAGAGATAGAATTCGGCGAAAAAATACATCTACTTCAAATATAATGCTTCTGAATCTTGATTGATTTTTAAAAAAGTTTATCGATTATTTTTTGCGTCTACAGATCCCGGAAGGTATTTTTCATTTTTACAATAAGATCATTTTCTGAACTGATTTGCTCATGATAACAGCACTTTTCTACGCTGGTATGACGTAGGATAGGAGTGTACGCAAGCCGGTGGAGGTCGGGTACACCAGTCTGCCAGTGGAGAGAGGCGGTGCGCGCGAAATGTCGCAGTGATTCTTACAATCCAACTCTCAAGGCAAAGACGTGTGGACAATTTTATTATGAGCGACGCTAATTTATCGATTAAAGTACAGTTCCCATAAATCAAATCAGTTTTGATTCAAATAAAGTTACATTATTCCTCTGAAGAAGTTTGAAAAATCCTTGTTAAGGTGGAAAAACGGTAGACGGGAAATTGTCGCAAGATGGCGAAAAACAAGTTCGGATCTTCATGAAACGCCGAAATTTGATCCTTCTCCTAGTGGTTAGTCTTCATTTTCTTCCACGCACACTGCGGCAGGGGGTATTTGAGGGAAATGAGGCGCCGACGCTTTCGGCCCATTTAGTATAGTGGTTAGTACTCCACGTTGTGGCCGTGGCGACGCAGGTTCGATTCCTGCAATGGGCAACTTTTTTTTTGCGAGCTTTTCGCAGCTATTTTGTTCGACTTTTTGTGAATTATACTTGAAAAATGATTCTTTTCATTCATTTCGTTCAAGATATGAATGCTTAAACTTCAGGCGAATGAAATTGATCGACTTTGTGCATGGTTGCATCCGCTGTCGTTGTCACAGGAGGAAGGAGCACTTCCGGTGGAACAATGGCTGAAAAGCACCTTGATGGGTTCGTTTATCGAGGAAAAAGTCTCAGTAGCCTGCACGGAGGCGATTCCAGAACCGAAAAACGCAAAATAACGGGAAGCAAGTTTCGAAAAATAGTGTTAGAAGAAGATTTTTCGACAAAATTTTGGGTTGACGTACAATTAATTATCCTTTTTTAAAATACAAAATTATTTTTCCCTAACGATTCGGCGTCTCAGTACTAGTTTATAAACGCTCGTTATTCTATTTGAAAGATGAATATCAATAACAGGGATTTTTCAATTTTTGAGGTCATTTTATGTTTAAAGTTCACCTTCCCTTTCAGACGCTCGAACGGAAACGCGCGTTTTGAGAGACAGTGCCAAGCTCGCCTGGGAAATATCTCCCGAATTGGCGGTTTATCTACCGACACGGTTTCATTCAAATTTATCGTCTAATCTGATTTTTCGGCTCCAGATTCCGGACGTCTGAAGCGCTCCGGCTAGCCGTCCAACAAATGATAAGAATGCAGCCGGAGGCAGTTTGCCATTTGCCCGATGCTCTGCCGCTGTTCCTCGGCGAAACCACCGTCTTTGAAAGTGCTGATGTGGGTCTGGAATGGGGTGTTCCGTTCTAATGAAGATAATTAGATCTCCCATGTTCTGACGTGGGCTCGTTGTTCGCCTGTGATGGCTTTATCATTGCTCACTCCGAGACAATTCCCCCAGCATCCGATCACAGTTCAGTACGCTGTTCGAGTCCTAAGGTCTTTCATTTGGTGTTTTCGTTGAGTGGAAAGACAATTTTAGGTCATATCCAGCCGACGCCTTACTCATGTACATACCTCAGATTGTTCAGGCGATTCGGCACGACTCGGTTAGTTTTTCTTGTCCTTTTTTGATAGTTTCTATAACAAAGTTCGAAAAAATAAATGATAGTATAGCCGGGATTAAAAAGTGTTACGGAAAATAAACAACAACGGACACATGTCTTGGAAGTAATGGAAAAAGAGCCGCGACAGTCCAAAGAAAGTGCGCTCAGAGGATGATCTGAAGACTGAAAACGAACTTAAATTTAGTTTATACTTCTAGATTTTTTAAGATAAATGAAGCGACACAGTTTTCTTCCAAGTCTTCAAAAGCTTTTATATATTGAGTTTGAGAAAAACGTTTAAAGATGGGCTACGTGGCTGAGCTGATCGTTTGGCTGGCGGGACATTCACAGCTTCTGGCCCATCAACTCATCTGGAACATGCAGACGAACATGTACATGGACGAGGACTCGAAAAACAAAGACCCGGTCTTGTTTGACGCCCTCACGGATATCACCAAGAGGGTGTGGATCAACTTGTAAAAATATCTCAGAAAACTAAAATCTTAGATAATCAACCAGTTGGAAGGAGCTGCCAGAAGGTTCCACGAAGCCGAATTTTCGCTTTTCCATCAGCTCACCGCCATTTCTGGTACCATCAAACCGTATCCGAAAGGAGATGCGAGGAAAAAAGCCTGTTTGAAAGCTCTTGCCGAGGTTTTGGATCTCGTAGAGAAAATGCTAAACTCTCCAATATCTAATAGGTCAAAATCGAAACCATCAGCTACTTACCATCGAATCCAGAGGCGATTTTACTCGACTTGGATTATTCCAGCGGAACGCCCATGCAGAGGTACCTTTACATTAAAAAAAAATTCTGTGAAAGCAACATCTGAAGAAAACGAAAAAAAGTAGAAAAAAAAAGAATTCAAATCAGGGAAATTTATCTATCTTTCCTTCTGTATCGGATGCTCTTATTTTTGAATAAAAAAAACGTTTTCAGTGCTGCGAAAGCTCCATTTTTGGCGAGATTCCGAGTGAAACGATGCGGCGTTCAGGAACTGGAAAGTTTGGGACTTGAGGTTCATCACAGAAATGATTAAGGAAGACATATTGGTTTGAGGCGCAATCCAATTCGAAAGGAGAAAAGCCGCCGAAGACGTGTGATCTGAGCGAGTTGCGAAAAGTTCAGGACAGTCGAGTCTGCTGGCAAGCGGCCATTTTCAAGGTGATTTATTCTAAAATCATTTCTGTCTCTCAAAAGGAAACAAAATAAATTATTTGAAGAGAAGGAACTTTGATATTTAACAATAATCGGTTGAGAATCATTTTCCCAAAATTACCGTGTCTAGAAATATAGTTTAACTGAAATCAAATATATTCGAAAACTAAAATTTTTTAGGTGGGAGACGACGTTCGACAGGACATGCTCGCATTGCAACTGATGCAGTTGATGAAGAATGTTTGGGCCGGCTTGGGACTTCCTGTTCGAGTTTTCCCTTACAGGTAGCTGAACTTCATCTAAGAATCCAGTCAGCATGATCTTCAGAGTCGTTGCGACATCTCCAGGCTGTGGCGTCATAGAATGTGTGCCCAACTCGAAAAGTCGAGATCAACTTGGACGACAAACTGATTTTGGTTCGAACTAATGTCCATTTACCGATTTCAACTCATTTTTAGGTCTTTACGAATACTTCAAAACTACCTATGGCGACGAAAGCAGCGAGTCTTTCCAGGTATTCCAACTCGACGAAAACTCTCAATGAAGAAATGTACTCCAGGAAGCTCGACGGAAGTTTGTCCGAAGCATGGCCGCCTACTCGGTGTTCAGCTTCTTGCTTCAAATCAAAGATCGGCACAATGGAAATATCATGATCGATTTGGACGGCCATATAATTCACATCGGTCAGCTTCTAACTTTGAATTTAAACCATAAGCCTTTTTCAGACTTTGGTTTCATGTTTGAGAGCAGTCCTGGTGGAAATTTGGGCTTTGAACCGGATTTCAAGGTTTTTTTTTCTTTAAAGGAAAAGCCGAATTGAAAAAATCTTCAGCTGAGCGAAGAAATGGTAGCGATAATGGGCGGAAAAATGGAGGCAGTGCCCTTCAGAGAATTCGCCAGCCTCTGTGTTCACGCCTACCTCGCTGTACGACCTTACCACAGGGTTTGGCGATTTTTGAAACTTCTTCAACAAAAACTAAAACTACAATGTCAATTCGTGAGAAGAAATAAATCCAAATCGCCAACCCGGTAGAAAATACGCATTCACGTGAAGTTATCTTTAAAAAAATATAGAATAACGTATTTTGGCTAGTTAACTGCCTAATTTTAACCTCATATCTGATTTTTTCTTTTCGACTCTTCTGAAAAACACGAAACTTTTCAAATTGAGAACAATCTTTACCAGTGACTGAAATACATTCGGAAATCGTCAATGGCCGAGATTTTTTTCACCCTTTGCGGCTTTTCCCTTTTTTGAGGCTTTTTATTCCACTAAGAATGAAAGACTCAATAAAGGCCGCAAAACGGGACCCTTGTAGAAGCCATTTTGCAGTCACTCCTTTTTGAATTCGTTTCCCGCACTTTCGACTTTGGCAGTTTCTCAATGTTTCTTTTCTTTTCCAGGCATTCGTTTCATTGGTCTCACTGATGTTAGACACGGGTCTACCATGTTTCCGAGGAAAAACCATTCAACAACTGAGAGCCAGATTCGCACCTGAAATGGGAGAACGCGACGCTGCGAAGTTAGTTCAATTCGATATATCGCACCTAAACCTGATCTTCCAGGTACATGCACTCGGTGATCACCAACTGCTTCCTGAACATCCGCAGCAAGATGTACGACCAATTGCAATACATTCAGAACGAGATTCCCTACTAATAGTTTTATTTTTTTATCTTAGCATGTTATTTCAAATTTCCTAGATGCTTCGTGTAGCTTTAACCAGTGGTTTTATGTGATCTTGCCCTGTTGACTTAGAGGGAGGCTAGTAATTTATTATTTATTACTATATATGTATAAATTAATTTAACTTTTTACCGTCGGTGGCAATTATTTATCGTCCAAATGGAACAGAATTTGTCATAGCGATTCGCAATAATACAGAGGAACACGTAACAAACATGAAGTGCAACATTAAAAATGTGAGAAGAGATAATTAAATTATCCAAAAAAAAGAAAAATTAATAAATCTTGCTTCTGCTTAGTCAGGTCAATTAATGGATGGATGAGGTATTTAGAAATCGGCCTCAAGGTTAAACTGACGTTCCTCCTCCTTGGCAAGGACACCTGGCCGCTGGTATTCTGAGACTTTTTTCTCAAAAAAGTTGGTCTTCCCGTCGATGGAGATGTTCTCCATGAAGTCGAACGGGTTCTTCGAGTTGTAAATCTGCGAAGAAATATTGCTTCATTTTTGAAATAATTTCATTTCTCTCACCTTCTGGCATCCCAACTCAACTAATAAATGGTCGGCAACAAACTCGATGTACTGCGACATGAGTCGGCAGTTCATTCCAATCATGTCGCACGGGAGCGCCTCCGTCAAAAACTCCTGAAATCATTTTCCACTGAAAGGTATCTTTTCATATCTATTACCTGTTCTATGACGACAGCATCGCGGATTATTTCATTTATCCTCTCGTGAGACAACTTGTTCTTGATATGACGGTACATCAAGCACGCGAAATCACGGTGTAGCCCTTCGTCTCTAAAAATTTCACGTTTTTGAATTTAATTTTTTTTTTGTTCTGAATTTTTAACCTACTCCCGTCGAAAATTCAACATTTTCCTACAAACTCACTGGTTATTTATAAAATTTCGGTTCATATCTATAGATATATGGCTTCGATAAAATTCTGAAAGCCTTTCAAAGCAAATTCCATGAAAATAAAACAAATTGTAGTCAAAGACGAACCTGGAGATGAGTTCGTTGGACTGGGTGAGCCCTGGCATAAGACCGCGCTTCTTGAGCCAGAAGATGGAGGCAAACGAGCCGGAGAAGAAGATTCCCTCGACGGCCGCGAAGGCGATGACGCGCTCTGCGAAGGAAGCATTTCGGTCGGCGATCCACCGAAGAGCCCATTCCGCCTTCTTCTTCACGAAAGGAAACTCAAAGATCGCATTGAAAAGTGTTTTCCTGGAAAATAAACATTTCAATTTTCCCTAATGAACGGTTTGTACCTCTCTTTCTCATCTCGGATATAAGTTTCAATGAGCTTGCTGTACATTTCGGAGTGAATGTTCTCTATGGCGATCTGGAAGCCGTAGAAAAATCGGGCTTCGGGCACCTGCACCTCGTTCGAAAACCTTTCAACCTAAACGAAAACTTTCGAAAAGACCTAATTTGAAGACAAACCAAGTTCTCGTTGACGATGCCGTCGGAGGCGGCGAAAAAGGCGAGGACACGGGAGATGAAGAATCTTTCGTTGTCGTTCATCTTCTCCCAGTCGGTCATGTCTTTGCCGAGGTCCACTTCTTCCACTGTCCAAAATGAAGCCACCGCTTTCTTGTAGAAGGCCCAAATGTCATGGTATTTGAGTGGAAATACGACGAATCGGTTGGGATTATCCATGAGAAGCGGCTCTTGGGCGTCGAGAGCATTTCCAATGAACTGCAACTCATTTTATTCAACTAGATTCATATATTTAGTCAAATACCTCGGTGAAAACGCTGTCTTTGGTTACAATAGGCTTCAAATCCATTCGCGACTCGGTTGGCTTGGATACGATGTTCTGAAAGAACAAAAGTGAGAAAGTTTTTTTTTTGAATAAGTTAATCAAACCTCGTTTTCTTTGTTCAGTTGGATCTCAGCTAGTGTCATGGTTCCTAAAATTTGTTAATTAAAAAAATGATATTGAGAAAAAGAAAATAATAATTGAACGACAAGGGCACGAAGTTTCGCGCCAAAACTAATTGATAAGGATAATGATTTTGGGCGGTGAATCCATTCGAATGACCTCATTGGTCTTGAAAGCTGTTTCTAATGTTGTAAATTTGAAACTTCTTCAAAGAGAAATTTGAGCGGAACCTGCCGAGTAAAATTGGTTCTTATAAAAGGCATTAGTTCATTCACCGCTGGCTTGAGACAATACTTTATGGGTCTTCAGACAAAAAGAGAAACGGTTTTAGAGAAAAGAATGAAATTTTATTCATTTTCGTCTCAAACTAGCTTCTGAATAACAGTTAACTGTTCACTAGTTATGAAACTGCTTTCTTGCAGGGAAAAAAAAGAGTTCAAATATAAAAAAATTTGGAAGGAGAGCTCTTGAGGCTGTACAAAAACGACCTATTCCAGATAAATGACCATTTGGGCGCCAAAAGAGGCGGGGTTTTCACGGTGGCGAAATAACCGGGTTGACCTGACCCTGTGACGTCACGTCTACGTCACAACGGCCACTGCAATTTGAACGGCAACCGGCGCCAAACTGTCTTTTTTCAAATAGCACACTTTCGCGCCAACTGCGGTGGGGCACATTTCTCCTTTTCTCATTTTAAAACTGGAAAGTCCTAAAAAGGAAAAACTGACCAGATTTGCTCTCATCAATCATCTTATAAAATTGACGCATTGAAAAATTTAGGGGAAAGTTGCTCTCCAAAATTCTTCCAAAACAGACAAATTTATTTTTCGCAAATTAAAGGCAATTATGAAAATTAAAAAACCAACCATTTTTGAAATGGCGTGTTCAGGGCGTTTGACTGAAGATACGAAAAGGAAACGCGAAAAGGAAAATAAACTGGGAAAAGTGCCAGCCGTGAGCGTCTGCGTCTCCTCATTCCACTCAAATTCTAGGGAAAAGCTCACGTCACACTCCACGGACTCACACTCACGAGGAAAAAGCAAACAACAACAATCTATTGCGAAATATAGACAAAAGAACCTATCTGAAGCGAATTTATCTTACAGGTTGAGCTGAATAATACAATAGAACACAAAAAAAGAAATTGGTGGAAGTTTTATATCTTCAACCGATGGAACTTCGGCTTTTGATATCTCTCTGTAAAAATTCTTTTTGAAAAAAAATTAATCAAAAGAGATGCCTGGAAAATCTCTGAAACAGCCTAAAATGACGACTCATATGAAATTGTGAAGACTGAGATCTTCAGGATACTTTTATAGAATATCAAAGATCGAAATTTTGGCGACGAGTTCGTCTTACCATACTACAGAAATACCGTGGAGAACCTTACCGACTTTTTCAGGCTGAAAATTGGAAAGAAACCAACGCTATGTGATTCGTTTGAACTGGATGAGACTCCGCGTTTCAACTTTGTGTGTCGTGGATGCGTGGTCCTGGATTTAGTGGAGGCGAGTTGTGTTTGAGAGGACGGTGGACGATTTTCGGAGCCCCTGTGCTTGCTCCGAGATCTCTGCAACGACGGATGTGCGGTCGAAGACGAGGTCCGCGACGCGGACGTCGTCTGCTTTTTTGACAGCAGTTCTGAGAAATCATGGGATTCCAAAAAGATTTCAGAACAAACCCGGCAGAACCACAAAAAACTTGCTCCTGGATTTTCTCGAACTATTATCTTTTGCGCCCGTCTTCTTGGACTCTTTCTCCACTGAAGGAAAACAGTCAGAAGTATTGACTAGGGATCTTAACTGCCTTTGGCTTTTTTGGCCTTGCGAAGGTCCTTCATGTTCTCCTTGGACTGCCGCCTCAAAGGCCGTTTCACTTCGGCTTCGTCGTCCGTGTCCGCCGTGAGGGGTTGAGTGTGAATCACGTCTTGTGTCCTTCCTTCCGTCGTTTGCTGGAACAACTCCTATTCCGGAAGGCCGTTTCACTCACCGAAATGATTTCTCGAGTTCCCATTATCCCGTCCTTCGCTAGAGTGTACCTTCTCGAGAATATAGTGCCGTATCTCAGCTTTTTCCTGAGCGGGAAATCGTTCGCTTCTCGCAGGTAGGTGGTTTCCCCGCCATGCGCAAGCTTCAGCGCTTCCATTTCCTCAACAGAAAAAGATGAATGAAGTAGTTAGAAGAGAAATAACTCGGACAGACAGTTGAAGGCCACGTCGTCTGTTCAGAGGCCTCGAACAGACGACGTTGATTTCTTGTCTCGTCAAGAACGCCGCGGGGAACCTTGGAGCACCGTCTACGCTTTGATTGTTCTCCTGAGTTTTGAAGAAAATTTCAAAGTTTAGTTTTTCATTGAGTTAAAAAAAATGACTTCGAATTTTCATAATGTCCATATACTCACCAGAGGAAGTCGCCGTGCAACGAAATTCATTGGTTCTTCAATCGAAGGGTAGAACCATTGGATCAAAATGAAAACCAGTACAACCTACAAAACATTTTCTTTTATTTCGAGATGAAATATAAATTTCAATTCGATGAAAATTATACTGATAGATCCAACCTGGCTACCAACAACAGCGACTAGAACAAAATATTGAGCTTCTTCAAACTCAAGAAAGCTCATTTGTGAGAGATTTGGAATAGAAATGACAAAACCAACACGCCTTTGGCTCTCATAAAACAATGTCGGCGTGATAAACTTCATAGCCACATGAAAATGCGTACGGAGCTGCTGTTTTTATTTGTAATCGGAGTAGTTTTCTCCCATTCAAGCAAGTTGAATTGCATCAAGCGGGTGAGTCTTCAGAAACCGAAAAAAAAAGTGACAAAATTCTTTCAGGGCCAAGAATCTGTGAATGAAGCGAACGTCGACTCTACAGAGGCCAAATCCCTTCCAGTCAGAGTAAAACTTCCGCGAAAACTAAAGATCGGAGAATCTGTGCGACTTCTCTTCCAAGTTCCCTTCGCTGAAAGGTTTTTTTGCCGCGTTCCCAGAGAATCTCTGATTTTGGAACAGAAGTGCAGGCAATAACGTTGTTCAATCAGACAGACTCCGTTGTGACTGTGGAACGAGAAGAAAAAAGAGAGAAACGTCCAAAAAACCAGAGCTAACGACTCATCACACGACGTTTTTGTTAAAGTTGAAATGCTGTAATGAGATGGATTCTTCAGAAGAAACTGGATGAAGAAAGGAGGTCTGATTCTGGTCGGAAAAAGAGAAACGAAGCCTTGCCTCTGCCAGAACTGGTATGGCTAGTATAAATGAATATCATAACGAAAAAAATTCGAGTTATAAAATCCTAACTGCATATAGAAAAATGGCTTCGCTTAAAATATTTTTGATTGAAGGGACAATAAGATAAAAATTCCTACAAACGTCTCTGCATTGATTTTAATATTAAAAAAAGCGAATTCTAGGCCAAAAATCGCGTTCAACTTTGTAAACAGAAAGAACCGAGCAGTACTCGGTCTGATGATTGATTCCCAAGACGGAAATTTGACCTTGAACGTGAGCTTAACCTTTTTGACTTCATTTACTTTCCGACTAAACCATTTCAGACACAAACAAAACGTTATTCCGCGGATCTTTCGAGCAAGCCGCAAGATATCGTCGAGATCCTAGTCAAGTAAATTATTGAAAAAATAACTTGAAGGCTCTAATTTCATAAAAAACATTTTTTTTCTAAGTTTCATGAAATCACACTGTCATCTAAAATACTTTTCTGAAACCTTGAATTTCAAAGTCTTTGACTATGTCACCATAGGCAAAGTCGGAAGGACCCTCCGAGGGTCCATAAAGGACCATAGAAATGTTCCTTTTAGGGTGACGAAGGCTCTCTTTTTGCTGCCTTTTTGCTCCATTTTCTCAGCCCTTATGCACCATTTTTGCTGCCTCTCCCTTTCTCCACCATTTCTCGAGCCTTTAAAATCCCAGAAAAATGGAAGGCTCGATAAAGGGAGTCTTTTTGCTCCATTTCGCTGTCTTTTTGCTGCCTTTCGCTGCCTTTTTGCTGCCTTTCTGCGGCCTTTTTCGAGCCTCTCCCTTTTAGCGGCCATTATCCACCATTCCGACTTTGCCCGAGACTACAGTTTTTTTTTTTCAAAATTCTAAAAATCTTCTCCTATGAACCGACCTCTCAGAATCGAAAAGGAAGATTTCGTTGTGACGAAAAATGACAAAGAGTTGGGGAGAATGAAGCACAACGGTCAGTTCGACGACATTGTCAAGATTTCCACTCTCGGACATTTCGAAGTTTTCGCCGTCGACTGGTAAGCTCTCTCTCTCTCGAATCATTGAACCAAGGAAAGATTTTTGAGATTTTTTGATACCAAAATTGCGATAAAAAGTAACTCAATTTTTGTCCTTCAGTCTAATATTTTCAAGGTACTGCGAGCGGTGATTCTCTTCTACAATTTCAAAATATTTCCTTCTTTTCGGTTTTTTCGACAAACGCTTCTGATCAATAAAACTTGAAGTATCCAGGATTTTTATTATCACACAATTCTCAAAATTCATCCAACCAAGGAATAAAAAATTTATTCAGTAAGAAAAAAAAAACCAATCATCATAAAACGTATCACAATCATATCTCAGCGTGTTCCAATAGAATCAATCAAGAATCCCACAAAAAGGGCGTGGATCAAATAAAAAACAAGAATTTGCGCTTTTAAAGCTGAATGAATGGAAGATTATGTAGAACAAGAATTATGCCGAACAAAGAAAATTGTACTTCGTAGGAAAATAAACGATGGGGATTTATCAAACAAGAAAAAGAGCACAAGAAGGGCTGCCTAAGAAAACTGGACCTCGAACAGAAGAACTTGATGAAAAAGCAGAATCGTCGAAAAACATGTTCACCAGTTTCGTTTCAGAAGTAAAGAGCACATTCGAATCAATCATGAATACCAAATAGATTAACAGAAATGGGAAAATTCAAAAGCTCGATATTCACCATTTTTTTTTTGAATTCAATTTAGTGAGAAGAAGATGGTAAAAACGTCCGATGCAAGAAGGAACAAAAATTCAATCAAATAAATTCAAAAAAGTAACCGGAAGATTTCACATGTGCACAGAAGCACTGTACCGGACATGGGAGCTCGGAACGTGCCACCGAGACGGGCGGTACTGCAAAAAATGGTTATCCTTTTCTGGGCAACAGAATCGATGACGTGACTTTTTGAGGAATTTTTTCATATATGAATACGGACAATCATAAATTTAAATTAAATTTAAAAAGTAGAAATTCACTCAAAAATAAATGCCAAAAAGCTCGTGCGCTCCAAATTTATATGCTTCTTTTTAAGTCCCTTGAGCGACAGAACTTCAATTCAATATTTTTTCCAAAAGTTTATTTTAGTAAAGTTTCTAGGACAGCCTATTGAATTTCGAAGAAAAATAAATGGGTCGAAAAAATCTTTTAGCCCCATAAATGTGATTATTATTTTTACACGCAAATCATTATTTTCGACTATACTAACCTTTAATCGATGAACAGAAAAAATATAATAATGTTGACTAAAAACTCGTGTACCTTGATTAGCATTTGGCCGCTGGTCGTGTGCGGATAATAGTAGGCGTAGGCCAGCCAGCCGACGAACAGAAAGACTAGCAGGAGCATGATGACGGAGAAGGCGTAGGCCGAGCCGCTGCTCGCCGAAGCTGCAAGTTATTAACTTCTTCTTTTGAACTATTGAACAAAAAATATTGCGCTTGAAAAATTCTTGAGAAAAATTTTTATCTATGGTGTAATTCTTCTTTTGAACTATTGAACAAAAAAATATTGCGCTTGAAAAATTCTTGAGAAAAACGATTATCTATGGTGTTATTTTTTTGAAATGATACATTAACAAGGGCGATGCAAAAAAATACAAGTTTATATAATTCTTTTTCACCATTCAGGTTCATTATTCACTGATATTACCTGTTAGATTGTTATAGTAATATGATTTTTTTCACCAAGAACGTATCAGTAAAATTACGATGCCTCAAAATTTGAAGACATTTTTGCAGATAAAAAGGTTTTGTGTCATTATGTACCCAGCTAGAAGGCGGAAAATTTTTATTTTGATAAAGTACATGATGCACTAAAAAAATCTCAGTGAGTTCTGAAACCTTGCATTTTAGCCCTTACTTTGCAACCATGCTTTTTTTATTTTCCCGAATAAAAAATTAAAACTTCAAGAAAGTAACGAAGTGACCCATTTTTTTTTTTTGAATGAAACTTGAAACGAAAGATTCACCTTTATTTTTGCTTGAGGCATCTGGAAGAACAACAACGTCTGGCTGAGACGGAGACCCAGATTCAGAAGATCCCGACCTGAACAAGACCATTTATCGAATTAGAAAACTTGATACGAGTTTTTTTTTTCTCGATGCTCCAAAAAAAAAGAGAACAAACTTGTCGTCGTCGTCGACCTCGTCTTCGTCCTTTCCGTCGCAATACAAACTTCTGCTCCGATCCTTGCAGTTTCCTTCGACCCAATGTTGCCTCCGTCGATGCAAGCTTCAAAATCATCGGATTTGATCAAACAACTTTTCGAAACTGCTGTACCCGGCGTCGTCGGTGCAAAACGGACCGCCATTCTTCTTCTTGGAATGACACCACGTGCAGTTGAAGTGTTTGAGTGTGGCATTCGAACACTGTTCACAGTTATCGATCAGGATGCACGCTGCAAAGTTTTCCACTAATAACGGAAAAATGAACATCAGAGAAGGTTGAAAGGTAAAAAAAGAAAAAAGAAAATAAGGCTTAAGGAAGAAAAGCTAACAAAAGCCAAACAAAAAAAAGTAAATTTTTTTGGATCTTACAACACCTATTCTTAGGAACCGCTTTTTCAATAAATTTCAAAATTAGCTTTCAAAAGCTATAGAAGTTGATGCCGTGTTCAAAGTGATTACGCGAAATTCATAATAGACTTCAGAGAGTGAAAAAAGATATATTTTTTTCTCAAATTAACGTTGAGCTTGACTGAATTTCTGAAGTTTTTCAAAGACATTTTTGTTTCAATTAGCTCTTCAGAAAAAGTTAAATGATAGAAACTAGAAGAAAACATTTTTTTGCCAAAAGAGGGATTTTATTGGGTGAGGCCAAAAGAGCCATTCGTTTCTACTCGGCAATCTGCGACACAAAAAAGTCTGTGTCTCATCGAAACGGATCTGATTGGATTGAAAGGCGAAAGACCAACTGGGCTGAGCCTCGAGGATGACGACGGAGTTGGACGTGACTTTTGTGAGTGGCACTTCGACCCGATGATACTCGTAGATGACGCGTTTCGGCTGGCCCATTCCATGAGCGTCGGCGGGATGTTGGAAGAGGTAGGCGTCCGAAATTCCCAGCTTCACCGGGTGATTCGCGTCGCTGATATTCGCCACGTCCATCGGCACCTGACCACATTCAGGATTTTTATTTTCCGTATATAATCCATTTTTCTGGGTTGAAAGGAGGCTTTTTTTTACAATGGTTTGCAAGCGGTAGCATTTTTGGAGCAAATTCAATTTTCTTGTATTTTTGGGGTCAGCTCACGTTTCCTGTTAATAAAACCCACTAAATTATTCGAAAATGGCACTCTTACAGTTTTTTTTTTGAAATTTTTTTACCACTGGTTAGAGGGAACGTCAATAATGTGATTTTTAAATTGGAGCTTTTAAAAAATTAATAGATCATATAAATTTGGAAAAAAAAGACAGATTGCAGTTCTAAATGAGACCTTGGGTAAGAATTTCTTTGAATATTGAAAAATGGAGTAAAGTATAAATATAATCAAAAAACAACTTGATTGTGACTTCAACTCTTGATTTTAATAACATATAGGCCATTGGCCGCGAAGTTTTCGAGCGTCTGCGTCTCTCTGTTCCCTCACTGGCGAGGTCAGAGAAACATAAAAATAACAGATAATCATGAGAGAGTTGCCGAGAAACGAGGAGAAATCAGAGAAAAACAGCATTTGAAGTCGCGAAAAACGTAGTATATGATCAAAAAATGGCCTCACATCTTTGTAAGCGAAGACGATGTCTCCGTTTTTATGAAGAATGACTTGGAAAGAGAACGTATCTGAAAAGACTGATCAATGCGGAAGAAAAAGAGAAGTTCAAACTATTTTGAGCTTCTTCGCGAAGTTGAACCCGTCGCCACTCGACAACGAACATCTTGCCGTCGTCGACGTAGATGATATTCGAATTCTAGACAGTTTCCGTGAAAAAAAAGCTTGAATGAAATGAACCAACGTTGAGATATGTGTGGAAATTCGCCATCAAAGGGGCAATGTACTGCGTGGCGGCCAGCCAATTATGCGTTTGGTCGCCAATATAAATGAAGCCTGAAATATTGAAATAAAGATCGAAACGGATGGAAAAATGAACCTCCAGTGGCGATAGTCAAGTTGGTCATGCGATGACCGTAAAATGGGAATGGAAAGGTGATTTTGGTACCCTGCAAACGAGCGATTTATTGAGGTCGAAAAACTAGGCGCAGAGAGGACCTTGAAACTAGTAAAACCATTTTTGATAATCAAAGTGTTTCTTCTCCTTTTTCTTATTATGGAAAGAGATACACAGCTTGTTGTCTACTACTGCTTTTGTGAAATATGAAGTTACAGTTCGAAAAAAATCACCAAATCATCACGATAATTTTGAACTTCAAGATTATTTTTTACAATGTTCTGATTTTCCAATTACTTAAAATGTTGAAAGAAAAAAAAATGGTCTGAGCAAATATTATAAAAAAAGCAAAACAAGAGGAAGAGCAGAAACTTGTGAAGGATTTCCAAAAAGCATCTTTATTGCAAGATTGAAAAAACGCCTCATCGAAACTTTTCAAAATAATATAGAACAATCAAAAAAAAGTCATGCTGAGTTTTTGAAGGAGTAGGAAAGTAGGAATCTTCGAAAAAGACACTTAAATCTCATCAAGGGTTTTCGAACTGTTATTATGTTCCCACAATAGATACAAGAAGAAGCTGATCGCCTGGAATTTCAACTTCCTAACAATCTGAAAAAAACCAAGATAATCTACGAGTTATTCTCGGTCCACGCAATCCCGCGAATCGACGATCAACTTTTCATTTAATTTATGATTCAGTGACTTTTCTGAATACTGAATGAATTTGAACTCGAACTTGTATTTTTTCAAGATCATCACTACTTGAAGCACTATTACAAAGAGGCAAAAAGAAGATATACAAAAGGAGGAAAAGAATGACGAACCACGGCGCGTCGATAGCTTTTGTAGAGCAAGGGATGGCTCCGGTTTCCGACGACGCCGGGCTTCTCGAGAAGTCGATCGACGTCGACCCAGTGCTTCTTCAGCTCCTCCTCGCTGTTGGTTATCGTGTGCATCACGTAGTATTGGTGGTCTACCTACAATTTTCAACTTTTCAAGGCTATAACTAGAAATGTTTTCGAAAGTTGTTCTGAGCTTGCAATTTTGTTCTAATGAAGAAAAGCAACACCCAACATAATTGCCAATATCGCAGCGGGCCGCACGCGATATAGCCGAGGCTTCTCGCTGCGATCTCGCCAAAGTCTCGCTGCCATATCGCTCCCTCTCAAAAATTTGAAATTTGAAAAACATTTTTTTTGCTTTATTTTTGACTTTTATGATGAAATCAATCAAATTCAAGAAAAAAACTTTTTTTAAGAAAAATTTTTCAGAGAGCGATATAGCGCAAGACGTTTGCGAGGCCGCAGCGAGAGACGAGCGATATCGCTCGCGGCTCCCCCGCGGTATAGCGTTAATCTCGCTGCGATATAGTCCACAAAATTGGGTGAAAGCCTTTCTTGAGCTTTCGACATTCGTTTCATCTTTGAGCATGAAATAAATCTCCGACGGTTAAAAATTGATTGAAAGTACGAAGAAAAAATCTCAGCGGGGCAAGAATTTTTGGCTTCAATCAAGTTACCAAAATAACTGCCCCCACCTTCTTTCTACAAAACTAGAAAGTTCGATCCCCTGGGCTCAAAAATACAGCTCATGTGTTTCCAGAGAAGTAAATTGTATTTAATTGCAAAAAGTTTAAAATTCAAAAAAAAAATTTCAAATAAAACTTTTACTGGATAGAATCATTATGAGAGCTCTTCGCAAGATTGTGAAAATTCTGTGTTTTAAGAAGCTAGATGTAACCAACCTTATGCCTTTAGTGGATAGAAAAGCTAGCAAATGAGTAATAATCAAAAGTTATTCTTTTTCTAAAAATGGAGCAAAGCAAACGGTATCATTCTGGACGGCGATTTCCGGAGGCACAGTCCACGTCATCGGACTTTTGTCGTCCTCGTCGTTGTCGTCGCGCGGTCCGAAGACTTTCCTCGCTTCTGAAGCTCTCCGTACCCGCTTCAGAGAGACAAAGTCATGCCCCGACGGTTCTTCGTACCGCAGAATTTGAGGCAACTGCTCTTTCGAGGATCCTCGTGCTACAAATAAGTCGCTTTTAAACATTTCCAATGAAAAGTTTAAACATCAGGTTTGATTTCAACCTACAAAAACTTATAGATTGTGTTCTAATTATTCCAAAACCCTCATAACATTTAAATTTTGCGTTCCACACCCTTTTCGGGATATTTGGAATCAAATCAGACATCATTGAAATAGAAATTTTACCAAAGCATTTTTTTTCCACTAATCAGTAAACCCTAAAAATAGAACCAATTACCTGAAAAGCACGACAGGACGTAGAAAGCTGCTAATACGGAACTCGTTCTTCGCATCATCGACTCATGAACTGGAAACAAGACTGATTAGAGTGATAACAATACTTTTCATTTAACAAAAAAAGGATGAATGAACGAATTTGAAAAAATTTTTGAAAACATGGATAATGTACTACCAATACAGCAATATCTAGAGGGGAGCTTAACTATTGAGTACAAGGTATAATTCCTCGAAGAGATTTGTTATTTGCTCAAAGATTTGGCGGGCGTCCAAAGCGTATTGTGCGCTCTACGGATAACTCTTTTTTGAAATCAGTAGGCAAGAAGCCGTCACAAAAAATTTCATCAACACCAGCCGGAAGAGGCAATAGTCCCAACAAAGTGGAAAAAAGGGGGAAGAAAAACCAGCGTTCGGAGACGAAATTGCCCCTGAAAATGTTTGATGGCATACGAGATCGGCCCCGAGAGAGACAAATTTTTACGTCCGTGGGACACCTGTTCCAGGAGATTTATGGCTCGAATGCAAAAAAGGTTAGCAGTAGAATATGAGAAAGCAGTGGGAAAGGTGAAAGTGGTTCAAAAAGCTTTGAAAAATAAATACTTGGAGATTTCAAAAGATACCATTGCCAATATCTCCAAAAAATGAGTAGCTGGATGAATTTTAAAAAAAACAAAAATGTGAAGTAATATATAAGATATTATCTTTATTATATTATATCCTTGGATTGGTTCGAAGGAAAAAGAGAAGGGATTCAAAAAACTTCGAAATAAAAGGATGGGAACGTTGAAAAACTCATTTGCAAGAAACCATGAAAAATAAAGGAGCTTCTTGCCCTTTTGCTTTGGAGAAAGTTTCAAACAGCTACATCATTTCGAAATCTCTAAAAGAAATTCCTGACCTTCTTTGCCAATGAAAAAAAAAATTTACATAATGCAACCCTACTTTTTGTCTCATGAAAAACTCATCAAATCAACAGAACTCAAATACTTCAAAAAAAATGGTTAGAAAAAAAAACGCCTCCAAATATCTTCGAGACAGAAACAGAAATAAAACCGATTCCAAGAGTGAATGGCAAGAAGAAATCAAAAAAACAGAGATAAACTGGTTTCCACCGTTATCAATGAACTTGGGTAATCTCCATTGAAGTGTCTCTTCTGGAAAAAATTTCTTCGTCCAAGAGACCAAAAAAGGGAATGGAGAAAAGCAAATGGAGCGTTTTAATTAAAACGCAAGCATCATGATTCGCTGAGAACGATGAAAACTCCCTCAGAGAAAAAAAAGGGGAATTTCCTCCACGTCAGCTTTCGAACTCACGGCAAAGAGAGCAAAACGAGGTAATACTCGTTTCCGGGCGTCGAGAACAAGCCGAAAAAGAGCTTAAAAATGTCGACGAACGGCTTTTTGGAACGAGGCAAGATGATTTTCGAGAAGTTCAGACTCAAAAACGAGCCCAATTTCTCTTCGTCGTTCTCCCGTCGCCCACTTTTGCGAAATGAAAACAGCTCCGAGGGTTCATCTATCACCGCGACGAGTGTCTCCCCCGTTGCCACGATCATTCGTTCGACAAATGTCGAATAAATGGAAGTATAGGCGGTTCGAAAATGTTAGCTGCGGTCTTGAAATCTGCACGAAGTGAGTCATGTGGTTAACTTCTTCAAAGAGCCAAAGTTTCTGATTCTTTACATTGAAAAGGGCGCTGGGCGATGAAATTTTGAAAAGCTGATAATAATTGTAAAAAGTTTGGTTTTCATGGGATTCGTGACTATTCAAAACTTTTGAATAAACCTTCTCAGGGCTTCTAAGAAGTCTCTCAAGGGAAATGAAGAGGTTCACCTGTTCCTTTTTGTGTCAAAGTAACAGACAACGAAATGAAAAAACTCAGTAAATGTCATATTTTTCAAATATCGTCCAAGATATCAGAAATCTCCAAGCAACCTGAGACTCCTTAAGCCAATGTACGCGCAGACTACGCAACTACAGTTGCGCAACAGCCTTATTAGTGAGGCCATGTTCCATTTTCGCATAAAACCTGAGCTGAACGGAGAACGCATGAAAAATGGACAGCTGACGCGATGTCGGCTCTCATCGAGTGAAAGCATGATTTTTTGTTTGAATAAATACCTCTATACTCTTTATAAAAAAGACCGCGGAGAAGAGAGGTGCTCGAGAAGACGTTTGACATTTGATTATAATGAATGGAGGCAGGAAAGAGAGCAGAAGGTGAGGATAGAGACAGGCGGCACTCGAGAGGGCGACAAGATGATGGAGCAAGGTGGACCGAACAGAGGTTCGCCTTTGTTCCAGTCGTTTAGAAGCAAAAAAATAGTGTTCACTAAAAGCTTGTACTTTTCAGAATTCATACAGCGCCATTTGTGCTTAATCCATCATTTTATTCTCAAATGAAGCTATAAAACTGAACGAAGGATTTATTAATATAGAAAAAAAAAGTCGAAAATCAAAGCTTTGAAGAAGAAATCTAATCCGGAGTCATCAAAATTTTCCTTAGCTAGGGTCCGCAAGCCATTTCTTCAGAACGATTCAAAAAATATGTTTTTTACACTGTTCGATAGAGGAGACTGTCCATTTTCATAATCCGTTTAGTTTTTGAAAAAAGGTCCACTAAGAAAAAAGTTATGGCCAGAAAACTGGCGCGCGCGGCGTACAACTGGAGGCAAAATCTCACGGTTTACCCGCTGCCGCACGCTTTCTTTTTAATTGTTTTTGCGCGTTTCTGAACCGTTTTCGAATCGGTTTTCTGTTCTGAGAGGTTGACAGAACTGAGCTTAACGTTTTGGTATAAATCTTTTGTATAACTCTAATAAGAATTTTTTTGATAAAATATCAAAAAAATACTTAGAAAAAAAGGTCAGAAGGAATTTTTCAACTTATTTTTTTCTTTTTGCTAATCAGAAAAAAATTATTATCATTCGATTTGGAAAAAAGAAAAAAATGGAAAATGATGTTATTTCGAAATAAAAACAGGAAAAAAGTGCAATTTGACTCCGAAAAAAACGGCTCCTGCAACATATAAAATGGCGCATTGGTGTGTTTAACGCAAACACAGCTACGAATGCTTGCACGAATTCTTCCAAAATTTCAAAAAAAGTTGCCATTTTTTCGAGGTTTTCAAAGCTGTTATTTTTTTCACGTCGTTAGATTTTTTTCATAATTTTTTCATTGATAGAGTTTTGAACGCTTAAGAACATAATCAAAAATATAGACGCGATCCTATTCTCTCATGCGTCAACGAGGCAGGCGAAAAAAAGGAGGTTTTGGTAAAATTCAAATATAATTTAATTCGCTGTCCCAATAATTATTTTTCATTCTGAATTTTTTTATTTTTTTGAACACATTGTGAGTTTTTTTAATCAAATAAAAAAAGTATACCTTGTCGCTGAAATTTTTTTCGCATTTAAGCTTCAAAGTTTGGTGTCACTTTACAAGCTTTAATATTTTTTTCGCGTCGTTAGATTTTTTAAAATTTTCACTCGAAAATTAAAGAAAGTGTTAATATATAACATACTCAAAATTTAGAAGCGTTCCTCACTTAGTTTTCCTGAAACGCGACGATTTTATGAAAGTTGTCAGATTTTTTCGTGTGAAATCTTACTTTTTCGCTTATTTTTGAAAAATAAATAGTTTTAAAAAGATTCAGTCTTGTAGAGAGTTGTCGATTACATGGAATAACAGAAACAGTTCATTTTTAAAGTGGGACTTTAGCTAGTATAAACGCCTCAAAACCGTTTTTGCAACAAAAAAATCGTCATTTTGGTGGCGTGAAGGGGCGGGGCTTTGCGCCCCCTATCCTTAGCATCATTTTTGCAATAATAAATCTTCGAACTACCCAGAAGTCGCAGAAAAAAAAAAAATTAAACAGAAGCTTTAAAGCTTCATTTAAAACTTTTTTTTGAAGCTTCTCCTAGCTTTTTCCGACTATGTAGACGAAGAAATCGAACCAGCAAAAAATTAGGAATCATTAAGAAAATTAAACTGAGATTTTGAAGCTCACAATATGGAGAGAAAAAATAAAAGTCACACGTGTGAAATAAATCTTCACCCAGGCGTTTGCCTCGAGAAAAGGAAAAAAGAAAGCGCGCAAAGAAGCTTGTAATCAATTCCTAATGACAGATGTTGCACAGGACATATCAAAAAAGAGGTCGATAACGGCGGAGAGTTCATATCCATCTACACAGAGTGCGAAACGAACGGGCGGCACGCAATTAGTGCTAACTGGCAGTAATTGACCGCCAATCAACAGGGACTCTTCCTAGTTGTTCCAGGGAACGGAAACGGAGAAAAATAGAACGCTTCAGGACCTCTATGCATTTATTATGGACTACGTCGCCTTTTCCCGTCCTTGTTTTGGCGTCGAGTCCACCAAAATGTTATTTAAACTTTCAGATCCATAAAAACAATAACATACTTCCTGAGAAAAACATGGTGCTTTCAAGAAATGCGCGAAAAACAAACGTGAGAATCAAAGAGTTTTTAATGATGTTAACAGATGGCTTGAGACGATATTTAGAGATGGTTTTGCGTATCTAGCAAAAAAAAAAATATAATGCTTAATTAAGAGATTTATCTGTCTCTACACTATCTTTTCAGGGAATGAAGCAAAAACTGTTATAAAGTTTTCCTTTGAAAACTATATTTAAATAATTGATTAGAAAAACATTTTTCGGTAAGACAAATTTCAAGTCCGTTCCAAAAAAAGTTCTGATCGTAACGCGACCGAAACGCTTTGAGACATTCCAAGCGCCATGGCGACGTTTCGAGAAGAGAAGAATGTAGTAGAGCCCTTGTAAAAATCTGAGAAAAACTTTGAGCGATTTTAAAATCGATCACACAAGATCGAAAATCAATTTAGTCTGCTCATATAATTTCTTCGATTTAAAAAGGTCTTGCTCGAAAAAGCAAGCTATAAATTGAATAAATATTCTACTTACTAATCGATTCATTATAAACCTCAAAAACTAAGTCCAAGACAAAAAGTTCTATCTCACGTGTTGATTCATTATTCTGCAAACCAGCACTTTCTCAAGCTCCTATTTTCATATATCAAACAACAAGATTATTATCGCTTTTGAGAAAGTACAATTTTGCAAGAGTCCGAAAACAACTCACCTGACAAAGTTCAGCTTTGCAAAACCCTCAACGAAAGGACTGTTTTTGTCAAAATTACATCGAAAAAATATCACAAAATGGAGATTCGAGGAAAATGAACAGCAGTGGGCGCGAAAAGCTGAAAATGGCGAATAAATGTCAGCTCCCGCTGGGGTTTGTGGGAATTTTTAACAAATGTCACATTGAAGTTGGCAACAAGTGTCCCAAGGGCGTCAGACCAACACCAAAACGCATATTATACTTATACGAACGTTTCCGATTTCTTCTCATGATTGTTGAGATAACATATGATGAGAATGAAGCAGCAATAAATGGACGAAAAGTGGAGAAGATACCACTGATGGAAGTCCAAGACGTGTCTCAGAAGAAACAAATTTCGAATTTTAAGTCCTTTCCAGCTTTTCATTTCGAAGCCTTGTCTGAGAGATCCATTCTCGAAGAAAAAAAAGGTGTTTTGAAAGGCGAGATTAAAAAATACACAAATGTTATATAGACGGAAAGTTCTCAAAAAAAAAAAATTTGGACTTCCTTTTGAAACTCAAAATTTCGTAAGAAGGGATTTTTTCAAATGCATCTCATTATAATTTTTTTGAACCTCCGTTTGAACCGGTATTTCAGTAGAAAAAAAAGTAATTTATAAGGTGAATACATAAAAACACAGAAAACGTGATAATGAATAATAATTGACGAAAATGCGTACTTTTTTGAGAAAAATATTTCGAAGGGACATTTCCAGAAAAAAAGCTTCGTTTAGCTTTCAAAAAATTTGAAGTGTGAGCTGTGGGTGGAACTTATAGTAATCTAATTCTCTAGCGGCTCTCGCACTTATAAAAAAAAACAGAATTCAGATCCGAAAACTTCCGGATCAGCGAAAGATTCTTTCAAAATAAAAACAATGAAATTTGACATTTTAATCATTTAAATCGCGTGAGAAGAATATTTATCTCGCAGAGAAAAAGAAGCAATAAATAAAAAAAGAGTTGAAAGAATAATATGCTCACATCGGGTCCAGTTCGAAATCAAATCTGTTTGACGATCCTGTACAAACAATTTGGAAGATTATTACTTCAAATATATATTCAAATTCACAGGAATGTTAAGGTTAAGGATAAAGTGTTTTTTTCACGAGGATCTGGCAAAATGTTCGAAAGTTTGGCAACAAAGATATCACATCAAGGAGAAACCAGTTTCCGCATTCAGAAGTATCGGGAATAAATGATTATATTCTGGGTTTCTTGAAGACGACACGATCGACCTTGACGTTGTCGTCGATCAAACGGTAGAGGTAAGTGACGATACTGTCGGCCTGGACGTCCAAAAGGGCGAAAGACGGGACCACCGGACTGAAAACAACATCGTTTCCGCAAAAAACACATAGAAATCCAGAGAAAAAAAAAACAAAACTAATAGTAATTTGTGATGAGTGCCAAGAAGTTCCAGAACCTAGGCTCAAATCAAGAAGATCAGACTCACTCGTCTTTGACGACTGAAAACGCTCCGGTCGCACTTCCTGGGTCCACATAGAAGCGTCCGGCCTTCTTGAAAAGGAATTCGTTCAGTTTCGATGAATAAACTAATAAAAACCTCGCGAGCAGTACATTCATAGCTGTTGCCAGTCACAAGGACGTCGACATCCAACTGACGCGCGAGAAGTTCCAGCATCTGAACTGGATTTTGGCAATACCTTAGTAATTTATTACCTGAGTCTTTATTCAGTTTTATCAAATAAAAAGGGAAGAAAAAGGAAAGTGTTGAGCAGAGGTCGAAACTCCGTTTCATATGTATTTCTTTCTCACTCAAGCCCTTCATTTGTACCTTCCTTCTTTCAAATTGATAGCAGACTAAGTGAATATAATATGAAATGAATTTTTTTTTGAATAATATGAAGCGTTCTAAAGCCCATTCACCACAACTTGAAACAGTTTTTAGCTCTTTATTTATTATCCGCAACAATATTCCAGCAAAAAAAAAAATTTTTTTTTAAACTTAAATTAAAAGAGTCAAATGAAAAAGATTGAAGGTTATCACAAACCCTCTGATCGCCCCAGGGAATCACTTGATGGCCGTGGCACAAACCGATTCTGAACTGTCCAACGGTGACTATCTAAATAGAAACCACTTTTGAAATAGTTTGAAAACTACTGAAACCTTGGTATCCGGATATTTCAAGGAATCGTCGTCAAAATCGCCGCGGACTACGTGGACGTCAGAAGAAAGGCTTCTGGACAAAAATAAATGTGTTTTGAAAAGTGAATTTTCGCGTCTTGAAATCTATGCTAGTGCGTTCAAATTTACACATGACCAAAAATAACACTGTTCTTACTTCAAAGAAATTCGAAAAACTTTGTTTAAATAAAACCTCAAATAATCGAAAGTCTCGCGGGTGCAGAGGTTTCCCGTACACAGGACGTGTTGCATTTTGTTGGGAACCAAAAGTTTTCGGAATTTGGCCGACAAATTGTGCGCGCGGTGCGGCAGGTGCAAGTCGCCAATCAACAGGACCAACTGAAATTGAGACAAATTCATGAAATGTTTTGAGAATCTATGAACTAACCATTGCGGGAGTGAGTTAAACCACAGAGAGATCCTTCCTAAGAAAGATGAAAATAAAAATTTTCTGATGATTCTCAAAGTATCAACGCTATTAAAAGCGATCGCTTTCGCAAAGAAAACGGCATAAGAACATTTTTTATAAATTCTGTAGAAAAGTTATGAAAAATGAAACCCGTGAAAAGCAACCATTAAATAGATAACAAATGGAAGAGTAACATGAAACTATGAACAAAACCATCTAAACAAAGTCCTTCACTTCACTTCAATTCACTAAAACTTGTCTTCGAATGATCATGAAACTACTTGCACTCTAAAATAGCTATTTCTTATCGTCCTGTGACGCCTTCTGAGAAGCTTCTTTGGCTTTCGTCTTCGATTCTGCCGTCACGAATCCGACGGCGCCGCCTCGCGCTTCCAGAATCGACGTCAACGTCTTCGGGAACAGAGCCATCGCCTTGAACTTCTCGCCCATGTCGCCCATCAACATATTGTACGATTCTGAACCGTTTCATGACTTCGAGACGCACCCGAATGATGAGAGAGAATAGAGTACGGGAAAAGCCGGAAAATGATGATAACAAAATGAAAAACTGCCAAATTTAGCATAACATCCTTAAAAAATGAGAAAAAAAAAACCTTCAGGACTTTCAGGAACGAAAAAATATATTGTGAAAATAAAAAATAATTATCAATTCAGTCAGTTTATTCTAATCGTTCTGCAAAAGTGTGTCTCAAAACCAACTGATGAGGTTTTCCTGCTTCTGACGATCCGAACACGTCTTCAGAAGCCGCCGCAACCGATGCTCAATACCCAACTGCAGTAAAAATTCCCTGAGAAATGAGAAGTTTGAAATAGTCCAATGTATAACAAACCTTTGAGACGTCGGCCCATAGACAACGGTTCGATCCGAAACCAAGCTTTTCAAGTACCCAAAATCGACGTCAGCGGTAAGATCAACACGGCCAGGATCAGATACTGGAGAGACCTAAAAAAAAATCTTAATTTTTTGACTTTTTTATGAGAGAAAAAACATTTACATTTCAAAAAAAGAACCTGTTTATGTTTACTGTAGGCGCGGAAGGAATGAGTATTGCGACTTCCATCATGTCCATAGTCTACCAAAAGACCAAATCCGCCAGAGGAAACAATTCTGAAACGAAGAATTAGGCTTAATAAGGCTTTGAAATAAAAAGTAAAAACTAAAAAAGTTTTAAATAAAAAAACTTTCTCTGAACTCTTAACTCTTCAAATTTATCTTTTTGACCTTAAAACTAATCACTGAAAATGAGAAAAAAAGGGAGAACGGAAACTTGAAAAATTTTTTTTACTTCAACCGTGAACGGCTTTTTTTCTTTGTTTGAATTATGAAAATAGCTTAGAAAGAAAGGAAATTGAAGTTCCCAAGGCTGTTTTTTAATAGAACCTATTTTTTTCAAAGTAAGCAAATACTAATTCCACCGAAAAAAATTTAAATTCTCTCAAAAAAATTTTTATACAAATTAACCTCTCAGCGATTTGATTAACGACGGTTCCAGCTTCTGGAGAACACTCCCACGTCTTACGATTTTTATCATCTCTGATAGTTTCCGGCAAAAGTCCTCTGGAAACCAATGAAAAACATTTCATTTCACGCTGCAACCTCACTTCGTGTGCAAGTTTTCGCTCTTTGACTGCATCAGACATAAATCCCCGGTTGAATCTATATTAACATAGCTGAAAATGGAGTAATGATTATTCATATAAAGGAAAAAAACGGACATTTCGCGCCACAAATCGTCGTTTCCTCGTTGAAACTGATGTATGGGCAGAGCATCGAGAAATTCGTTTCCAACGAAAACAGTGAACTAAAATTGAAAGATTCAAGTTATATCGGTTTAAAGGTGAAAAAATTGAATTGAAACTTACACCTTCTGGTATTTCATCAATTGATTTGTACCAGAAAACGTCGGCTCCGGTCCGCGATTTATTTTTTCGAACGTATGGCGTATCTGCAGAAAAAAAGCTGTAAGAAAAAAAATTTTTAATGAAAACATAGACATTTCGATGGAAGAAAACGGTAAAATAGAGACCCCAAAAGTTTTTTGAATTATGAAAAGACTTTCTATGATATCTAATTGGAGAAAGTTTTGAGAAAACTTCCGCCAGGGAGTGAAAATTGTAACTAAATATTGGAAAGTCAGAGAGAATCCTGATTTTCGCAAAATTACTTTGAGAAAGGCACGAAAAATCGCTTCAAAATGAACCTTTTGGTTGAGTAGAATTGTCGACGCAAAGCGTACGTTCCTGTTCTTGAATAAGAGCATCGGAAGTTTCTACGAGATGTACAGACACGTCCCGATCCTTCAAAACTTCGTAATATTTCCAAATAGTATGATAAAAAATACCTGGAACTTGTCCAACGATTCCAGAATGTCACGCATAAGTTGACCGCGACCAGGTCCTAACTCGACTAATTGCCATTTTCCACGGTGACCAGTATTCGCCAATTCGTGAAAAACCCTAAAAAATTTTTTTCATTGAGTTTTGAGCAATTTTAATTGAAGCCTACCATACGCCAATCATCTCGCCAAAAAGCTGTGTAAGTTCTGGAGCCGTGATGAAGTCTCCGCTCGCGCCAAAAACCTTCAAATAAAACCTTCAAAAACCGCTAATGCCATTTATTTTCATGAAAAACCTGTTGCCTTTCAGAAAACTGTCCATAATAGCCGACGGATGGGGCAGAGACGACTGTCTTCATATATTCGGCGACTGTGATGGGTCCCGATGTGCGAATTTTATCAACGATAAACTTTTTGAGTGGGTTTTTCTCATTCTGAAAAGTCGACGCATAAGAAATTAAAAATCAAAGACAAAATCAAAAGGCTATGAAACGAAACTAAAACCTTTTTATAATCGGCCGGAGTCAAGATAGCTTGTGAAAAAAATCGAAATCGTTGCAAACAAGGCTTTCGTCTTGTAATTGAAGAGAACATCTATATACTACTCCAGAGTTTTAGAGAAATCTTGGAAAATATAACAAACATGAAAGCGCGCTCCAACCGACAAGCTTGTACAAGCTTTATACAAACTTCTGGCAATTCCATATAAACATTATGATTTGCGTATCGTTCTCAAAAGCGATTCATCACGCGACATACGATTTCATTTATGAGGCGGGAAACTTCAACTTCAATGAAAGAATGAAAAAGGCCAACTTGGAAATAAACATGCTAAAAAAGGAGAAATGAACGAAATTTTGTAGTTCCATCAGCCGGTTAACGTATTAAAAACTAATAAAAAGCTTAACTTCTTTCAAAACAAAATTTTATTCGAAAGGAAAACTTTCGAAACCTGGTTCAATAAAAACACCGTAGTTATGGCGTCATTTATGATGTATTTTTTCCCACACGCCGACGATAATTTTGCTTAATATGATTTACGGTGCCGTACTGGGATAAGTTTTAGGGGGCCCTATAGGGGGTCGCGATTTTAGGGGGCCCTATAGGGGGTCTGCAAGTGGCCTTTTTAGGGGGAAATCCCTAGGGCCCCCTATAGGGAGTCCCTAAATCGCTCCCTAAAAAAATTGTAAGACCCTCAAGGGGTCGCGAAGACCCCTTTGGAACGAAAGTGGTTTTTTTAAATATCTTTCTCATTTTCTAAGTTTTGAGTTGACTCAGTCGACCCAGTTTTAGTTTAACTTTATAACTTGTATTTATATTTCATCAATTTCTGTGGTGCTTAAGGAAGTAATACGTTATTCACGAACGAGTTGTCAGTAGGATTTTTTCGTTATGGTTTCAAATTGTATTATAATGATTTGTGCGTTTTTTTTTTGTGCTCCATAAAAGTTAACACGGCAATCTGTACATTGGTTCATTATTTTCAGTGTTTCGTTTATGTACAATTGATATATTGGTTTATGTAAATATGTTCAGAGTATTTTTTTATTTTGGTATTTTCAGAGTTTCGTCTATGTATAATTGGTCTACTGGATTGTGTGAAACCGTCAGAAATTCACCGGTAGATGATGTTTGTTGGAGGTTTTTGATGTAAATGCGTGTTTATATATTCTATTTGATTATTGCTCGTTAAAGAAGACTTAATTTTTTATTAAGATGCCGCGGAGTCGCGATTTTATTGATGCGCATTGGTTCTACAGCAGCGATGAAGATTCTGAAAGGTATATCGAAAATGTTGATAATGATAAATGATCGTAGAAGCACGGAATCAGCCGACGGAAATTTTGAGCCGCCACATGAACCAGAATCAACGGAAGATTACCGCGGGCCGAGCAATTCAATAAGTTGCTTTCAAATGTCAACGTTGGTTGTTTTTTGCTCACTGTTCAATTGTTCTTTTTTATATGTGCCAAACTTTTTGCCCCTTTATCTAAGTAGTTTTAACTGTTTCCGTGTCGGAAGTCCCAACATTTTTTATTGAAAGTTGCCCAACCATTTGCCTTGACACAACGCGTTTTTCTTCTATTTTTTCGCAAGTAGCGCTTATATCAATATGCTTTAGGCGTATCTTTATTGTCTTGAAGAGCTTCTATTAGATTGATCAATACGGTTTCCGTTGGCAGTGATTTAGACGTGTCAAATATTTATACGGGTCTTTTACGGCCAAAAGTTTTTTTGCTTCCTCGAATATCCTGTTACGTATACATATCTTCAGTTTTTTGCTCGTTGTTTTGTTACTTATGTCTATCTGTTTCCATTGATGATCCTGATTGCTTTTTAATGTTTTCAATTCCTTTCAATAAATTTGGAAACAGTTTCAAACGCAATGAGATGAGTTTACTGCGGATGTGTTAACGATTCGCATTCAATAAGGGTTTCTCTATTTCCTCCTGGAGCTATTTCAGAAATTTTTCCGTGCCCCCCTCTAAAGGGACCCCTAAAAAAATTCGTAGGGGTCCCTATAGGGTTTCATTTAGGGGCCCCTATAGGGCCCCCTCCAAGGGGCCCTAATTTACCCCCTATAGGGCCCCCTAAAACTTATCCCAGTAATTTTACACCGCACTGCAGAAAACCAACAGAAGCTGTTCGATTGATCGATTGTACATATTCCTTTTAGAGATATTTTTCAACGACAACTAGATACTTTATAAAAAGCGGTAAGGACGAACTTTTATCCACTTTAATTTCACTCGGTTTAGAAACAGTGAAGAGCATCTCGTTACACCAGAGAAGTTTAATTATATCCAAACGAGCTTATGATCATCTCAAGGCAACGACGAATGAGTCATTAGGCGTCTCATGTCTCCAGCATGAGTTGTTACCCATAACCAGACTCCTTCTTAGATTAGCAACGGTCCCCCTACTTGTGAGTTATGTTTGTAGAATAATATATTATAATATAAAGTCTCCGGTAGAGTTTATGTTTCCATGGTACAACTCCATTTTTTTGGATCTCCAAAAGTCGTAGAGAAACATATCACTTTCTGGATGTGACAAACTGCAGGAAGGACCGCCCTTGGCCGAATGGGGCCTCTCCTGGGAGTTCCAACCGCCACAAGATGTTGTCATCATTCAAAAACATCAAAATTCCCGCTTCCAGACTTGTTTCCATCCAGCTTTTCACTCTCTCCTTCTGGAGCTTCTTCATCATAGTCGTGATTTTTTAATAAGAAAAAAATGAATGGTAGAAAAAAATTATGGAAAGAGTGTTACAGTATGAAAAGTTTTCTTCTTTTTAAATTATGACATTGAAATTTTAGAAAAAAAAAAGTTCTTTTGTACTTTTGAGCTAATCGATAGCCTGCCGGAATTTTTTTTCCTTGTTTGAACCATTGTTTTTAAATTTTAGGAAAAAAAGGATTATTTTTTTTAGACTAAAGAAGCAGGATCAGTGCACATTTCGTCCAAAAGACCATTCATGGTCTTTTGGACGAAAAACACTTGAGAAAACTTTGGCTTGGATTTGGTAACAGTTAAGCATTTTTAATTCGAAAATTTCAGAAGGGATGTTGCTAATTATCATCTTAGGATCACAATTTAACTTTTAAACAAAGCTGTTTGTAAAAGATTTCGCTACTGTGTACTAAATTAAACGGATGCCAAATTTATGCGACTTCGTGTGTCAGAGGGCAGCTTTAAATGCGGGAACAATAGAAAAACGACGGCCAAAAAGAGTTGCAATGAATCACTTCCAGGCGATCGCCATGCATTACGTCTAGCATCTTCCCGAAAAACTTCCCGTCTCAAGTCCAAAACAAACGACGACCAACATGTGGTCCTTCCTTCTGCGCGTCTTTGTTTTTCTGGTGAGATTTGTTTTTCTTGAATATTGTCGGATAGTCATGATTGCAGTTGGAGTGCTGGCAACTGAGCGGCGAGTACTCAGAGTTGATGCGAAGCGAATTGGGCGTTTTCGTCGAGCCGCTGCGCATCGTCTACGAAAACGCGACGCATCCGCCGTTGTACAACATTCGCTGCCGTCTTTCTCTTCACAAGTCAGATTGGGACCGGTACCTTACGCTTCTGTACTTTCGTGTTCCTTTGTTGCAATACGAAACTTCGAAAAAGGCAGTCTCGGTGTTCCTCAAAATATGGAGCCACATGTACATCTCGATTCGCTCATCCATCGACAAAAAAAAATTGAGATCTTGGACTTTCAAGTTAGAGCGAATGTTTTAGGTATCTACATAAATAAATTTTTATTCAGTAAGAGCATTCCAAAAAAAGGAATCAACTATTTTTTTTTTTCGCATGAAACTTTGTTTTCCATCCTCTTCCTGAAATTTCTCTGAACTATTGAAAAAATTTTTTTCGTATAGTAAATGTTTCCCGACTTGAAAGGCGAGGGAGGCGGGGCAGAATGCGGGACGCGTAGCGTGTGCGTTCGCGGTTCTTGCCACGTGTCCAATTCAACCGCCATCTACTCTTTGAAAAGCCCGTTTTTCGCTTTTTTTTTTCATTACTTTTTCAATTATTTAGTGATTATGTTCATGTGTGCATCAAAAAATAGTAGAAAACATTGAAAAAGAGCGGTTGCCGAGCTTTTCAAATAGTCGGCGACAATTGAATTGAACTCGTGCCGAGAACCGCGAACGCACACGCTACGCGTCCCGCCCCTTGCCCCGCCTCCTTCGCCTTTCAAGTCGGGAAACATTGACTATATTATCCTATGAATTTTCGAAAAAAATTTAACAAGCTTCTGCTAACTTCGTATCGCTTTTTGTGGCCGCTAAACTGCAAACTTTCCAGTTCAAAATTATTCAAACTATCCACCTTATTTCTGGGCTTTTTGTTTTCTATTTTGCAAATTTTCCAGAGACTCCTGTTCAAATCCACAACTTCGACTCAATGACACAGTTTCATGGTCTACACGAGTTTGCTATAAATGGGTCTGCGATACAAGTTTTTTTTTTGCTTTTCTTCGGATCAGTTGTCATTTTCTTTCAGCACAATACGCTATGCGAGTCGAAAGTTGTTGGATAGGCACAAAAAAGAATCCAGTATTTTTGATACGAAACGATGGGTTTGTTCACGTTTTTTGGAAGCTTAATAGAATCTTAGAAAGTTCAATCTTCTTGAAATTCTTCTCTTTTTTTTCAAGAATTGAAAGGACGATGAAAGATCGAAAAATCATTTTTATGACAAGAAACAAACGAAGAGAGAGTTGTATTCTTGATTTGAAAATTTACTGATTTTTACGTGAAATCAGAGCTTTTTTTTACCTATAGCTACTCCCGATCAAAATCAACTTTCCTCCTCTTTTAGAAAATAATATTTTCTTTTGCATGCTCTAAAAGAGGTAACCGCGACGAGTTGAGCCAATCTTAGCGGCAATTTTGAATGTTTCAAATCATAAAAGATTGAATACGAGTCTGAAAGTAATTTAGTAGAAAAAACACATTTTTCTTGGAATCTGACTCGAAATTTCAACTTCATTCAGATGCACGATTGAGCGAGCGATTCTGACATCTCCAGTGTATTCGTCTTTCACAAGGGCGGCAGCAATTGGATGGCTCTCCGTTCGAGAAAAAGGTTTCTTTTTCTTGAAGTTATTTTTAATCATGGAAAGTCATTATTTACAGGAATGCGATACGTTTCAGTTGGTTGCACGATTCGTCTATGTCATCTATGCGATCCAGACTGTCAAGATTTAACAGTAAGCATTTCAAGAATGTGTGGAATTGGGACTCTATCCAAAGGTTTAGCGCAACAGGTAGGTTGTTTAGTTCTCTGTTGATCGAAAATGGGTATCGTAGCGAATACCGTACTACATGTCTTTGCGATTTTTCGTGCCGTTTTCAAAGTAATTTCTGCGAAGTTCGATTTCTTCTCTGACTCTCCAAAATTTAGTTATCTTTTTCTTTCTCTGACGGCTATTTGAATCTCACGGAATCACTTTTAAAAACAGCATTGACTTCAGGATATTCTAAAAAACTATAACAGCCAGCTGAAAAGAGATAAATGTGTTTTCAATTTTAAACGTTTCCTGGATAGTAATGTCACTTTTTGCCGTATTATAGATGAAATGAACCAATCAGAGTAGTTTTTCTTCAAGTAAGACATAATCAACGCTATTCGTCTTGAATTTCTGAAAACTGTCCATATCTAGCCCCCAACAACGTGTCGGGACGGCCGAGAGGCAGACTACGTGCAGATGTGGAACACGTCGAGCCGCGTCAAAAACCTCTGTTTTCCGGAGCCGCCGACGACGTCGCCACCGCCGCTCAGCGACGCCGCTTCGTTTGTTTGTACATCTCTTCTCTCGTTGTTTTGTCTTATCATCTTCTTATTGTGATAAATTGCACATATTTCATTTTCAAACTTTTCTATAAAAACTTTTTGAAAAATTTATCAGGAAAACGACAAAGAAATGAGAGAAGTGATTTAAAAACAATTTTATAGAATTGTAGTGAAATTGTTATGCCTCGTTCAAAGTTTTTTTTTTTGGAAAATCGGAATGACCGTCAGAGAGTGGAAAATCAATGGAGATTTTGGAGAGCCAGAGATTCTGTCTGTTTTGCCGAAATCACTCTGAACGCGGCATAATAGAGTTATTCCCCGTAAATAACTAAAAACACAAAGTGAGTAAAAAAATAAATTAAAAATTGTTTTGATACTCCTATAAGAAATTTGGATTCATGTTGCCACAGACAGTATGACATGTCTGCGCTCTCTTTTCTCGGTGTTGTCATGATTGGAAATAGAAAATTAAAAAGAGCGTCGCTGAGAGACCAATAGGGCACAGACACTCTTAACTCTTCGAAAAGGCGAAATGGGTATTTACGAATATATATTAAATTAGGATTTTCTCTTTCGAATTGTTTCAGCAGCTTCTTTCAAAAACAGAATTTCTATGGGGTTAAATTTCTAGCGACTCTTCCGGCCAGTCGAGCGTCGTCGGTCAGGAAAGGGACATGCAAATAGTTTAGAAAGAACTCCATCTCTTCCCGAATATTCGAAGTCCACGCAGCCATGTACATATCGTTTCTTCTTGCTTCCATTGCGCCGTATCTGGAAAGAAAATAGCGAAATTTTTGTCATTCCAAGGTCTAAGCTAACAGTTTTGAAGATACTTACATTTCAGTGTTTTTAATCAATATGAAGGGTGAGAAAGTAAATATGAAGAGGACATTATTATGACAAGGTTTTCAGGATTTCTGAAATTTCTTAGAAGAAAAAGGTTTTAAAGATGAGAATATTTTATATCGCGCAGCGGGTCCCAAAAATGGACGGCTTAGAGGGTGACCCATCGTCAGCATTTTACCCTCTTGCTTTAAATCAAAAAGATATAAAAAGTTTTTAAGCTATTACACCTAGGCGCAGTTTTAAATCAATAAAGTTTGGAAAATTGGAAAGGAAAAGGAAAAAAAAACTGAGAAATGAAGGGGGAAGAAAAAGGAAAAGAAAACATGTTTTTCAACTCCTCAAAAAGCTTTGGAAATTATGAAACTTGAAAATCAGACGAAAGCTTCAGGAACATATTTTTCCAAAACAAATAGATACGAGTAAAGTTAAATTCCAATTTTCGAAAATAACTAGACAGATGAAAAAAACAAACCTGCTGACGTCATTGCAATGAAAAAGGAGCATGTCTGCGCCGAGGAACGTGGGCATCGCAAATGATCTGAAAACCTTCTTCGCATTTTCTCTTTCTCGAAAGGTTGAACTTGACAAGAGCGGTCAGGACATTGTCGACCATAAGAGCGATGACGTGGAGTATTCCTTGAAACCTTGGTTTCACGCCATCTTCGTCCACAGTACTCAGTTCGCTGCTCCGGTAAGTGAATCCTGGAAAACTCACTCTCAAACTTCGTTTCTGAAGACGTCTGTCAGTCTAAAATTTAATTTCATGGGTTTTTCTTTCAGTAGAAAATAGAAAAAATAGAAACTACCAGTCAAAATGTTGGGGTCACGACTTTTCACTTTGTAGATGTCGATCGGGTTGAAACCGCTCACAATCACTTTGCCGTACAAATTGTTTATCTGGATCAACTTCGAAAAAGTCGAGGTCATCTGAACCATAAAACTGTCATTTTTTTCAGAAAAATCTTGGCCGACATTGTCGGTGACGTCCTTGATGTCCCACAACATCATCATATCGTTTTGGACGCACCATTCGACGGCTTCTTCAAACGTTGGTAGGCTTCTAGAGCAAGTTAATTACCTATTACAGAAAAAAAAACGATGGACAAAATTACCCGTTGTTTAAGGTGAATCGAAGCTGTTTGAACTCGGCCAGAGTCATTTTAGAGATTTCTCGGTCAACACCAGTTACGGCTACTGAAAGGTTCATTCATGTTTTTTTTTTCAAGAATGAGTCCAATTCAGTGTTTTCGATATTATAACGTTTGAAAAAAAAAACTTAACACCAAAAAATATAGCAAATCTAGAATTATTCGGAGCGAATTTCCCACTATATACAAGTGTGTGAATTTCCTCTTTGTCTATGCGAATCGTGCAAAAAAATATTTAAAAAATGAAGTTATTTTAGTCTTCGAAGCAGGTGAAATCTACATCTAATTCAAATTTTTGATAGAGAAATTATTTTTTTTGATACATCAAAAAAAGGAGAATGTAACCATCCTAAATCAAAAAAAGCCGGGAAGTTCTAAATTCTTACAAGCTATCAAGATTGGCGATGTTTTTTTTAGAAGTCTAAATAAAAATGGGGCTTTCAGGACTCCATCCATTCATTCGAAGTTTTTTTCTCCGTCATTTTTGAAAAACTTTGAAACTTCGAGTAGAACGACCTCTTTGGTTGGGAAGTTTGATTTCTCGAAAAACAGATACTTTTAAGAAAATCATACATGTGTTCGGATCGTGGCAGATGACGGCGACACCGTCGGACGTCGTCTGAAGATCCATTTCTACTAATTGGGCTCCTTCCATTTTTGCCTAGAGCTTGTGATCATCCAATGTTAAAGGGTATTTCTCAACTCACAGCCGCGAAAGCTTCTAAACTGTTCTCAGGAATGTTGCCGTAGTGAGACCCACGATGAGCTCCAACTTTGAATCTCTCAAAAAACGCCGTCTTCTGTAATCATCATTTTTTTTTCACTTGAGTTGGATGTTGTGCACATTGCCGCTGTTTACTATAGTATGATGGCGAAAAATGAAAAACAGGGCGGCGAAGATGAAAGGATACACGAATATGCTGACCAGTATTATTCGCATCGTCTGGAAACTTTTTTGTAAACTATGCATGTTCAAGCTGTACATTTTGTACTTTCTATCGGAAATCCAATCAACAAACCACATATTTGCAGGCGAAGGCGGAAATCACAGAAAGAAGAACGAATAGAAGGGCCCAAGCGATGTAGGTGAGCGACTGGAAGTCCATCTGCGATAATCAAATTAATTTCAATGAAAAGGTTTTCAGAAAGTTTTTAATTAAAATAAATAATTAAAAGAGGGTTTTTTTCAGGTAATGTTTTTTTCCTCCCTGGATAAAAATAATTCTTTCACTTTTTCCTTTGTTCTTCTCAGAAGCTCGAACCTCAATCAACTATAACTTATCTCAAAGAATTTTTTCAACAACAGACTGATAAAATAAAAGGCCAAAGAAAGAAATCAACAACGTTCAGAAACAAAATCAGAAACTGCAAATAAAAAATTTGATTACGCTGAAATCGAATTATGAATGGGGGCTTTCATATTTTATTCGAGGTGAAATGGGCAATATCTTCTGAACTTTAGAGTCGAAAAAAACCATGGGACATTCTCAAGGCTTACAAAACCTTTCTCATTTTTTAAACATTGGTTTTTTACTGTGAGAAAGTCGTTTGACTTAATGGACTCCAAGGAAATCTTTTGTATGCTAATGATGAAGGCTAAAGTAATTTTTCCGCTTAGATAATCTAACTGAAAATGAAGAAGCGCAAAAAATAAGAAAATAGTTTTTAACACATCAAACAAATTCAGATCTTGTGTATAACTATATTTTTTTATTTTTTTAACAATCGAATAATTTTATTAATTTGAACCCATTGAGCATAAGCAAAAACAAAAAATGAGCATTTGAAAACTTGAAAGTCACTTTTTTGACAGGTGGAATTTTCAAGTAGGAAAAAAATCGGTTGGCCTAAGAAAATTCTCTGAGAAAATGATATGGAACTCAAAATCTACTCATGAAGTCAATTTTTATTGTTCACAAAAGTCCATCGGAAACGACAGAAGCAATTATGAGTTGAGCGCTGTCGATTTTCTTCAAGTTTTCTCCCAATCGACGAGTCCGTTCTTCCAAAGAACTGAGGCCTTCCTCCAGCTGAAAAAGGAATCATCTTCATTATTTCAGAATAGAAGTCTGGACCCTCTGTCGTTCTTGAAGACAAATGCTCAGGTGCGACTCAAGTTTCTCTAAGACTCGCTTAAGATCTTCTTGTGCAGCCTTAAATATATCTGATCCAATGTTTTCGAATTCCAAACTGACGTTGGGATCTTCTTGGAGAGCTACCGCGTCGCTTACCACTTTTTTGCGATCGGCTTCTCGAAGAGCCATCATACGATGTTCTTCGCTTTCCTGTGAAACTTTAATCTTAGAAGACCGAAAATGTTTCTACCAAGTTGGGAAGTTCTTCAGTGATTGGAGTTGTAGTTAGTGAAGAGAACTTCTCACTGCGGTCCAAAAGCGTTACTGAACCACTTATTGAGGATTTTATAGAAATAAAAAATACTCACGATCAAGCTTCTGGAGAGTATGTTCCTCGGAATCTTCATATTCTACAGCCGTGTTGCAGGTTTCGATCCTGAATTGTTCTTATACGTTTTTTTTTGGAACATGACTGACAGTCTTACCTCTGAGTCTCACGGACGAATCGCCGGGGAGGAGCAACGGGATTAGGTCTGCCGGCCGCCGGAGCTGCAGCAACTCGACGCCGAACGATATTCTGACGATTTCGCTGAACCTGAAGAGCTGGCCGACGACGAATCTGCCTTTCTGGAGTCGTCGGCGGCGTCGGACGGGCGCCAACAGGTGGAGGGGTTACTAGAAAAACGCTATGTTATTTCTCGTAACGATATTTTAAACCTGGCGCTCTTTGAGGCTCTTCCGCGTTCAGAGGCTGATTCGGAGGAGTGCGGCCTCGCGCAACTCGGTCTCTCTCCCAAAGAACTTCGAGGCTGTCGACCGGTCGCAGAGGAGGAGCCGCCGACTGATCTGCAGGAAGACCTTCGAATGGAACACTTATCATTCTCAACTGTTCTGTTGGGAACGAAGTTGTCGACGTCCGGCGCTGGCAGAACGAGCACGTCGGTCAGGAGTCCGCATTGTGACGTTTGAGAAGATGTTCAACGGGAAGGACATCTAGCACAAGAGGTTTAGGTAAAATTTCTGAGCTATGGTTGAAACTCTTCTCTAAATTCTAGAAAGTCTCAACTTGTAAAATTTTCGACTTTAGGAAAATGGGTAATTTTACAAGGTGAGAAGTTCAAGATTTCTAAAAGAAATTTCCATCTAGCTTTCAGGAAATCTGGTTTCAAGAGAAATTTATTAAATTTTTGATAACCAATCCTCATGGTAAACCCATTCACCAGTGATGTTAGTAGATGCTAGTTGATGAAATGAAAAGTCGTATGTTTTCAGACTGACGTGATCATTTTTAATCAGCTGATCTATCCGTTTGTTCATTTCATGGATACTTGCGCTTCGAACTAGTGTTATGAGACGGAACGAAGAAGATCGCAGCCACGACCACTATCGGCACGGCTATCCGCGTCGACGACACAACGAAGGTCCTCGGCATTCACGGCCCTGGGAAGATCGGCTTCGTCCAATTCGACAGTCCAACCACTTCGGCCTTCCGAATGGACAGCGCGCTCGTGCCGGTGGAAACTTACCTCAGCAGCAGTTAGTTTGGGTTTTGGGATGGTTTTGTGAAAACTGTTCGAAATCAGCCTTTCTAAAGGAAAACGCAATTTTTAGAGTGCCGGTGGCTCAAAACCAAGGACCGCCACTCAGAGAGCGAGGACAGGACAGAGGTCCTCGTCACATAGAAGTGATGCTCGAGAGGATAGTCGCCAACCAACAAGAACTACCGCCGATGCCTCAAGACGACGTCCAAGTACAGCGCCTTATCAACCAAGCCGTCCGTGAAGTCAATCGTCCGGTTTAAAGACTCTCAGTGCCGCTGAAATCCTTTTTGAAGGCAATCCAAAGAAATCGCGAGCGTCCCAGCGAAGGAATCAAGATGCAGACGGCCATCGAACTCGACCAGCGTGAAATAAATTGCTGGGATGAACTTGAATGTTTGTTTTCCGGCTCTCGGATAAGCTGTTAGGTCTGTTCTAGCCGACATGAGCTCGAAAAACTTGCGCTTCGGCAGTTCTCCTCCAGGCGAAGTCGATTTCCCAGCATCAGTTGAGCGACTATTTTTGGAGAAGCTACTTACTCAATTTGAGAACTTGGACAGCGTGGCTGGTTTGCGCATGTGGGATCAAGAGCGAACGATGGCCGAAGCGAGGGAAAGCCTTTCGCCTGACTCTCAGGCTCCCATACATCCATTCTCATTAATATTGTTTTTTATTTGCAGAATTCTCCAATTGACATCCGACGGTTACTGGAGCGCGTGGAAGCACATTTAAATTTTTCTGAATCGGATTACTTAGTGGTAAAGCTTTCAATTATTTTTTGAGAAATGTAACAAATATTCAGATCACCCAAACTGAAAAAGAGCTGCAAGATAGGTTGGATAAGCTGAAGAAGGACTTGGAAAAGATCGACGACTTGCTTCTGCGCATCCAAAGCATCTCCATTTCCTGATCCTTTTTCGTTCAATTAAATGATCTATTTCCGAATTTCAATCTTATTTTGTTTATTTCTTCTCTAATTCTGAGCACTTCAATCTATAAAGGCGATGATCACAGTATGTTGAATCGTATTCTAATGTCGCGCTCAAATTAATCTCGGTGAATCTAAAACTGGCACTTCGTTTAAGGATGCCAAATACGCAAAATCGGCACTTGAGCCAGTTCACTCATTATCATTTATATCAGGATGAAATTCCGCTTCCTAGACTCGTAGCGCTGGCGCCGCTCAAGCGGTTCAAAGACGTATTAGAGCGCGATCTGGCAGAAAAGCTACGGTATGACTGAGGAGTGGGAACAGCCGCCTCGGTGTATGAGTGGAATACTTAAAATTTTTACGCAAGAAAAGGAAATTTTTTTTTTGAACTTTTTTTAAAATAAAAGTTCGATAGATCCTCGCATTGAAGATTGAAAATTGAAATACTACTGCTTGGTAACTTCCGAATATTTTTCTTTTTCACTTGAGACGGAAATTCGTTCATTTCTTCCAAGGTCGCTTTGGAATGCATAATGGAAGTTCTTTGCCCACCGTAGAAGATTATGATGAAGATGACGTGATTATAATTGATGACTCATCGGATGAAGAGCACAAACCTCCGCCGAAGAAAAAGACTAAGGTTCAGAATGGTTAGTTTCGTATAAGTTTCAAAATATTTCTATCACTTTAGTTTCTTCAAAGTCACCAAAAACTCCAAAAATAGCAAAAGTGAAGCGAACAGAAGCAGAAGTGCAAGAAAACAACAACAAAAAACTTCCAATTGTTACAAAGAATGAGGAGCCACCAAAATCTCTTTTTGGAACAAATTTGAAAGAATCGTGGGCAGAATTTTGGGAGAAGGTAATGTTTTTTTTTTCTTCGACAGTTTTGTTTTTTTTTACAGAAGAAACAACACAGTCAAGAAGCTGAAGTTACAAATACAGCCAAGGTTAGAGTATTAATTTTTTGAACAATCAAACTTTTCATTTTCAGAGAAAAGCCACAGCTTCTTCTTCGAAAAAACCTGCCGAAAATGTCGGAAAAAAACTGAACGAAGAAAAAAAAGAAGTTTTACCTGGAAAAATAGGTTTTTATTGCTGTTGTTAAAATTTCTATGAAGTGAATACAGTAGAAAATAACGAACCGAGAAAGTTCATTACGAGCACGGCTGAGCTGAAAGAAAAACGAGACTCCGTGTTGGCGGAAGTTTTCAAGCACAAGAAGTTCAAGAGTCGCTTGCAGTTTAACGCAGTAAATTGCATTTTGAAACGTTGGTTTACAAAATGTTTGATTCAAAATTTCATCAAATGTAGGAAAATGCGACGTCTATGTTTCTCTGCCGACGGGAGCCGGAAAGTCACTTTGCTACCAGGTAACAGATGATTTTGGGAAATGCGAATTCGAGAAAAATTTCAAGCTTTTTCTGTATGTCCTCAAAAAGATATTTAACCCTTTGGATGATTTAAAAAGGCAAACGAAGATTTTTTGTGAGTTTCTTTATCATTCTGTACGAACGAATTTTTCATATCGACTTTTCAACTTTGTTTTAGATAATCCTATTTTGTCTTGACACTTTTCCGAAAGTCTTTCTCACAAAAAGTCGTCAATAGATGCTAGTAACGTCGTGAAAGTGTGATAGGTTTTCTGGAATCTTTATAAGGTCGTGGTAATTCGCTTAAAAATAATTATAGCGTTGAATATTATAAACATAAATTTGAGCTGCCTGCTGTGGTTCACGGAGGAATAACCGTTGTTGTTTCTCCGCTCATTGCTCTGATGAAAGATCAAATTCTCGGCCTTCGGAAGAAAAATGTTACCTGCGAGACTTTGAATTCCTCGTTGACTAATGAAGAACGTTCGGCCGTCTTGAGTGTGAGCTTTTTCAGAATCAAGAAGCTGATGATATTTTGGAAGATTTTCAGGATTTGAACAAAAAGAACCCAAATACTCGGTTGTTGTACATAACAGCGGAAGGAGCGGCTACCGACAGCATGAAAAAGTTTTAAATTCAGCATTATTTAATGCTAGTTTGAGAAAAAAAAAACCTGAGAAAACGCCTGGTCCGAAATGAAAGTTCTTTTTTCAGGTTGCTGGCATCTCTCCACAAACGGAACTTGTTGTCTTATTTTGTCGTAGACGAAGCTCATTGCGTCACTCATTGGGGCCACGATTTCAGGTTTCCGTTTTGAATTCTTCGAATGAAAAGAGTTGATTTAAGACCAGATTACTTGACTCTGGGATCGCTGCGAGACATCTGTTCCGGGGTTAATTTCTTCTAGATTTTTCACTGAACTTGTGCTTTTTAAAGGTTCCCTGGATTGCCCTTACTGCAACCGCGAACACCAAGGCCAAAGACGACATTATCCTCCAACTGAAAATGGCCCACGTCGAAGCTTTCAATGTCGGTTTCACCATTGCAAAAATGTTTTTTATCAGTTTATCAGGCTGGAACATACCGTGACAACCTGTTTTATGACGTTTGCATGAAGGACTATCTCAACGCGGCTCCCGAGGTTCGAACTATGATAGAATGGAAAAGTTCGAAGAATGATTCAGAAGCACATGGCAGCGTTCATCACCAAATGCTTGACTCCTCAAAAGACGGCTAAGGAACTTTGCAAAGAAGAAAAAGGAGCTCGGCAGGCTAATGTCAAGGTTTCGAAAGCGCGGAATTTCCTCCAAATTAGCATCTTTTTTGAAGATGAAAAGTAACTATAATGTGAAGTTTAAATTTAAGTCTAAGATTTATTAACATTACAATTCGTTGGAGAGAGAATTTTATGACTCTAAAATATGGCTTGATTTCGGATAAATAGTTCTTGAGAGGTTGGATAAAGAAAGCTTTTTTTTTCGTTTCTTATTAAATGAAACTGAAAAGTCATTTTTCGTCTTCCAGAAGATGAGCGGAAGCGCAATTATATACTGTCGATCTCGAAATGAATGCGATAACATGGTGACGACTCTCGCCACAGTTGGAGTCACGGCCCTTTCTTATCATGCAGGACTTCCGAAAAACGTTTCTTTGGCTCTTGGTTTTCGAAAAAATGATTAAAACTCAGGCGAGAACGGAGGTGCAAGAAAAATGGATGAGCGACGAGGTTCCGGTCGTCGTCGCCACGATCGCTTTCGGCATGGGAATCGACAAACCTGATGTTAGGTTTGTATGTTCGAAAGAGTTCAAGACATTTTCCATTCTCAGGACTGCCTATTTCATTCAAGCTTATCCTATGCTTTTCTTCCATTTTCTCATTTTTTTTATAGACTTCAGAGTTCTTCATTTTTATTCAGAGTCGTCGTGCACTGGTCGCCATCCCAGAACCTCGCCGCCTATTATCAAGAGGCTGGACGTGCTGGTCGAGACGGGAAAAGGAGCTTTTGCCGCATTTACCACTCTAAATCCGACCGTCAGACGCTGAATTTCCATGTCTCTGGTGACATAGGAAAGCTGAAAGAGAGGGTTAGTTTAATATTATGTCTTTACAATAACTATTAAGTATTGTAACTTCCGCAACTTTCAGGATAGCATTATTTTCAAAGTTTTTTTTCAAATTTAAGATTCAATTCTTACTGAAAAAATGTTGAGAAAGGTTGGTTTTCATTCCAGATGAAGAAAAAGAAGGCGACGGGAAAGGAAGAAGAGCAAATCAAGGCGTTGCAAAATGGATTCGAAAAAATGATTGACTATTGTGAAACGCCCCAGTAAGAATATTTATACCAATATCAGTTCTTTTTTTTGCATTTCTTAATTTTATCTCTTTCATACTGTTCCAATTCTATTTTTCTTCAACTAAATTAAATTATCAGCTTTTCTTATTCCTTTTCCACCAGATGCCGACATGTCGCCATTGCCAAATTCTTTGATGATTCCGACGCTCGGCCTTGCTCAAAAAACTGTGATTTTTGTACGGATCCGAAGTCAACGAAACGGATGACGGAGAATTATCAAGTGATTGAAATGAGAACAATCCAGAGATCCATTAGAAGTTTCAGTCTCTGTCCGTGCCTACCAAAACGGGTCGATACACAGCATTTACTGGGAAAGGCGGTGCCAGAGAAGACGGAGATCTGTACGGCGGCGGGAAGCAGTATGTCTTTTCTCAGTTCAAAAGTTTCGGAAACTTGATTTCTACCTTGTATCTTTTCAAGAAGATGGGCTGTTCAAATCTCCAGTCAACATTAAATTTGGAATTAACGAAACAATCTGTTTTTTCACACGAGGAGCCAGAACTGTGAATATAATCTTCAACTTTTCTTTAGAATAAAACTGTAGAGAGAGTTATTTTCAATAAAACGAAAACTCTGCTATTTTTTCTGATTCATAAGAGGTTTCCAGTTAGAGACCTAGAGCCTATATTAGGACTTTATCAGTCAATTTCTATAAAAACTGAATTTTTAAGAATAGTCTTTCAAAGTTTTTTCAAAAAAATTCTGATCGTCTTTCCAGCGGCTCCAAAGATGAAGACATGTATGAAAAACCGTCGACGTCTTCTGAAGTGATGGACCGTCTGGAAGCCGACGAAGGCCGAAGAATGAGGGGCGTCCTTCAACGCGAATTCGCCAAACGGCGACGTTCTACTGTCGGTTTCAGAAGCGTTTCAAATTATCAAAAACATGTTCAGAACGCCCCTGTCCCCTCGGATGAGCCCGAGACTCCTTCTATCGGAATCACTGTCACAAATTCATCGTCTAAGCTTGTGCCGAACGTTACATTGCAGGTTTTTTTTTAGGGTTTTAAAGATCATTAATAAAATTTGACTACAAAAAAGGTAGTTTTAGATATTATTTCAGAGTAAATTTGCCGATAATCATGATCAAAACTTATCGTTAATTTGATTCAAAAGTTTGTCTGATTTCCAGACTTCTTTTTTTGTCTCTTTTCTCACAAAAGAATACCAAGTTGATCCAATTTTTCTTTCGTGATCAAGTTTTTCGTTATTATCAAGTTACGTTAAATGAAAAATAACTCGTGAGTTAACTTAAGAGACGCGAAACGATGGTCTCGGCCTTGACAAAAGCCCTGGAGGCCAATTGGCCATGCGGGGTTGCGACGTGCGGCATGGTGGCTTCTGATGCGGCACAACGTCTCGAGTGGAACGCCTACAGCGGCAGCAAAAACGTCACTGTTTATAACAACAAGGCCTCACATAAGGTTCATTTTATCTTCATTTTCAATTCGCATCGAAAGGTTTTAAGGTAGCCGAAATCAAGAAGATGACGATGCAGAACAAAACCTACGAAGTGGAAGGCTCGGCCCCCGCTTCCGATGGATTTGTCTCGGCTAGCCAGCTCGTGTAAATGCTCCCGTTGTTATCGCTATCATTGTCATATCGTCAAGAAATACTCATAAAGATTCTAACCGTTTTCTTCAAAGTTGTTATTTACTCCACAGGTTTATCTATGCAGTTGTGGGTTGAAGGCTACACGATGACTACTGAAAGATAAGCTTTCTTCGTCCGGATTGAATCTATAAATCGTTAAAATATTGTGATTCGAGTAGAAAACATCGGACCCGCGGAAAAACTTTTTTTACGGAAAAAAAAGAAGAAAAATTTAGCAATGAGAAAGGGCGCTCCACCGATAGCTTAATTTTGCGAAATTTTTTATTTTTCAAAAACATTTCAAGTTTTCTTTTTTTAATTAAAATAATTTTTTTGGTAATAAGTCACTTCCAGTTTGAGACAGCGTTGACTGTGTGCCACGGAACGATTAGAAAATAAAAAAAGTGTGCGAAAAGAGAAAGTTTAGAAATATTTCTCAGTTGTTTCGAACTGAGTGTAGTGGGACACTAACGTAGTTCTTCAGCAGATATTTTTTTAGAAGTTTTCTGTAAAAAACCACGTATATATATATATATATATATAAAAAAACTTCAATGAAGTTTACTGGTTTCAAGTTTTTCCTAGTAAGTTTTCGTTCAATGATTTCATCATCATCATGATGATCATCACCTTTCTTCGTGTTCTTGAACAAACTGGAATTTTGCCTTAATAACTTTAATAGTTACAGGGTAAAATTCTGAGCGAAGATGTCGGCGTCTACCATGGAAGCGACTCAAACAAAGGTTTCAGCTTTTTTTTGTTATTGAGATGTTTTACTTCGTTTAATTTCAATTTTACTGTTTTTTTCAAAGGTGAAAACGGCTGTCGACGGCATGATCGACGACATTGATCGTAAGTACTTGAGAGACATGCAAAAAAGCATGTTTCTTTGCTCTGCCAAGTGAGTTTAAACTTTTTCAATCTGGATAGTTGATATTTGATTTTAGATGTTGTGATAACAAGAGCAGCAACCGAGAAATAGTCGAAAATTGCGTTGAACGGTGTAACGACGGAATGAAAAAGGCGCAGAAGACGCTGGAAAAAGAACTCGGCGGCCTTCAGGTTACATTTTTTATCGGGATTTTCTTACATTTTTTTTTTCAAATTGTTGAACTTGGATGTTCAGGACCAACTTTCCCGCTGTGCCATGACGTGTTACGACAAACTTGTACAAAACTTCGGTCCTGACGTCAACAAATACACAGATTCACAGGTATGAGTTGATATTCGTTTATGATTTACAGATAGAAGAAAACAAAGTAAGAAATTTATTAGCGGGTTTATCTACGAGAACATGGAATCGTGCAGCTCTTCAAGCATTGCTTTGCGTCTTTCCTAAAATTAAATTGATTATAAGAATCGTGAGTGAAAATAACCTCTTCTTCTTCGGAAACAGTTTTGAGAGCATGACGGCAGGAAGGGCACGTGTTTGTCTGAAATCGAATATTTCTCAGAGGACAAGTTTATTAGACTAGTAATTATTCTCTCAAACCTTGTCTAGCCACATAAGGAGGCATTTTTCGTGGTAGACATGCTTGCAAGGCATCCGGAGAAGCACATCTTTCTCAGGATCGTCTCCAACTGATTTTTCTTCGTCCAAGGGACATTTTTCCGTCACCTTCTCCAAACATATCGTGCATTGCGCTAAATTAGCGTTTTGTTGAAATCAGTGAAGCAAAAATATTTCTCCTACCGTCCGAATTTTTCTGATCGTCGGGTGTTTCTCTTTTCAGAGCCCTGATAGCTTTTTCTGAGGTTTTCGGGCTTAAAAACTAGCTTTGATTTTTAAACAAAGATATGAGACCTGTTAGGGTTGATTCCGAGCATTTCATACATTTCTGCGTCTTGTGGGGAAAGCATGCTTCTTGCGTTACGTGCCAAATCCACTAAATCAAGGAAAAACGTTATTTATCAACAAAAAAATAAAAAAATAAAAAAATTTCGAACTCACTCAAAACCTCTAAAATGTTAACGTGTGGCCTGGTACCAAATTCAGCGGCGACCGTTATCCCGTGTTCCCGTAAATATTCACTGTCCATCCTGAAAGTTTTTATTACATCGGAAGAAAAAACCTTGTTATCTTTGAATTCGTAAACCTGTTTCGAAAAACGATTTGATCAGAAAAAAATGCATATTTCAAAAAGTATAAAGATATTCATACTTGACGTATTTGAAAATATTAAAAATGAAAATTTCGACATTTTTGCTGATTTTTAGAGGATGTTGATATGCGATCACGTGCCTGCAGAACTTGCGCGTGAAAATTTAATGTTCTTTTTTTCCCGAAAAAAAAGTTTGGAATTTTCTCAGTTTTTTTATTGGCTTATTTCAAAAACACTTCCTTTTTGAATTGCTGGGAATTGTAAAAAATTGAACATTTGTTAAAGATGATGGCGTTCAACGAAAAGCTGGACAAGTGCGTTGCTATCTGTGCTGACGACCACATCAAGCTCATCCCCACAATCAAAGAACGTTTTGCCAAGAACTTGTAATTTTTCCTATTCATTATTGCTCCAATCAGTTTCCCAGATTTCTATTTAGTTTTAATTTCATATTTTTTTTTTACCTGAGTACTTTTTTAGGTTAGGCTTCAACCCTCCAATTTTAGTTCTCACAATCAAATTTCTCCATTCATTTCGATTTTTTTTTGCTCGATTTTGCTCGGGTATGCGCAGATATCTTTCTCCGTGAATTCCCCGTTTATTGTTGAATTTTTCCTTGGGTTTTTAATCAATTTTTTTCTACCATTTTAATAAGCTTAAATAAATTTTTCTTGTTTTTCGGGGGTTGAGAATTTCGAGCTTTTGTTTGAAGCATGTCAATATCTATCCTTCAAAACTGCATTCAATTTTTTTTTCTTCTTTTGCTTTTCAGAATGAAAACGAGGTGGTTGACAACGATCCTCACAACTTTACTTATTGCGAAAAGTTCACAAGGTTCGAGTTATTATTTTTCTTTTCAATTTCTTATTTTTTCTTCTAGTCTTGAAGAAAGTGGCGCCCGAACACTACGGCCGAGTCTGTGCGTTTGGAGATTTCAACGCGGACCGAAACACGGATCTTCTCGTTTCTATAGGCAGAAATCTCTCTGTACTCCTGCAGGACAACAAGATACTCGATGTTGTGAGTTTTGAGAAATGAGCAGTTTCTGAGCCTTTCTGTTTATATTTTGATTATTTCGATGAAAATATATTTTTTGTATTTCAGTTAGAAACCGGCAGATTCACAAATTCAACGTCTTGGGAAATTTCGAACGAAGATTTGGGCGACACGATTGAATGCGTTTTGGGAGATTTCAATGGCGATTCTCGATTGGACATTCTGGTGAGAATTTCACTCTGATTTTGTTTTTGACCCATCATTTTTGAAGACGTCAATACGAAACGGCGACAATGACTACGATCACGTGCTCTGGATGGCGAAAGAACTGCCCGGCAGCGCGACGGACGTCTTCTTCAAAGTTCCTGTCGGGAAACTCGCTCAGCAGGCTTTGGTCAGTGGTATTCAACATTTTCGGCTCTCAAATTAGTTTCTGACTTTCGAAAACTACTAATGTTCCGTCATTCATTTTCTCTCGTAAATTATTTTGTTCTTTCGTCTGTAATTATCAAAGTTTTGTTAAAAATTGGGAGAATTTCATTTGTTGAACGAAATTGAAATTTGTTTCGTTCTCTTAATGTAAAGTGTTCGTTTTTTTCATTCATTTTGACTAAATTATATTTATCCGTTGAAAAAAACTCAGCTGAACTTTGTGATTTCTTTTTGTTTTTCAGTAATTTTTACTCCCTTTTTTTCAGCACTTCGGATTCGTTCAAGAGTATTTGGTAAATCATACTATTGAATTTTTTTAATTAAGTTTTTTTATTTCCTTTGAAAAAAATTGAGGAATTAAAGTTTGGAGAAGATTTTTAAAATCATTTTCTTTTTTAAACTTCAATTTATCTCTCAAAAGCTCTTTTTTTCAACTCAAAATCTTCAAAAGAACTGATTACATTTTAAAAAAAACCATTGAAATGAGCGTGTTTTTGTTTTTATTTTTGGTGGTATTAAAAGAAATGAGCGAATTTCCGAACGGTGACGTTTCCGAATAATCCTTTCCGACTTTTTTCCCTTATGTTTTTCGGTTTATAAAACATCTGTTAACATTTTTTTCCTATTTCTTTGTGTTTTAATCATGAATAAACGACCTACTTCATATAGGAAGTTTCAAAACTAAAAGTTCATCGAGAAAAAAAAGTCGGAAAAAGATTCGGCGGAAAGGTGGCCGTCGGAAAGTTCCCTAGCGATATAAAAAAATCAGAAGAGTTGCCGTTTGAATTTTCGTTGGTATTTTTTTCATACCACCTTATTTTTACAAAAAAGTTTTTTTTTGTGTGAAAAAGTTCAACTACTCGAAGGAAATTCCGTATCTACGACTTACGGAAACGATTTGAAGGCAGTGGACGTGAACGGGGACGGCCAGCACGACATCCTCGGCTTCTTTCCCAACGGATCCCTTTTCTGCACACAGGTCGGCAGCGACTCCACGATCACTTTCCTCGACGACTGCCGCAGTTCTTTCAAGTTGTTCCCCACTTTCGCCTCGAAATAATCGCCATTTCTAGGTTCTTTCCCACCACAGTGACTCTCTATCCTGGGATGCCGCATTTGTTTGTTGATCTAAATGGTTATAAATTAAAGTTTCAAGTTTTATATGGGATGATGTTCTTTCAGATAGCCCACCAGACCTGAATGCCGAACTCGTCTTCATGACGAAAGAAGGAGATGATCTGGACCTCCAAGTGGGAAACTCAGAGATCTTCAAATAGTTTTCAGCTTTCAGGTGTGGCAACAGACGAAAGTCGGCTGGAGAGCTAAGTCTTTCATTCCAAAACTGCCCTACTCGCAATATCCCGTGAGTCTTTTTTGAGGGGAATTTTGAGTTAATCAACATAGTTGAAAAAAAGACTTTATTTTTGATGGCATGGAAAAAAGCCAGCGAAATTTCAAAAGGCCACTTTCCGACTTTTTCGTATCGCTAGGGAACTTTCCGACGGCCACCTTTCCGCCGGATCCCTTTCCGACTTTTTTCCTTATATTTTTCGGTTTATAAAACATCTATTAACATTTTTTTACTACATCGTTGTGTTTTAATCATGAAAAACTTGCCTACTTTATATAGAAAGATTGAAAACGAAGATTTTATCGAGAAAAAAAAATTCGGCGGAAAGGTGGCCGTCGGAAAGTTCTCTAGCGATATGAAAAAAATCGGAAAAGTTGCCGTTTGAATTTTTCGCTGGTCATTTTTCATTCCACCTTATTTTTTTGCTCTATTTATTTTTTTATTAAACTTTAAACTCATTTCATAGTTAAAAAAACTCCTATTAGTTATGAAAAACTATCCAAAAAGGCAAGTAATTCTTAGTTCCAACTTTACTAAAGCGTCTGAATTTCGGCCAAAAATCCACTCCCGTTTGAAACAAAGACTTCTCGCCTTAATTTGTCACGTCTTGGCGTTAAATAAATTCTTGAAATGTTTTTTTCTTACGGATAATTCAATAATTAGTTCAAAGTCTTTTTATCAAATAAATTAAGAATTGAACTTATAAATTTACTATCTACGTAAGTTTCTAGTTCTGGAATAATGAACTTTCGAGTTTATTGGAATTATCTTTAAAAAAATCTTTGGCAGCTAATCTTTTTTTCTTCATCACTTTACTTTTCCGAAAATCAAAGTTTCCCTGGCAACTTTTTTAGTTTGATTTTCCAAGCTGGGATAAATTTGAATTCAGCCAAATTTTTCTATAGAAGTGAGCTGAGTTTTGAAAAAATTCTCATTGTAGTTGGAATGAGAATTTTGGATGGAAATGGTTGGTATCAAAAAGAAAGTTTCTCGAACATTTCTGCTCCTTTTTTTTCCCAATAAAGGCTCCGTATTCAGTTCATCGGAGCTCCCATGGCGACGGACATCGACGCCGACGGAAACATGGACATTGTGGTGCCGATTTGTCGCGAAGCCCAGTGTTCTCACGTCACTTCTCTGGCCGTCTTCGCTGGGAAACAGCGTGGATGGGTGAACATGGCCATCGATCTCCAGGTTCAGCGCATTTTAAGTATTCTTCGGTTTTTTTGTGTTTTAATTAAAATTGATTGGAATTCAAGGAAAATTTTACCTCTGAGTGTTTCTTTATTTCTTTTTGGTCATATCCTCAAAAGTTTTTTTAAATGTTGGAACTTTGTTCTCCTGAGGGTAGGTATTTATTCTCAGTTAAAACAAGATTATCTCAATAAGGCTTTTTTTTTGTTTGTTTCTTCTGCCCTCTCACTTGTCAAACGAAGTTGTTCAGGACCTTGAAGTCCTCTCTGAGAAAAATTCCCGAGTTCTCTTCCGCTTCGGCGATTTTGACAATGACGGCTTTCCAGATCTGATTGCTCTACTCGTTAATAAGGTAAAAATTTTGTTTTTCACAGTGTCTCTAATCGTTTTCTTTTTCAGGCGAGTAACACTCCTTACTCGAAGGTCATTGGAAACATCGACTGCAAAAACTGCGAGAAAAACGGAACGCGAAAGTTCGAAATCGCGAAGCTTGAGCTCATCCAGCCGAAAGATATGGCTCTCGGCACCGCGAACATGGCGACTTTCTTCGATTTGGAGGTTCGTTTTTTTGATTCCTTGTTATTTTTATCAACTAAATGAGTGAAGTTCTTCAAATCGCTGTTTCCAGCAATGACAGAATTGTTTTCTTGTTTTCATTTGTTCGCTTTTGTCTTTTTGAGTGATCTTTGATATCATACGACCTTCTCTGGATTAACATGACCTTTTTTCTCAACCAGATCTTTTCAGGAAGACGGGAAACTCGACATCATGGTCGAATACTCTTTGTACGGCCAGCAACGTTTCGGGTTCATCTACTGCGAAGACAAAGGCGACACGACCTTCCTGAAGGTCCAAATATTCACCAGCGTCTGCAGCGGTCGATGCGTACCTGCCAAAACTGAAATCGGTCGGTTTCGTCTTGCTTTTTGGATAGTTTCCGTCTTTTTGAGGTTCTGGAATCAGTTGGGGCGGCGCTTGTGCTTCATTCTCCATCCTCGATAGTTACGGAAAATCCCAGAAAAGTATGGCCTGTCAGGTAATCGTGTATTTTTTTATGATTCATTTTATTATGTGATAAGAATTAGGAATTTTCAAAAATATTGATTTTCAAACAAAATTTTTTCTTTATTCTTTTCAAGTGTGGTGGCAAAAAAAAATTTTCACTTTTTCCGGTCTCAGGTTGATCTAAATTATCGCTAAATTTTTTTTCCGTGCTTGAAAGCTCGGTGTATTTCAAATTGGTTGCAGAATCCTTCTAACACCTACCGAACCTTCTTGCCGCCGTTCATCCTCTTCGGCTTGGGTCGAAGTCCAAACTTTGTCGACGAGGTTTGAAGATTTTTTCCCAGGGGTTGACGAAGTGACTGCAGTTGCACATCGGCATACCCAAGTACACGGAACGGCTCTCCGACCAGCAGCACACTCTCAAGCAGATTGTGCCAAACTCCCGGCTGGTCGTTCTGCCGCCCGCCGACGGCTCCCATCATTGGCTCACTCGGCTGTACGTCACGCCGTCCCAGCTCATAGTACAGGTCCGTTTTGTGATCTTTTGCACGGAACACGTGAAACAAGGATATAAGCTCAGCGAGATCCAAAACTTTTATAAAATTTCAATTTTTTTACTCCTGCATTATCCCTTACATATTACATATTCATTAGTCTTCAGAGAAGATTATGTAATAATTGAAGACTTTTTTTCTCTCTAATTTTTTTTTAATTTTCCGAATTCAAAAACGGCCAGAACCTTTTCATTTTTAGACATTTTCCGTATATTTCACGTAGCTTTATTTTCCCGATTTTTAGCTTTTTCCAACAACCTGAATGATAAGTCACCGATTCTTTTTGAGGAATCCTATTCAAATTTCAAAGCGTAATAAAATACTGCACAGGTTTTAACATGGGAGCAATATCATTAGGAACTGTCCGAAATGACAGTATCATGAATCTTAGCCAGAGCTACCATGAAAAAGAAGCATTTTCATTATTCAGATGCTGAAACTCCACTTTTTAATTTTTGAAAGAAGAGCAACGAAGACAAGAGTGCGGAGAAGTCAGACTTCTTCAAGTAGAAGTGAATGAAATTGGAAGACATTTTCCGTAAATTTTGCATTCGAAGCGTTCTCCTTTTAAAGCACTAAGAAATTTGTCAGAATAGATTTTCGAGTTTTTTTTCTTAAATTTATCGTTTGAAGTTTTTAGATGTAAATAAACTAGTCGAATGTAGAGTTTAGTTTGAAAACTGAATAGGGGAAGACGAATTTCAGAGTCTGATCGTGATCGCCTCGGTTTGTTTGATGCTGCTGCTGGTGGTGGGCGTGATGCACTGGCGGGAGAAGAAGGAGGACCGATTCGAGCGGCAACAGCAGTCCTATCGTTTCCACTTCGACGGAATGTGATTCTCCCCCTTTTTATCTCCAGTTCCCGCGGCTCCACTATATACTTCTACTGTAAAGTCCTGTACTATCAGAATGGATATGACTTTATCGAAACGGGTCCTCTGCATATTCGCAATTTCTCAACAATCTTTTCGGTCATTCATGGGGTTTCGAGTCGATTTGCCGGTCTGCTTCTTCTTTTCAAATCCTCTATTCGCCTCCTTTCCTAAATATCTTTGTAGTTATACATTCCGTTGGTCATATGTATAGATTTTCCTTCCAATCGATGACGTTCTGTTTTATTCAGAAGCTACGGTTTCTTCATCTCTTTCCTTGAAACTTGCTACGAGCTGTCCTTGATTAGAGCTGTGATATTGAACGAGTGTGATTGATAGATCAGCCAAAACAAAAATTTTCATTAGTGTCTCACTCAGCTTTTAGGTTTTTACTTACCCTGTTTGCCGAGAAGCGGCTTTATCTTCCTGAGTTTTAACGAGCGGTTCTATTTTCCCTGTAACTGATTATTTTTCTATTCTATTAACTTAATATTTTCATTTACGTAAACGTATCATTCTGAGGATAATAAAATTTTCGGTCATTTTTTATTTTGCATCAACAATGTCAGCTCCGTGGAAATATCGTTTGAAGGTTAGTTTTTTTTCATTTTTTGAAGCCTGATGAGACATTTTTGAGATAAGATGTGCGAGATTGTTGCGTGTTTGTCGCTATGTTCCGTACTGGATCGCTGCAAAGGTAAAGTGGTTGGTTTTCCCTTTATTCTCTAATGAAAAAATAATTTCAAGGTATTTCTTAACGATGCCGCTTCCCTTGACTCTTTTCGATAACCGGCCTTTGAGGTGGGTATAGTTGGAGAATTTCAAAAAATTTCATGTTTATGCATTTCCAAACAAGAAAAAAACTACATAAGGCTCTCAAATTCTTATGTCAGCTTATAGGAACTCACTTATTCGAAAGTTATTAAAAATATGGCTTAAAGTTTCCGAATCCACTCGGTACATCAGAAAGTCTACTGGCAAGGAAAATTTATAACTTCGAAGATACTAAAATTTTATTCCTTGTGAGATGCCTTGTTCCATCGCGCGAAGAATTAATTCGTGGTCGACAAATTTTCATAGATACCGCTTCGTGAGCACTTTAAGCCATTTTTTATGCAACCAACTTGTTCAAATTTGGAGGGACACAAAACTTACCGCTTTTTTTTCAAGGCTTATCACTCCTTTTCCAGGCTAAAAGAAAAAGGATTCGTCGTTCAAGAGCCCCGGCTGGTGCGCAAGGAGGAAGGGAGCGGATCTACAAGTACTTTAGGAGCTCAAGCCAACTTTTGTCTAATCACACAACCTCATCCTATTTTATAGCTTATCTGCTTCATTTCCTACCAAATAAACTTTTTTCTACCTTGTGTTTTTTTTTTCAACTCTTGTGACGTGTTTGTGCACGAATCTCATATTTGAAGTTCGCTTTATACAGAAAATAGAGTTGAATTTCGAAAGGAGCATGGCGAGCGACCCGTTGGAGCCGTCTATTAGCAACATTCTCGAGCAGAAAACCCTCAAATGGATTTTCGTCGGCGGAAAAGGCGGAGTTGGCAAAACCACTTGCAGGTAGAATATGTCGAACTTCTTTTCCAATATTTATGGGACTTTTTTTGTAATTAGGCTTTAAATCTCCGGTTTATGCAGCTCATTCAAAAAATCTGATTTTGGCACAATAAGGCCCCAATGGAAAATTCTGATTAAAGAAAAAAAATGATTTAGTCAACATCAGACAGTATTATTATGAAACGACACGATTTCTCTAAAAGTTTGCTCGTAAAAGTTTCTTAAAAATTTGCCCAAGACTCTTCTATTTTTGTGAAGATGGATAGAATAGAAGTATGCGCAGGTCGCAAACTTATTTCATGCAAGAGTGTTAAACGAATTTTCTTAATGATTCGATTCTTGAACTAAAGTGATTGATTTCATCAGAAACAGTTCAAATATTCAGCTGCTCAATCGCCTCGCAACTGGCCAAAGTTCGCGACCGCGTACTTCTCATTTCGACGGACCCCGCCCATAACATCTCCGATGCTTTTGCCCAAAAATTCACCAAATCGCCGACCCTCGTCAACGGGTTCGAAAACCTCTTTGCCATGGTGAGCGATGCTTCTTTTTCCGAATCAAGACTCAAGAAAATAAGAAAAAAGGAATATCTCATTAATTTCCGTATAGGAAATCGATTCGAATCCAGCAACCGACTCAACGGACTTTGCCGACCTGGAAACGATGTTCCAAAACGCAGCCAACGGATCCGGGACCGACGGTCTTTCCATGGGCCGCGACTTTTTGCAGCAATTTGCCGGCGGCCTTCCTGGCATTGACGAGGCCATGAGCTTCAGCGAAATGATGAAGTTGGTCTTTTTGGTGTGGTTTATGAGTCTTTTCTTTATTAGAGTTTGCCTGAAGAAACTCAGTGACTGAATTTAATACTGAAAATTGGCCTTATGAAAAAAAATGACTCTACTTTTTACTTGATAAGAGTTAATAGATATCATTTTTTTCAACCCGATCATTCAGAAAAATTCTTTCGAATGGAAAAGAATCATTACCGAATATTCCATCTAATTGGGTTTTCAATTGATTCCATTATCTAACTAAAAATATCTCAACCTTATCTTTCAGACCGAGCAGCAAAAAAAGTTAGTACTTTTCTCTCCCAGCCTAATTATTTTACTTTTTCATCGTTACATCCATAATAAATTGTCAGAATATTCTTAGATGGGCTAAATAAAAAAAATCTGAGTTTATTAAACTGCATAAATTTCTAATTTTTTGTTTGAGAAAGAAGGATCAAATCTCAGAACTTTCCATTCGATAGGCTTTCTCTGATTATATCTGACTTTGATACATCCTTTCTCGACGACTAGGAAGTTGTGGTTTGAATTTTCAAAGATTTTCTAAGATCTTTTTAAAAGAAAATTGAATAGTGTTCTAGTGAAGTTTCAAAAAAGTTTCGAAAAAACGCAAGGTAAAACGACATTGCTTGATATTGCTTCAAGCCAATAGAAAGGAATCTTCTTCAATCGATTTTCATTCGTTCAATCTATAAACGAGGTGACGTAATAAGATCGGACTGCGGCTTCTTTCGAGTTGTTCGGATGCGTTGACTTGTGTCCTTTTGGAGGTGGTGTGGAACAGAAAGGTTGAGCAGGAGCCGGCGGAGATTTCCCAGGTTCTTTCGAAATTGGTACGCCATGGAAGCCGCTTGTTTCCTGCAATCCTCAACTTCAGAATAAAATCCCATTTTTTGAAGATCAAAAAAGGATTCTCACTGTCGCTGTTGGAATCTCAATTTTTATGGGTGGCTGCTTTTCTTTCTCCTTGCCGTTCTTCTTTTTCACTACTAAAGTATTTCTAATAAGGAGAAAAATACGTTTCAACCTGCCTTTTCTTCCAATGTACACGAGTTTTGCTTTATCTTGATCGTCTAGAACAAGAATCTCCATGGATGGAACTTTGTTCAAATCGTTCTTTTTGATGCGCTAAATAATCTTGTCATCAGTTTTTTTTGGGTATTTTTGTTGATTGTGAACAGAATTCTGGAAGACCTCGATTAAATACTTTCTCAAACGAGCGGTTATTAATCAGTATATTAATTAACTTTTTTCGATTTCTTTGCTTCTTCTCATTTGAGTTACTTCCAGTTTCGACAGGTTAGACCTTTTCAATATTTTTGGTCGAGTTAAAAATTTAAATTTTCTCTCATTTTTATTTCAAAATAAATCTGACAATAAAAAATTGGAAAGAAAATCTTTATTGCATAATTCTTTTGTTTGAAAACATTTTCATCTCAATCGCTCGCTTCTTTGTGTTTTTTACGAACCATAGGCCTTTTTTTCCATTCATCCGGCATGCTCGTGTCTCGGTTGTTCATCAGAGCTAGTTTCAAACCTCTGGTGGCCTCAAACAGTATTCATTGAACTGAGTTGGGATTATGTTTTCAAACCTTTTTGCGGTCTCCAGTGACCAGAGCTTTCGCTTCAGGTTGCAACCGCTTGAGACGCGATTCATCGCTTGTTATAGAAATCAGAGCAGCGATGAAGCTTTTTTCTATGAGTTTCGCGACCTGAATTATGTTCAAGTTTTATAATAAAGTTTTTCAATTTACGTTGTCACTTGGCTTGGCTACTCCCATATCGAAAAAACGCGATATTAGGCGTTCTTCTGCATCTGATAAAACTCCTGGAATTTTTAATGGTTCATTTATCTTTGAAAAAACAGGACCTTTGATCAAATGATCTTTGGATATCATTTGCAAAATTTCCAAAGCCGGCTTCTCTGTCTGGGATTTTATATTAAGATATTACTTGATTGGAGTTCTGTACCTCAGCGTCTCTGTCGGCTTCATCAAGTTTATCCGACGTTTCATCGTTCTCTATTTTTTCATCTAAAAAAATTTCTCACAAGTGCTAGGAAATGGAGTTTCTGAGCGACTACTCACTGATCACAGCAAGTTCTTCACGCAAAGCATCGATGGTCTGAAAATTTGAGTGATGAAAAAAAAATTCCTGAACGATTTGAGATGAATGAGGAGAAGTTTTGTTAATTTTCATAGTTGTATAATTATATCCTAGTTTTTTTTTCTTTTTTTTCAATTAGCTCAAATTACGAACAACTTGTTTTGTGGCGACGCGAAGCCTCAAGCGAGTATTCTCATTTCGAAGTTTTGCATTATCTTTTTCCAGTCTCTTCATTCGTTCCTCCGGGTTTTTTGGCAACTGAAAACATTTTTTTGTCTTGGTAAGAGCGAAAAAGATAGGCTGTTAATTAATATAAAAAAATTTTTATGCATCGTGAGTATAAGATTTTTGAACAAATTTTTTTCTTTTTTTATTATTTTTTTAGTTGTTCTTTCCAACTTTAATCAACCATTAACCAAGTTAGATAAATATACTAGCTTTTAACATAATCAGGAAAACTTCGAAAAGCGACAAATATTTTGGTGATTGGAATCGCAGACTTTTTTCTAAACTGAAAAAAAAACGACCAACCTCTTCATCACTATCGTCTACTTTTTCAGCAGACTTTGGTTTATCTGAAATTTAAGAATTATCTGTTTATGGATCAAACTTGCCTTTTTTCCACAATAGTTTAGTAGTTTGGTTTGGAAAACGGTAGAGTTCTGCGCCGATAACTTTTTCGAACTCGGTGGCCGGCTCTCCACCTTCTTCCGGTAATCTTGGAGTTCCAATCATTGGTTCCGTCTGCTTGTCCTTCTCCGGTTTCTCTTTTTCGATGATAGTCTTATCTTTGTCCGGTTTCAATCTTTCATGTCTTGTAATCTCATGCTTATCCTTTTCTTTTTTATGATTTTGTTTCTCTTCATCCGACTTTCCTGCTTTTTTCTTCACATTTTCTTCTGATGATCTGGAGAATGCTGGAGGAAGAATTTCCTCACGTGTCTTATTATGATCTTTCGCATCTTTCGTTTTATTCTTCTTAAGAAGTGTTTGTTTTGTGATTTTATGGTGAATAGCTCGAAAGAAAACTTACTTTGAATATGTTCCCGTGTCCTTCTGAAACAAAAATCGTACATGAGAAGCTTTGTATTCGACTCACCTTCTTTCGGATAAGAGAACTTTAGCAACGATCCAACGTAATTCATTTTCTTGCAATGGATTGAACTTGTTCCATTCACACGCTATATATTAGTTCATTTGTTTGATTTCTCGACGACAACAAATTTTTTTTATATTTCTCAATTTTTTTAAGTGACTAAGGTATTTCTCTGAAAATGATAAATATAAAAAAAAACATTGGCTTAAAAATTTCAAAAAAGACACGGCCTGTCATCTGGTGTGATGCTCTTTTTTGCAGGATACGAAACTCAAAAATTTTCAAACATCTACTTCTTATTATCTAAAATTGATGAAGAAACCGAAGTTATGATCAACTTTTCCAGACTCATAGACTCGCTGGACTTTGACGTCGTAATTTTCGATACGGCACCAACAGGACACACGCTCCGACTTCTGCAGTTCCCCACATTGCTCGAAAAAGCCTTCGGAAAGATTCTTTCGCTGCAAAACACCTTCGGACCTATGATTTCTCAAGTTTTCGTCATGCTCATGTATCAGTTTTGATTCTGCTGGTTTTAGTTTTCCGGTCTGTTTGGAATGGGCGGAAATTCGATGGGAGACATGATGGAAAAGCTGACGTCGACTCTAGATATGGTCAAGAAAATGAATGCGCAGTTCAAGGATCCTGTATGGTTTCCGATAAGTAAAAAGATTAGAAAATTGAAAGACTTTTTGTAAAAAAAAATTTGAAAATTTTCAAATTAAAGATTAATGGATTCATTAATGGATAGAACTTTGAGGATTCGTTGAATCGAAAAGGAAAAGCCTGAAAATTTATGAAATAGTCGAGGAAAATAATGTGAACTTACTGTACCTACAGCTTTTTTCGAGATTTGTTTTTGGGAAAACGCGCATTTTATTCCGTGAGAAACTCGAAAAAATGAAGATCCGGTGGTATGAAAAAAGAATCAGCGAAGTTTCAAACGGCGACTTTTCCGATTTTTTCGTATCGCTAGGGAACTTTCCGACGGCCATCTTTCCGAAGAATCTTTTTCCGACTTTTTTCCCTTATATTTTTCGGTTTATAAAACATCTTTTTACCTTTTTACCTATTTCTTTGTGTTTTAATCATGAATAAACGACCTACTTCATATAGGAAGTTTCAAAACTAAAAGTTCATCGAGAAAAAAAAGTCGGAAAAAGATTCGGCGGAAAGGTGGCCGTCGGAAAGTTCCCTAGCGATATGAAAAAATCGGAAAAGTCGCCGTTTGAAATTTCGCTGATAATTTTTTCATACCACCGAAGATCCAAGCTTTCCTTGACTTTCTGTGTCCATGATTTCGTTCATTCGATCAACATCTCACTTATAGGATGTGACGACATTCGTTTGCGTTTGTATAGCTGAGTTCCTATCTCTTTATGAAACGGAGAGGTTGATTCAGGAGTTGACGAAACAGGTAATTTCCTGAGTTTCAATCTCCTTCAATAATGTTGCATTACAGAATATCGACACTCATAATATCATTGTGAATCAGTTGCTGATCCCTGATAAGGTAGGCCTCTCTTAAGTAAATTGAAAATTCTCTCTGAAGATTCGAGCGGTAAAATGATAGTTTAGGATGCCGATGGTCATGTGAAATGCAAAAAATGCAGCTCGCGAGCGTCCATTCAAGCCAAATATCTTGTTGAGATCGACGAACTTTATGAAGACTTTCATGTTATAAAATTACCTATTCTTGAGACGGAGGTTCGAGCCAGACATTTTTTTTTTTGGTTCAATAAAAGTTTTCAGGTTCGGGGGTCCGCGAAGATTAAAGAGTTCAGCGAGAGACTAGTGAACCCCAAATTGAACGACCAATAATTGAATAATTTTTTTTTGGTTCAACTGTTTTTGGTCCTTTCAGTTCCCTGATTTACCTGGTGTTTTCTATAATTTCTTGAGTTTTATGGTTGTGTTTTAAATTTCGGTAGAAAACTTGTGCTCCTAACGATTCCCCTTTGATTGCTTTATGCTGTGTCCTTCTGTTCTATCTCGTTTTTCAAAATTGCGGCCTTTGTTGAGTTAAGATTTAAGATATTTATTCAATGTTTTAATTGAGAAAAATAAAAGTATAAGAATTGATTCAAATGTTTCAGTTTTCGGGAGTTTCCAGCTTTTGCTGGGTGTTGTGGATTTTCTGCAGCTTGCTGAAAAAGAGAAGGATAAGAAGAGGACTTTTGAGATTTGTCTATTATTCTCATCACTTGGCAAAAAGAATACCTGCAAACTTCACGGCGGACGCAGCCTTTCTGAGCATCTGCGCCAGTCAGAAGTACATGGCCTTCTTCGCACATGCATCCCGGAGGTCCGCAGCGCAAGGAGAAGCACGCCGAAACCTTAATATCGTCGTTAGGACCTCAAGCAATTTGGAGTCTGGGGAAAAGACCATAGATTCCAGGTTCGCGACTTTTGAATCTGCATTTATTCTATTTTTTTAATTTTCGAGTTCAAATATATCGATTTCGTCGATATTCTGACATAAAGTTCTAATCTGCTTGGCTTATTCGTTTTTTTTGATGTTACTTTTCTGTCCCTTCGAAAAAAACCTCTAAAAAAACTCCAGAAAGGGTTTTTCAAACATATTGTACAAATAAATAATTTGAAAAAAACTTCTTGATAAAACCGACTTGCAAAAAAAGTTTTTCGCAGCTTTTTGGTGGACAAATGTTTGTACATTCACGGTACTCGGCATTTTTTTCGGGCAGCTCGCTGGAAAAATTATGATTTACTATTCAAAAATTTAAAAAAACACACGCTTGGGTGCAGGTTTCTCGGTGGTTGTGATCACAGCTGCCAACGCTAAAAAAATTAAACTTTTCCAGGGAAAAAAATTCGATTTGACTTGCCAATCGAAGAAATGATGAAAAAGCAGAAGAAGAACCTTCATCTGGAAAAATAATATTGTAAAGTTTTATTCCATAAAATTGGTTTGAAGCAAATGTATTAACGAAGAAAACAAACGCGCACAAATTTCTTGAGAAAAAGTTTGTTTGTTTCCAACCGGTCGAATTGTTACACTATTCGAGTCTCAGCTGTTATGAAAAACCAAACTCTCTCTACTTATCCGAAAAACAGTTCATATTGTTAAACTTCTAAATTAAGCTGAGCCGATTGGAGAAAAATTATTAGAACTTCTCAGGTAAATACTGAAAGTGAAAAAAATTGCAAGCATTGGTAATTAAGAAGCCAACGATGGTTTTTAAATGATTTTCCTTCAAGTCTTCGGTAAACATCAAACGTGACTCGGTGAATTGAGATTTGCGAGAAATTCAAAGATTTTCCTAACAAAATGAATCATCCTTTAGTGATGAACCTTCAGAAACAGGATTTTGTGAGTCAAATTTCGAACGAACGTTCTTAATGACTTTTTTACTTGTTAAACACTGTCAATTTTTGTTTCATTTTTTTTTTTCAATTTTCCTGTACAGTTCCTTTGAAATACACGTATTCACCACGAAATATTAGAGAATTTCAAATCTGAAAAAAAAGCAAAAAAAAAAACAGAGCTCGGAAATCAATCGAGTTTATCGCCGCAGAAAAAAAACAACATCAAACGGAAAATTATTTTCAAAACTGCAAAAAAAAATTATTTTTCTGGGAGGCGAAAAAATGGTTCATGAAATATAAGGAATATTAGTCAAAGGATATTTATGATAATGATAAAGTTATTACAAATAAAAAAACAGATAAAAAGTTTTTTTCAAACAAGCCTTAACAACGGTCATGAATTAAAAACAAAATGAAAAATACAATGAATTGATAGAACCCAAAAATAACAACATAAAGATTGGGCTAGGATGAAATAGAAAAAGGACGGGGTCCGCTCAGCAATCACTGAAGAGTCCGTCTTGCAGACACTGAAACGTTCGTTATTAGATTCTCGTAAAAACTTGGGTTTAAAAAGTTGTCTCACGAAAATAGAAAGAAATTTGATTAAAAAAAGGGATATTTTTCAAACTTGCAGAAATGTCAATCAATAAAAACGAGAAATGTACGTAAAAAATAACGAACCGAAAGTTTGGGCGACGGTTCGTCAAAGGAAGAAAGGCTGACGACGGAGCTGGAAGAAGTGTCGAGGCTCATTCTCGAAGATCTGCGATGACCTTCAACTCGCGCAGCCAGTCTAGCCGAACGCGGCTGGAAAAACACTTCTTTTTCGTTTGATTTTTCCCCGCGAGAATTATTTTTACTCTCACATTAATCTCTATATGCGGTCATTTTTTTCTAATTTAAAAATTTAATTTATTCGACAACGCAAAAGGAAAAAAATGATTTTTCTTAAGCTTTATGGGGATTTTTTTAAATTACATTCCTTTTTGACAGCTGACTTTCAAAGAAGAATGAGTGGTTTTGAAGTTTGAAAAAGTATTTTATTTCCACGAAACAAAAACACCTGCTCATTTTTCATTTGAAAATTTTTTTGATCTCTACATTTTTAATCAGGAAGAATCTCCGAAAGATCGGAATGTCTCAACTCACGCGTTTTCTCGAGTTTTTGGCAGAAACTGGCGACGTCTCGCTGTCGGTTTCTTCGTTAATGAGCGCATCTTCGATCTTTCTCTTCTCCATCCTTCACTTCTTCTACTCCTTCTTCTTCACCCTCTTCGTCTTCTTCGTCTTCATTTTCATCTTCGTCTTCATCTTCCTCGTCTTCGTCTTCAGGCTCCGACTTGACGTTCAACTCCTGCTTAGCCTTTTTCTTGCCGGAAGATCCTTTCCATTCCTCGTCGGTGAGTCCACGCAAGGCGCTTCCTTCGCGATATTCGAGAACACTGTTGCAGCACGCCGTCAGGTACTCGGCAAACTTTTCTCCCGAGAAGGATTTTTTGGCCTTCATGATCATCTCCTCGAGAGAACTAAAATTATTTATTATCTTGATATAAAAATTAGATTATTTTTTTCCTTGAGAAAAAAATTTTTTTTTACCTCAACGTTCTTTTTTTATTTCTTTGGAAGCCCCGCTCAGTTCTGCTTGATACTTGTATCCCGGTGCCGTCAACTGGATGTATTCTTTCAGGGAAATATCTTTCTTTGAGAGATCTCGCATCGTGTGACGTTCGACAATGTTGCTCAGGAACGACATTTGTCTGGAATTCTCGTTATAAATTTTTTATACTATCCTCTTCCACTCCGAACAAATTGAAAAATGATTAACTCACTCGACATACTGGAAGGTGGGCCGAGAACCTCGCAAATATTCCCCATTGTACTGGTCACGTTTTCGGCGGTAGATCTGAAAAAAACAACTATTGAAGAGAAAAACTAGAATACGTTTGTATTATTTCTAAATTAAAATAAAAAGTTTATGGTCAAGAAATGAAAATTTTTGGCTTTTTTTCGTCATTCAAATTTTCTTTTATTCATAACGGACTCAATATAAGGTCAGAAAAAGTGTGAACTTCGCGATTTGATTTTTCTCCCGAGTCATCTTTTTATGGCTTCGGACCTTTTTTGCTTCATTTTTTAAAAGTAATAAAATAGGAAATTATTGAAATAAAGACCGATTTGAGCATCTGAACGTGTGGAATGGTGCCCCAGCCGCCGAGTTTCAACGAGATGTTGAACCAGGCTTGCCGCATCGGTCGATGAAAGCCGTGACGCGCGTCGCCTTCCTTGTCCCAAATGACCGTTTCAACTTGGATCAAATTCATGAGCCGCGTGATGAAGGCCACCATCTCGTCGCTGTCCAAACCGCTGCAAAATAGCTTTTCGAGTGGAATATTCGGGAATAAAGTCTCACTCGCTCGAGTTTCTGCGCGAAAGACTCTCCGGTGGGTCGTTTTCAGGAATAACTTCACCTCCATTTCGTTCGTGGTCCTGTTTCGCGAAATTAACTTTCATTTTCCATTATCTTTCCAAAAAAAAACCTGAAGAATTTTAGCGACGACTTTCGTGCTGGCGTAGGCCCATCGTTCCTGCAGTTGGCTCAGGTGAATCACCGTTTCCAGGTCGCTGACTGTCTTGGCACGAACCAACCAGTCGATTGGTAAGCCCTCAAAATTATTTCTTCAGAGGTTCAAAAATAAGAACTTCAGATTCGAAAACCAGACTCACCATCTGGAGGATAGCGATCTTCTCCTCGAGTTCTTGAATCTGCTTGGGATCGTACTCGCCATTCGGCGGTGGAGCAAAAAGATGGGCGGTTGGTTCCGGATTCACCTGCACGTCAATCATTTCGCGGACCTATAACGCCAATCACATTAACTTTTGAGAAATCCTACAATTGTCGTGATATAGTCTGTTCAGATTTTTAATGTCAAGTGCAATGACGTCATTCAAAAACACTCTGTGGATGGCTCGCTCTCTGATTGGTTTATCGCACCATTATGGGCGGAGCTTGAGCATCGACTTTACATTCAAAATCTGAACAGACTATAGAGAGAAAAGACACGATATTTGAAATAGATTATCAAAAAAGGTAATAAATTTCAAAACAGATAAATGTTTCTCTCTATCACGACAGTTGTAGGATTTATCAAAAGTTAATCAATATTATGTACGACGCATTGAGCGGAAATAAAAAGAAAAAAATTTAAAAAAACTATATGAAAAAAATTCTTTGCACACCATAATAGAGAATATTACATTCATCGAGAGAGAAAAAAAGGATTTTGGACTTAATTTTGATCCAAAAGGTTATAATTAATTCAGCAAAATCTTAAATTGTAATAGAGAGGAATTAAAGAAAGAGCAAGTTAAAAATGAACCATGTCGTGTTGGCGCGAAGAGCCATTCAAAATGATTTCGAGCAAGGTAAATAAGCGCCTCGAGTGTTCACTTTAGGTTACTCAACATATCATCAGGGAACCCTTGACTCGACATTTTTTGTTCTCGAAAATCCTCTGTCGAAATCCACCTCTGTATAAAAAAATAAAAAAAAATAAGAAAATCTAAAAAGTCGTCCCATCCAGGTGCTGAGGCTTGATGATACGTCGATGGCGTCAGAAAATGTCAAAGTCGCAAAACAACTTCCGTGAGATCATGTGACTCAAGGAGTTAGGAGAGAAAGTTCAATATGTTTTATAAATTCAAATTAGATAGAAATCAAGAGGAAAAAGTGAGTCCATCTCGATGTTACAAATAGAGGGAGTATTGCGCGCGTCTGATCAAATGAAAAAGATCGAAGTCAGTGAAGTTGAAAAGAAATTCTAGAAATTTGGGTACATAAATTCAGAAAATTTTATTCTAGTCATTTTTAATTCTGATGACTGAATTCGCGTGATGACTTTTGAAAAAAATAGATGAGTCTAATCGACGATTGAGCTGGTGAATTAAGAAAAAAGAGCATGACTGCAAAAAATAATTTGCAGAAGAAAGAACCAAACAGCGCATCTAAAATAGAGACAATGTTTTTTTTGGGAGTGGACTTGTAGGAGCCGCCCATCTTTTTTGACCTTGCCGGCGGCACGGAACCCAAAGAGATCTCCTTTTGGCACATCATCAACACGTATTGAGCGCCTTTGGTGGAGGCCTAAAACTATTGACAGGAGGTCAGATCAATCGCTTCTCGATCAAGAACTGTGAGATCGATCTCACAGTATATATCTCTTTCTTGAATGATACAACTTCGGCACCCTTTTGAGATCAATTTTAAATAAGACGAAATGAAAAAAAACTTTATGTACTGTATATAAAAGATATCGGCAAATTGGAAAAGTCGCGAAACCCGGGACATTACAGCGCTATGAAAGTAAAGTAAAATCAGCACCATAACTGAGTTAGAATCCAATGCATAAGACTGAAAGGCTAGTGCAACAGTGAAATAAGAAAAGAATAAGTCGAAATTTACATGTCTGAAAAATATACAGAAATATGAAAGGCACGATCAATATTATAAGAATAAAATGAGAACATGGAAAGGATTGGAAAAAATAATTTGAAGAGTCTGATTTAGAGAAATTCAATCTCAAATTGAAAAGAGATCAACGTCCGAGAGGAACTGAAGGCACAGAAATTCCTGCCTGCTGGACCATTTTGTTGTGAATTTGCTTCATATGGACCTCAACGTGATCTTGGAACCAGGGTCCATTTTTCGGTGAGATCTGAAATATCAACCATTCTGATGCAAATAAACAGTGCTGCTGACGGGGCGCCCCGCTGTTTTGAGCAGTCGCCCCGGAGCGCCCCGCCTCGTTGGGTAGATAAGTAAAAAAAAAAAGGTTAAGTGAGAAAATCCGCAGAGTAACGACTAATAATGAATCTATTGGTTGAAGAAAATGAAAATTCATTTATATCATTGAGTAACTGTGGAGAAATCTTCTAACAGTGTGACCGCTTCGCGGGGCGCGTTGCTGTCGCCCCGGTCTGGTCAGCAGCTCTGCAAATAAATTATCGGAAAAGACCTTCGTTTTAATCTCGTTGATCGCTTCGTTGAGAGACTGCAAGTCCAGAGAAGAAATTTTCTGTTGACCCATCGTGCGGACCTGAAAAAATTGAACCTTAGATGAATTTTAATTCCAGTGAACCTGCAAAATGAGCGAAGTGAGAGAGGAAATAAGAGAAAGCGCGTGTCGATTGTCGACGTTGAGCCCTTGGTTGCAGTGCTGGACAATTTGTGAGGCTTGCAAATCGCAATTTCGACGCAAAATCTCCGGCTTCAGGTGCATAGGCTGAAAAAAATTTTCTTTGCAAAAGTGATAGCGGCGGTTAACAAAAAAAAAAGAACAAATAAAGAGGAAAAGGAAAAGCACACTCGATGCTAAATTTTATATATTGAAAAGCTCAAAATTGGTGAAAAAGGTTTTACAAAATTACAATAATTTTCGAAAACTAGGAATCCTTTTGCTTAAAGTAGTTTTAAAAAAAGGGCATCTGACCTTAACCTTTTCTAGCTGTGAAATTTCGATCAGTCTAATCGAAAAAAAAGTCTCCTAGATTAAGAAAAACCAAAAAATTTTGAAAGGTTACAGTGTCTCAGAAAAACATAAGAAAATCTCAGAAAAGAAGCAGAATCAAAAGAAGAAACATATGTTTTTTTTTAAAATCTGTATAGCTCGTTATTTTTAGACTGAACTATCGTGTATTTAATTACAAGCTGAAGCAAACTTCCGTCGTTTACTATAACTTTCATGAAGGAACTCTCTTTATTGCACGTTAACAAAATTCAAATCTGTCTCAATGCTCTTTTCTCATTTGTGTCATCCTCAGTGGAGGATTGACTAACCTCCGTGTTGGGCGCCGTGAAATGATTACTGTATTCTTGAATCGACTGAAGGTAATTCTGGATTTGTCGATTCACGGCATCCAACTCAACAATCACCAAAGCGTACTTCTCCTGAAAAATTTCAGATTTGAAAAAAACCCCCTAAACTTCATCAACCTTGAAAGCTTCGGGATAATGAGAAGTCTGCAGGTTCATTTTTTCTGCTTCGCTATTCATTTCACTGAGCTGACGACACAGCTTTTTCTTCACCTCGATCAGTTTGGAAAGCTTGACAAGGATAACCAAAAATCGCAGTGGGAAATTCCCGACTTTTTCTGAAAAAAAAAGTTTCCAAGAATCTTTTGAATGGCTAGGAACCTAGGCCGATGTTAACAGTTCCTCCGTTCAGAAGAGCTCTTTTCGCAGCGGCACTCATCGGAGCATTCGTGCTGATATCAAGCTCGCTTTTGACCACGTGAGGCCTTTCCAGGTGCCTCACCGCGGCCACTGAAAGTTGAAACATCTTATATTTATCCTTCTAGGAGTGGGGAATCGAATAAGCTGTCAGTAAAATTTAAGAAACATTCTTTTTTCTACATACCTACAGGCCGAACACCGGTAGGAAGCTTCGAGTTGGCTTGTTCCACGAAATAAGCCAAACTCAGAAGTTCGAGTCGTCCGTCGACAATGACATCTGTGTCGGGGACTTCGGCTGGCGGAAGATTAGGCTAGAAAAAAAGTGGACTTTAAAAAAATTTTTTTATGTAGCTTTTTAGAATTATAAAAATTATATTTCTATTGAAAAAGGAAATTGACTCGATATTTTTCGAAACCTAATTACTCCTAATTTTTTTCAAAAAAACTCACGCTCTCGAAAACGATGCGATAACCGTTGGGAATAAGGGCATCTATAGTTCCGGCATAAAGACCTTCCATCGCTGAACTAACCAGAGCAAAAACCTGCAAAAAAGGTGGATTTTCACTAGTTTTCCCCTTCTGAACGTACTCTCATTCCGACGACAAGTGGTCTTGGCAGTTTATTGGGCAAATCGGAAATGTCAAAAGAGTGGTCGTGGAGGTACGTTCCTTCGTATATCCCACGAATCTTACTTCTTTTCATTTCCAAAGTTCGTCGTTCTTCATCGAAAAACAGCTGTGAGCAACGCCTTGGCTTGCCTGGAACGCGGAAATCAAGAAGATCGCGAAAATTGAAATCTCAAGTACGCAGCCAAAAGCTATCTAACAAAACAGTTATAAACGTTGAATGCTCATGTAATTTTTAAAGTAGAATGACGTCATTTTTTCCAGAGCACGCGCTTACTTTTTTTTGTGAATTCAGAAGCTTTGACGCCTCGCCCACCTTCCTTCACCCGATTAGGAATGCCGTGGAAGCATAGTTAGACTAGATCTACATGCTAGAAGCCGTTCTTAGAGTAATATTAAGTTGGGAAAGACTTTATAAGATTCCAATATCTCAGTGGAAATAAACACTTTATAAAGATATCAGATTTATATTTAGGAATTTTTGATCGACTATAATTGATTAATTTCTTACCAAGCAATCTTCTGATAGTTCTCCACTCAGGTTTGTTAAGCATGAGAGTTTTCAGATTGGGAAATCCTTCACGAATGATTTGGGCGAACTCGTTATCACCCAGAAAGAGCTGCTCGTCTACGCCAGAGTAGAAAAACTCGGAGACGACCCATCGGCGTGACTTCTACACTTCTGTTCTTCGCTCATTCAAACTAATTCTCACCTTGTTGAACTTCAGAAAGTTTTTCAATCGCTTTACGTTATCGTGTACGACTCTTCCTAACTCGGATTCATATTTGTACCTGCAAACAGTTGAAAAAAATTATAAATTAGGCAAAAAAAGAAATACCTAACAAGACTGCGCAGAAGTTTTTTTCTCTTGCAGCAGCGGAGTCAAACATTTCCAAGTCAAACAAAGATTCGAAATCGCTCCATGTTCTTTCCGCTTCAGAAAAAAACCGTCTATAAAAAAAGTCTAATATTCAAAAAAATTTTTTTAAAGAAAGATATTACCGGGATAACTGCAGAAGAGTATTCCATGTTGATAGGAGTAGGATTCATGTTCAGAATCCGGCGTGCTGGGCGTGAATATTCTCTCTGAATAAAAAAATAAGACTAATTTCCATGGAATAGACAAACTGGTTCGGGAGCCGCTATCATCTGACTGGAAGTAGGCTGTTCATCGTCCACGAAAAACCCGTGCAGCTGAAAAATTAATGACAGTAATCGATAGTTTCGAAATATTGGAAAAAAAAAACTACTTACTGGGTCATCTAAAATGGGAAGTGGCATCAACATTTCGTTCCGTTTGCGGTTCAAACTTGATTTACTATCACTATCATCCGTTGTGTTAGTTTTTATAGAACTTGAAGACGACACAGTAGGTGTTCTCTTGGGATTTACTTTCCGAGTGGGCGTTTGAACGGCAACTCTGCAGAAAACCTCATGAAGAGCAGAAAAAAAACTTTTTGATCTACTTTGATGGAGATTTTTTTGGAGATCGAACTTTTGACGGAGATATCTCCACGTCGTCTCTATACCGCGATGGTATTTTGGACGACTCTCTTAGTCGATAAGGAGAAGATGAAGCCTGTAAATGAATAGATGCATGCATATTTTACTTGTTTCAATAATAGGCAAAACTAACTACCTCATCCGTTGGCGTGGAAGTTTCTGCTCGCTTACGTGACATGATGTTTGAGCTGTCGTTAAGCTAAAAATACACTAACTACTGAATATTTGTATTTCAATCGCATATTTACACATTTGAGAATGAAAAGAAAATTTGAAAATTTCCAGCTGGCGCACGGCCAAGCAAGTTTCAAATTATATTGCGTCTCAACGCGATGAGCTGTCGACCCCTCCCACGTACTGTATTTCTTGGAAAATACGCTCTTTCGTGGACGTCGTCGATCCTTCATCATCACAGTTATTTATTTCTTTTTTGTCCGAAAAAAATTTTTAAACCTATTTCCGATTATGTTATTCTTATGGCTGTTATACGTTGAGTGTTCTAATCCGTCTCTTAGGTTTGCTTGAGCACCAATTATCGTCTTCACCTTCTTTTCTTCTTTATTATTTCCGATTACCTGATACTCTGGAATAAAAATCTCATGAGGTTGTTTCAATTCAAAAATATCATTTTCAAAAAAAAGAGATTATGATTTTTTTCTTTTCAAAAAAAGATAAAAACTTTTTCCATGGTTTTTAAATTAACAAAAATTAAATAATTTCGGTTTTTTTGATATATAATAACCATTTTTAGCATATTAATTGTAGTTGATTAATTGTTTTTTTATCAAAGCGAGATTTATGCACGGTCTTAAATATTTATGTGTCGTGAGCAAACGGAAAACCTCTGGTTAGACACCCCGGCCCCGTGAAACACGTTTCTGTTTGCTTTTCCCTTTGATGCTTTTTATCGAAAAGTTTATTTTTCCTTTTTTTTCGAGATTGATGTCTCATCTCGAGCTCGATCAGAATCCTTAAACCTTTCCCTTCATGTAAGTTTAATTTATTTCCTTTCTACCCTTCTTTTTTTTTCCTGACGAAATTGTTTATTTAAAAGTTTTTCAAACAATTTTTAAAGTATACTTTGATTTTCCAAAACGCAATTCGTTCATCCTTCCTTTTTTTTTCTTCTACCTGCGAACAACGATTTTTTTCGCTTTCGCTCGTTCCACGCGCATAGAATCGATTCTGCCTGCAACGGAGGAAAAGCCTCGCCTCAGGGCCTCTTTTTATCGGATTTCCTCACGGCGCTCCTCGCAAAACCATTATAATTCTTTTCATTCCATTTTCTCGTGCTTATTCATCATTTCTTTTTGTTGTGCTTTTTACACTTGCGATTTGGAAATAACGCACTCGTGAGTGTTTACATTTGACCACACGAATTGATTCACGTCTCATGACAAAAACTTTTGAACAACTGAATACGTGCGCTTTTTTTTATTTTGTATTTCTGACCTGTTTAGAAATTGTTAAGTTCATCTTTCTTTTTTTAATCTTTTTGTAAAATTTCGATCGCTGTTTTATCTTATCATCTTTGATAATTTTTCACGAATTATTCTCGATTTTAAAATTATTGAAAAAGCTTATTGTTGGAAATTCAATAAATGACGTTGTTTTTTTTTTAATTTTTATGTTTGATTTATAGTCCTGTAAAGTACAGCCAAAAATTTGTTGCTGTTATGAAGACGAAAAAAATTATAGAGTGAAACCTTTTCAGTGGTTCATTGATCTACGCCCGATTGAGAGCCTTTCAAAACCTAACAGCTTCGTCTAAATTATTAAGAACTGAATTTATCTTTACTTTTTCTAGTTGAGTACTGTTCAAAAAACTTGATATGTTTTCAATTCAATAACGAGATTTGAAAAGATGTGTCATGAATTTCGTTCGTTTCTCGATTTCTTGAAAAATAAATTCCTCTCAGTGTTCTCATCGCTGAATCTAGAAGCAGTTTTCAGAAAATGGGAGATTACGTGGTGCCGGGAGAGGAGCCGGCAGAGCCAGGAATTTATCGAAGTGAAAAAATGTGTCTGGCCCAGCTCTACCTCCAGTCCGACGCTTCCTATCAATGCGTTGCCGAACTCGGCGAACTTGGCCTCGTCCAGTTCAGAGATGTCAGTTTTTGTCTTCTTTCTTATTAATTGGATCTGAATTTCAGTTGAATCCCGACGTCAGTTCTTTCCAACGAAAGTACGTCAACGAAGTCCGGCGATGTGATGAAATGGAGCGAAAGCTACGTTAGTGGAACTTTGATGATTTGAGCTCTCATTTTCCATGATTTCAGGATTTCTGGAGCGAGAAATCAAAAAAGATCAGATTCCGATGCTAGACACCGGAGAGAATCCAGATGCGCCGTTGCCCAGAGAGATGATCGATCTCGAGGTCATTTTCCATTTTATTTTATTTCTAGATATATAAAATATGTTTTTTTCTTTCATGATTAAAATTTATCATTATTTTCATGGAAAAAAATATGAATGAACCAGAAATTCTCGTAGTTATTTTCGCAAAAAGCAAAAAAATTTAATGTCCTAGTCAAAAAAATCTGATGCAATATACTTTTTGATTTTTCTTAGGTGAGAATTTTCTTTTTTTCAATTTGCACGAAATTTCGCGGATTTAATATAGAAGTTTTTCCAGTTCCGAGTTCTGAAGCTTTCGATTGTTGGAAAAAAATACCTCAATCTTTATTTTTTTTATTTGTTCTATGTCTCTCTTCAATTTGGGGAACGTTTTTTTCGTTCATTGTCTAACCAAATTTTTTTGAAATAATTATCTCTTTCTCATTTCATATGATTTAGGCGACCTTCGAAAAACTTGAAAACGAGCTTCGAGAAGTGAATCGAAACGAGGAAACTCTCAAGAAGAACTTCTCCGAACTCACCGAATTGAAGCATATTTTGCGCAAAACACAAACGTTCTTCGAGGAGGTTTGTTTAAAAAAATTTGCATTTTTTTAATTCGAAGAAATTTTGTGTGTGCCAAAAAAATATCTCTAACCTTGATTTTCTATAAATGAAGTTCAGAATTATTCATCGCACATTGCATGCCAATTTTTCATTCGATTAACTCTCTTTTTCTTTTTTTTTGTTACTCTGAACGCGTTGGAGGTGTGTGGGTTCTCAAAAACTTGTTTAATTACTTTTAATTTCTTTTCGCAAAAGGTATTAAACGTTAAAACTTTATTTATTTTTAATCAGGAGCTCTGTTGTGTATGCTTGTCTGTGGCGTTTTTCAAAGTAGTATTTGAGAATGTTTTGTGTTGATGAAAGGTGGAACACGACCGGTGGCGACCCGCTGAAGGCGTCGCCGACCAGACGCGTCCAGAAGATTCTCAGCCGTTGATCGACGTCGACGACGAGGACAACCAGGGCGTCTCCTTGGCCGTCGCCAGCTTCGCCAGTCGTCTTCGATTGGGGTTCGACTTGTTGTCTCTTTTATTTTTTGCTTTTGATATGGATTTTGCTCGCAGCTTTGAAAGCTTATTTTCAAGCTTTCTCAAATTGATTACGAAAAGCTGACGCTGGTAGTTGTTCATAAAGTTTTTCAAGAAAGAGATAAACCCACCACCACCATCCAAGTAAATTCTGCTGATATTTATTAAAAAAATATTACAAATCCTATGAACTGTGCATGTGTTGCATGTTTGAAACGCAAAAGAAGTCCTATCACTTTTGGAACTTTGTTGAATTTCTGCTAACTTTCATATATATATATATATATATATATATATATATATATATATAAAAATTGTATTTACTGCATTGAAACTCTCTGATCTGATAGCATGATTTCTTTCTGAAAATTTTCTCTGTGAACTAACTTTCTCATTTGAATGTTCCTCAAGTAAAGTCGGCCTGAGCAGGCAGGCAGCGGCGACACGATAATTCCACCGGCGACTGGCGGAGGTTCTCTGGACCTAGGCGGCGAAGAATCGCTCGAGCTCACCCAGCAGCTCACTCAAGGAGGAGCTGGAGCACCTGCTGGTGGCACCATGTTTGCCAACTTCGGGTGAGACCGCCGTCGTGCTCGTCTCGCCTGTTTTGTCGTGTAGTTATGTGCTTGCTCTGAAATCGAAGCTTCTTCTTTTTTAGCATCCTCACTCTCATTCTTCTAAAAACAGTGGCATGCGTTAAGAAAACAAACATGATGTTAACCAGGGATGCGGCAATAAATTCGAGCAAAGTTTCTCCAATTTATTTCATTCGATAAGTAAAAAAACAGTAGAAGTTTAACCGAAAAAAAGTATCCGTTAGAGAATAAAAAAAAGACAAAGTAATGTCGATTTTCCCCGTTTTTACGACAAAAGCCCATATCCGTACATCCCTGTTGCGAACTAGTGAATTTAACAAACTATTTTTGGTAGAGTTGAAAATAATCTTTGTTGTAAACCCGTGGTGACGTTGAACTATAGCACGAAGACCTGATCGCGGAGAGCGCCAGTGTCACCGGACCTCTCGACGACGAGTTGGACATCTCCCACAGTCAACCGGACGCCCATATGCCTCTGAAGCTCCAACTACGGTAGAATTGCTATACGAATACTTGGTTTTGGTGGTGGTGAAATGAGTAGTTTCAATTAGTTTTTGTGAAAAAGTTGGCTTGAGCTCTCCAAAGCGTTAGCTCTCAATTGAATCACCAAAAGAACTTTTTTTAAAATTTCACAAGGAAGATTAATCTGTTTGAGCCTTTGAAAAAAATTCTGAACTTTACACCTTCTGGCTGATTCAAAAAGCCAGATTGAAAGGCTCAAATTAATAGACTTCAGAAAGTTTCAAGTAGAATAACCTCTCTTGTCAATGTCATCTTAGAAGGAAGTTTTTGGTGATTTACTCGAAAGTTCTCGTGAAACTTTTCTCCAGAAATATCTGAATTCGAGGGTTGATCATCGGCTTCAGATTTGTCGCCGGCGTGATCCAACGCGAACGTCTTCCGGCCTTTGAGCGTCTCCTTTGGCGCGCATGCCGTGGAAACGTTTTTTTGCGCACCAGCGAAATTGACGACGTTCTGAATGATACTGTAACGGTGAGTTGACTAACTGAAACTTCACTTTTTAAATTTCCAATAAAATTATAAATGTTTGAAAGGGTGTATTGTTTGTTTCTTCTGTTTTCAGGCTCGAAAAGTGTTTCGCTAAATAAAGTTCTATATGCGAAGTTTTCTATTAAATCAGCTGTGTTAGATCGAGCCGGAGTACAAAAATAAAAAAATGTATATAAAAAAAGTTTTGCTGATATTTTTTTCATGGCTTGTATTTACCTCGAAAATAAAATGTTTTCAAAAATTTTCCATTTTTTTAAAAATTGAGCGATAGATTATGAAAGCTTATAAAGAAAAAACACATTTGCTGGATAGACAAGGTTTCAAAAGGAATCATAGAAATGTTTCAGGGTGAACCTGTGAACAAAACGGTCTTTATCATCTTCTTCCAAGGTGAACAGCTCAAGACAAAAGTGAAGAAAATTTGTGAAGGGTTCGTTTATTTGAGGTTTCCTTTTTCTAAAGTAACCAACATTTTTTTCAGTTTCCGAGCGACTTTGTATCCTTGCCCAGATACGCCACAAGAACGTCGCGAAATGTCCATCGGAGTGATGACCAGAATCGAAGATCTCAAGACCGTTCTGGGCCAAACTCAAGACCATCGACATCGCGTTTTGGTTTGCTTTGAATTAATTCCTCTTCGAGAATAATAAAAAAGATAACCTTAATTTACAGGTTGCCGCTTCGAAAAACGTCAGAATGTGGCTGACCAAAGTCCGAAAGATCAAGTCGATCTATCACACCCTCAACCTTTTCAACATTGACGTCACGCAGGTAATAACAAAATTTCCAACTCTCTATTCATTTTTCTAAACAGAAATGTCTGATTGCCGAGGTTTGGTGTCCGGTTGATGAGCTGGATCGCATCAAAATGGCTTTGAAACGCGGAACTGTGAGTTTTTTTTAAAAATTATCATAGGTAAACATTTGAGAAGAATAGGACATAAGAATGAATGAAAACGCCAAAAATAGTTAATTTTCGATGCTTGGAAATTTTTAGAAGTTAAGAGAGGCCAATTTTTCGCGATGCCTCTTGCGTGAGATTTTAAGGTTTGAGAATGGGTTGAAAATATAATAAATTTCTAATTTGATTTACTGATTCGAAAAATTCAAAGGTCATGTATACAATACTGGATTAGTTTCATAAATTTGTAGATTTGTAATCAAAAAATTTGTGGGAACAACTTAACAATCATTATATTGCCAGGAGGAGAGCGGCAGTCAAGTGCCGTCGATTCTGAACCGAATGGAATCTGCGGAAGCGCCGCCGACGTACAACAAGACGAACAAGTTCACCCGTGGATTCCAGAACATCGTCGACGCCTACGGAATCGCCACCTATCGGGAAATTAACCCAGGTTTTCCGAACCATCCGGGAACCTGTACAATGCGAACGGATTCCAGCTCCCTACACGATGGTCTCTTTTCCGTTTCTTTTCGCCGTCATGTTCGGCGACATGGGCCACGGCGTCATCATGTTCCTCGCCGCTCTTTTCTTCATTCTCAAAGAGAAACAACTCGAAGCCGCTCGGATCAAAGACGAGGTTTCTGTTTCAAAAAAGAAGTAGGAGTTTATGAATTGTTCAGATCTTCCAAACGTTCTTCGGAGGTCGCTATGTGATCGTGTTGATGGGCCTTTTCTCGATCTACACCGGCTTCATCTACAACGACATCTTTCTCCAAGAGTTTCAATGTCTTTGGATCGGCCTGGCGCAATTGCTACAAGGACAACTTCCATCCGCAAGACGCCGAGAAAAGACTCATGCTCATCCCAGAACTCGCGTTTGACGTTCGTAGTTCTCTTTTTCTTCGAATCAGCAGCGTTGATCACTTTCTTGAAAGAAGAGATTCGATAGCGTCACTAAGAATAACTGCCGAGATAAACGCGAGACACTGGCGGTACATTAACGAGCTCGCAAACATCTCGCGTTTTTTCTCGCGCCGGTCTCGCATTTTTCTGGGCGCCAGCTCGCACTTTTCTAGGCGCGAGCTCGCATTTCTCTCGCAATTTGAAAATTTCCGAAATGCAAGATAAATGCGAGGTCGCGCCGAGATAAATGCGAGATCGCGCCTAGAAAAAAGCGACATTTTTGCGAGTTCGTCAATGTACCGCCACCGACCTCGCGTTTATCTCGTCAGTTATTCTTAGTGGTAGAGCAAATTTGGTGGTTTGTTTGGCGAGAAAAATAAGTTTTCAAGTTCTAATAGAAGAAAGATAAGTTAAAAAATTGTTGGAGATCACTCAATTTCGAATTTTTTTTTTGGATGAAACTGAAAAATAGGAGCAAAAAAAAAATTAAAAAATGACGAAAATAAAGTAGTGGGAGGAGCTAAAATTGATCTCAATTCAATCATACCTGAAGGAAACTTTTTTTCTAAAGATTCCGGAATCCAGTCACAAGCGGAGTAAAGACAGCAATTATAAACGAGAAATATGATTTACAATCAAAAATTTAGACATAAAAATATAAAAAGTTGAAATATTTGCATGAAGCTTGTTTTCTCAAGGATCAAAAGCTAACAACTAAAAATTTTAAAAAAATAGGAATTTCCAAGTTGATTAAAAATAACAAAGGTTCACGATTTATTTTTAATTTCGGGGCGAATAACTGAATTTTACCACTCAGAGCTCTCGTTTTTTTGATTTTTTTAAAGTAGTGAAATTCCTCGAAATCTAATCGAAAATGGTCGAAAAAAGAGGAAAAAATATCTTCGTTTTTCAGAATTCAATAAAGAATGTTTAACGAAATCGTTTCAAAACCAATATTGTTGAGGGGTCGCCCTATCCGATTGGTGTTGATCCTGCATGGAATCTCGCCGAGGCGAACAAATTGTCGTTCTTGAACTCGATGAAGATGAAGATGTCCGTGATCCTTGGTATCACCCAGATGACCTTCGGTCTCCTTCTCAGCTATAAAAATCACAAGTTTGCTCCGTTTTTCCTTCTCAATACATATTTTTGTTCTCAGGTATTTCAAGTCGGATCTCGACATTAAGTTCATGTTCATTCCGCAAATGATCTTCCTCTCCTCCATTTTCATCTATTTGTGTCTGCAGATTGTTGCCAAATGGCTTTTCTTCACGGCTGAGGTTCCATTTGATTCGATTCCAGCCTGAGTTCGAACTGATTCCAGGGAGGCACCGTGTTGGGGTACACTTATCCCGGCTCGAGCTGTGCTCCATCGCTCCTTGTCGGCCTCATCAACATGTTCATGATAAAGTCGCGCGCCGGCGGATTCGTCGCCGAAGATGGCTCGACTCTTGACTTGTGCTACCTCAACCTCTGGTACCCTGGACAGGTTTGGCACTAAATTTCGATAAAAATAGGATTTTCAATATAATTTGATACGAAGTAACGAGGAGAATACTGAGAATAAGATTATTGGTAAGAGAAATAAAATAGAAGGAAAATGAGAAGAAAATAAATGCAGTTCAAATTGGTCATGCCGTTTAGTTTATTTGTTTTTTTTATTCGATTTGAAAATTTGAAAATAAGTTTTATTTTGTGATCTAGTTGACCAAAGATGAAACTGAACCTAATAAATGGGAGGGTTCGAATTGGTATGGAGAAAGGGTTGTAGTCGTTCTTCGAAACGGTTTTCGTTCTTCTCGCGCTGGCCTGTCTCCCAGTGATGCTGTTCGCCAAGCCCTACATGCTGTGGAAGGAAGAGAAGCAGCGACGTGAGGTCGGCCACCGCCAACTGGTGAGAACTGCGAGCTCTTGGCGAATGCCGTCGTCGTCGTTTGGCTGCGTTGTTTTCACTGGGCGTGTCGTGGTGTTGGGCTCATGGCGTTCCAAAACGGACCAAAATCAGGAATAGAAAATTCAAAAAGTTTTTTTTCGAATAAGCTATCAGTGGGGCTTTTCAATGAGACTTTATTATTAAGTTGCATTTTTATACGCCGATTTTTAAACTCGACGCGAAAATTTCAGATAGTTTGCTTTAAAAGTTTTCTCATTTTTCAAGTTTAAAAAATTACTCCGAGTTGATTTTCGGATGGGATATAAATCTTTCTGCAAGAAGTGGTACGGCTGTTTTTTTTTGTAGATGATCTGTTTTCGAAATCTACATCTACCAACCGAAATAAAATCTTTGAAAAGTTTTATTTTTCATTGTGAGAAGTCTTCACTTTTCTTGAGTATATATTCAAAAGCAGCATAAAAAACTGCATATGAAAAAATCTGGTCTCATTTAGAAGACCCACTGTGTGCTGAGATCATTTTTCAGAACAATTTTCAAACTTCCCTATTTATAATGCTTTCGTAATTTTGCAGCCGACTTGAAAGAAATATAGTTTTTTGCTTTATCTACATCATCATAGAAATAACCCGTTTTGGAACGTTTTCTGGTAATCGATTCGTTTTTACAATTTTTTATTTTTTGTTTTCTTTTGTTGTAAAAGAAAAGCATGGCACCGTGTCGATCCTCAAGCATCTAACTGTGAAAATGGAGTCTTACCTCAGATACCACTGATGGGGCTGGGTCATACTGGTAAAACTAGGCGGTACCAGTTTAAACCGAGTTAACTATGAAAAACATACCTCGTCATTGAATTAGGACACAAAAATATCTTATTAATCGTTGTTTCGTACTGGTAACGTCGTCGTGTTGGTTTTCAGGGCATCATTGAAATGATATTAGTGATTTTGGCTGTGGTCCAAGTGCCAATCATGTTGTTCGCCAAGCCGTTTTTCGTCATGCGACGCGCCAAGCACCAAACCGCCTACAGTACACTTCACAATGAATTTGATCGCGAGGTTTCGTCGGTTAAATAAGAATTTTAATGAAATACCAACGCAACTACCAAGAATTTCAACAAGATAATTACACATAATCATTTTGGAATTTTTTTAAAAATTTGTATTCAGAGTTGTTTTTTTAATAGTTATCCCCATGCACTCGTAACACTTGTCTGCATCTTTTCTTGTTCTAATGCTTGCCTCAATTGGTGTCCCTTTATGTTGTTTCGCCGTGGTTGCTTTGGTGTTGGTGTTTTTTTTTTACCTTTATAGGAGGGCTTCGAAAAAATGAAGGTTACAGTAGCGAGAATCATCACCTTTTTCTCTTATCTTCAAAATGGATGATTGATTGAAGCTGAAATATTAAAAACTTTTGTAATAACTTTGGGAATACGAAAATGACAGATCATAAGAAAAACATTTTTATAACTCCATTAGGTTTTTTTAAATGCAAGGTCAAAACGACTAAAAATAAATCTATGAGGAGCTCAAAAAAATCGAGAAGTTCGGAATGAATTTATTTTTTTTCATTTAGTCAAAAAAAACTTCATTCATCAAGAGCATAAAAAAATGTCTTATTGTTCAATATTTAATGCCGTACTTCTCTTGAAGCGAATTCGAAGCTTCATCCAACCATCCTTCTGAAAATGGCAAAAATTTGAGAAATCTGCTACTCTAGCCTGGTTTTTTTTTGATGTTCTCCTGTAATGCGGAGTAAAAATGGCTCGTTTTTAGTTTTAATTTTTGTTTCAGAGTGTGAGAGCCGATATGAACGGCGATGACGCAGAAGTTGTGCACGCGCCTATTCAGGCGAAACCTGAAGGCCACGGCCATGGACACGGCGACGGACCGGTCAGGAGTCGTTCTTCATGAAGATCCTCTGATTTTTGTGTTCAGCTGGAAATGGGCGACGTGATGGTCTACCAGGCGATTCACACCATCGAGTTCGCCCTCGGCTGCATCTCCCACACAGCTTCCTACTTGCGTCTCTGGGCTCTCTCGCTAGCTCATGCTCGTTTGTTTTCGGATGATCTTAATTTTCCCGAAGAAATCAAAAAATCACTCTAAAAACTAGATGATGAACGATACTTTGAACAATTTCAATGAAAAAAATATGAAAATTCTTTTCGCTGGAATGAAAGTCGTATTTTGATAATATATATTCGCCACTGTTCGAAAAAAAAAGGGATTTGGGAAATGCGTCTCCCATTCCATCGGCTTTTTCTCATGTTTAAATTTCAGACGGTTTGAAGGCGAAGTTGATTAGATGCAGTGTTGATAATTTATAATTTTTATAGCGGTCCTGGATAATCTGGAAAGCTTATTCAAATATTTATCAAATATTTCTCATTATCAGCATTTTTCAAATGTCAAAATGGCATAAATGGATTGAATAAATAAAATAATTTTCGGAATTTATTCTTTCCCTGGAGCACAGGAGAATTTCTGTTTATTTTTCATATCAACATTATTCAACCGTTAGAATTTTTTGCTGTTTCAATTTTTGCTTTTGTCCAGAGCTTTCCGACGTGCTGTGGACGATGGTGTTCCGTCACGCCTTCACGATGGACGGCTACTCTGGCGCCATCGCCACCTACCTGCTCTTCTTCGTCTTCGGATTCCTTTCCGTCTTCATTCTCGTCTTGATGGAAGGCCTCTCCGCTTTCCTTCACGCCCTGCGTCTCCACTGGTCCGTTGTCCTTTCCTTCCTTCCTACTACGAAAAAATCGAAAAAAATTCGAACATTTTATTTTGCAGGGTCGAGTTCCAGTCGAAGTTCTACGGAGGACAAGGCTACGAGTTCTTGCCGTTTTCGTTCGAAAAGATTCTGGCAGAAGAACGAGCCGCCGAAGAACGAGCGGAGTAACACCTTCCACCATAATCCTAACGTCCAACTTCCATCGCTGACTTTTGTACTTCAAATGCACGCTTGTTTATAGGCAAAACTCGAAAATAATAAGAGCATATAGTTCCTTGGCCTTCCTTCCCACTTGCCCTTTTTCATGTTTTCCGTCCGTGCAGAGAAATCGCTTCCTTGCAGCCCTTCAATCAGTTGTTTGTAATTATTCGCATGAAAGTCTCGTGTGTTGTGTTTGTGAATAGTGTGGTGTTCTTTGTGCTTCTCCATGTTGACGTACGTCTGCAGCGTCTGGGCGGTGCCTCTTCTTCCTATTTAATCATCGACTCCCCTTAGGCGTCAAGCCCACTCATTTCAGTGGGCTTGTCCTTTTTTGGCAATGAAACGCTAGTCGCAAAATTCTAATTTATTCTTTTAAAATATTCGATTAATATATATCTTTACCTTCACATTAGTATTGCATGATGATGTTTGTCGGCTGAGCTTCTCCCTCATTCAAATCCGTTTTAAATTAATTTATTCTCGTTTATTATTAGCTCTCATGTATCTCTATTGATATTGCCATAGATTTCGTGTTTCTCTCTTCCTCTCGAAATTTGTATTCTTATTGATTAATTGCTGCATTTTTACCATTGGTTCTCAAATAGAGTATAGAAGGGCCCATTATGAATTTGTGCAAAGGGATTTGATGAGGTGTTGATTGTTGGATTCATGGAATAAAGTTAGATTGAAAGTTTTTGTTTTTCTGTCTTCAATGCATGCAAAGGAATCGCACTTAGCAGTATTTCAGCCAACTTTAAGTGATATTTTCGAGATTTACTTGAGATATTCCAGCTCATATTCTCAATTATTGATGGATTCTTTTTGCTCATAACCAGAGTTGTTCCTCGTATTTATGAAGACCAGTTTGGGACGTCCGAAGATTTTCCAGAAAATGATGATGTCGCCAACTTCCAAGCACATGCGGACCATGAAGCCGTTCAACATGTTCCATAGACCGGGTAAATTTTGAAGATTTTTCTATCTCTAGGAAGTGGCTGACTGTTCTTCGAATTTCAGAGGAACTATTTAAAAAAGTTTCAATCTTACTTCTTCTCACTACCCCAGGATTTTCTTAAAAGATAAGGCATGAAAAACGACGATTTCAGAAGGCTCGTTGTGTATCTGGCTGAACGGAGACATGGCAGCGGAACGGCCTTTCTGGGTGAAGGCCTGGAATTCGGCTGTCCGACGCGTTTGCACCGACGGCGCCTCCGGAAGAGTCCTTCAGAGGTTTCCAGGCCTTTGCTTTCTGAAAACCGGATCTGATGAAGGAAGAGTGATCTGAAGATGCCTCACGCCGTTTGCGGCGACTTCGACTCGAGCAACAACAACACGATGGAGCACATGATGAAAATGTCTGTCGAGTGAGTTGTTGCTGCTTTTTTCTCCGAAACGGAGTCGGTTTCAGAGTTTGTCCCCTTCTCGATCAGAACGCCACAGATCTTCAGAAAACGCTCAAATATTGCATGGAGATGTTGGAAAAAAATCCGGAAGTCAATTTTATTTTCACTGAATCATCTTAACTTCAAATTTTGACTAAAGAATTCGAACATAAGCAACGGTTCCGCAAGAAATTAAAAGTCCCTCGAATCTCGGAGCCAGATTGAAAAACTCCGAAAATTCAGGTGAAATGCGAGAGAATCGTTCTTCTCGGAGGTCTTAACGGCCGCTTCGACCACACAATGGCGACGTTGTCCACCCTGGCACACTACTGCGAGATGAAAATCCCGATTTATGCGATTGACGGTGAAAATCTCGTCTTTTGTCTGTCGCCTGTAAGGAAATATTGAGTCGAAGAAAATTAATAGAAGTAAATTTTGAGGGGGAGTCGATGATCATGTGTGAGCACAACTTGTGTTCAAAGAAGTGCGGCCTGATGCCGTTGTGTCAGAGAACCACTAAAGTGACTACTCGCGGAATGAAGTGGAACCTCGGTTCGTTGAAAAAAAGCTTTTTCCAAACAAAAAAGTTGTTCGTTTCCAGACGACTCCGAAATGGAGTTCGGCAAGATGATCAGCACTTCGAACGAAATCATGGACGAAGAAATCTATGTCAAATGTTCGGCTCCAACCTTGTTCTCGATGGAAATGCACATGTGAAACTGAGATGCTTGCTGTTATTTGTAGATATTTTTTTTCGTTCTCAAAAAAAGCCTTTTTTTGACTTATTTTACCGGTTTTCAGAAGTTAGTATTCATAGTGTTATCCTTGTCATTTATGGGATTTGCAAATAAAGTTTTATTTATTGAAACTGAGTATTCCACGAAGAGATTTTATTTCTGCGACAAAGACTACTTTTAATCTTGACTTTAATGAAAAAAGAATTTTTCAATTGCAGAATGACACTTACACGGACGTTTAATCTTTGCTCAAGACGATTATGTTGGTTTTTTATTTTTTTTTAAAGTCTATATTAAGATATACACTCAGAGTTGAATAAAACTGTCCCGAAGCTTCGAAAAGAGAATCAATTTTTAGTCAGCACAAAGCCAAATGATTACGATTTGATAGTGATCGGTGGCGGGTCTGGCGGTCTATCTTGCTCGAAAATGGCGTAAGTCCGACTTTTGGAACGAATTTTTCCATAAATTCGAAACTTTTAGTCGGTTGTGACTCTTTTCAGTGCAAGCCTAGGCGCAAAAGTCGCTCTAGTGGATGCTGTGGAGCCGACTCCTTCAGGGGTCACTTGGGGCATCGGAGGCACTTGTGCTAACGTTGGCTGCATTCCGAAGAAGCTCATGCATCATGCTGCCATCGTTGGAAAGGAGGTTCAACTTTTTGATAATTCAATGGTCTGTTTAAATGTTAAATGTCAAGTCGTCGGTCAAACTCCGCCCCTTATGCGTAGACCAAACCAATAAGAGAGCGAGCCATCCATAGAGCGTTGTTGGGGGCGGAGTTTGCTGTTTGACATTCAAAATCTCAACATACTATAGATGAGGAAACATTAAAATAGCGCTCCATAGCAAACTGGAAACTGTCTTTCGAAAAATTTTCCGTTTTTCATTAAGAAATTGTATAAAAAGCTGAAAGAACTGAAAGGGGCATCTTTCTGCGAATTTCAAGATTTTTCTAGATTTCACATGCTGAGGCTTACGGTTGGCTCGGAGTGAAGAAACCTGACCATCACTGGTGAGGTCGAAATTTCACAAATTGAGAGAATTTTTACCAGGCACACTTTGGCAAAAGTTGTAAACGACCGAATTCGAGCCAACAATTGGATTTACAGGGTACAGCTGAATGAAAAGTTTGTTTTTCAGAGTTCAAAAAATTTCGATTTTTCAGAGGAATCAAATATATCAATGCATTCGCCAAGTTCGTGGATAAGAACGAGGTTCATACCACTGCGATGGATAAGAAGAAGACTGAGGTTTTGAAGTCAAAAATCATCCCTTTGGGTTATTTTTCTTTTTTGCAGCGTCTTTTACGTGCTCCGAAAATTGTCATCGCAACTGGCCTCCGACCGCGTTATCCAAACATTGAAGGCGCCGAGTTAGGCAAGAAAAAATCTATTGTTTAAGATTCAGAAACAAGAAAACAACTACTTTGGTTTTCCGTATATAAACAGTTCTATTTTCAGGAGTCACATCGGACGATTTATTCTCGTTGCCCTACGCCCCTGGGAAGACTTTGGTAGTCGGAGCGAGTTACGTGGCCTTAGAGTCCGCCGGACTTCTCGCCGACCTCGGCTATGAAGTCCATTTGATGATCCGTTCGATTCCTCTCAAAGGCTTCGACAGAGTAGCTCGGCTTCATGTATTACTAAAAGCTGAAGTTCTAGGACTGCGTCAACAAAATAGTTCAAAATCTGAAGGCACATGGTGTGAATATCCGGTGGAGCGAAGAAGTTAAAGAAGTTTCCATTGAGAATAATCGCAAAAAGGTGAGAACAGAAGTCCTTATCTCAGGACTACCAATATTGCAGGTGAATTTCAAAAACGCAGAAACGGGTAAAGATTCATCGGAAGATTTATACGATACGATCATTTGGGCTATGGGTATTTCAAATTGATTGGCTTCTAGATTTATTTTCGATAATCCAGGAAGAGACCCAAACGTGAAGACGTTAGGGTTGAAGGACGCTCATGTGCAAACTTCGGCGAGGTCAGGCAGGATACTTGCCGACGAGTTCGACCGTACCACCACCGAAGGCATTTACGCCATTGGCGACGTTGTCGAGGTACAGTAAGATTCTGTAATCAGGAAATGCAAACTGAAATCCAGGGACGGCCAGAGTTGACGCCGGCCGCGATAAGAGCGGGACAGCTTCTCGCTCAGCGAATGTTCGGCGGATCCAAGGAGATCACGGAATATGAGAAAATAGCCACTACAGTCATTATTATCTTCATCTCGATGTTTTACCCTGTACATTTAGGTGTTCACTCCGCTCGAACTTTCCTGCGTCGGAATGACAGAAGAGCAGGCCGTCGCTGCTCACGGAGCTGAGAACATTGAGGTTTATTAAGCTAAGTTCGAAGTTTCGATCGTTCGATTTTCCTCAGCCTCCATTCATTTTCTCACATTATTAATAAAAACTTTATTTCCATTATAAATAGGAAGAAAAATTGGATTTGCTTTGTTTTTTTATGTAACTTTCTCACCTTTAATGGATTTCATTTTCAGGTTTATCATTCGTACTTTACTCCGTTCGAGTTTATTGTCCCCCAGGACAAGGACAGTGAACAGTGCTACCTCAAGGTGAATCTATTGAAACAGGATTCTCAAAAATTATCACACTAAAAATTTTCACAGGTGATTTGTATGAGGAGCAGTCCACAAGAAGTCCTCGGACTGCACTTCGTGGGTCCTAATGCGGCCGAGGTTATGCAAGGCTTCGCGGTGGCTTTCCGAAAAGGACTCACCTACAAGGACATTGTCGACACTGTGGCTATCCATCCGTGTTCTGCTGAAGAATTCGTCCGATTGGTTGTCACCAAAAGATCAGGACTCGATCCTAAAGTCGCAGGATGCTGTGGATAATCTTCTCGAATGAATCAAAGACAATTGAGCCTGTATATAACTATTATTTTCGTTCCAAATACTACCGTGAGAGAAATTACTATTTCTAGGGAAAATTGGAACTAGACGCGTGTAATCTTTCTATATGTGATAATATTTTCGAGTTCGGTTGAGACCTTGTGTTTATTGATCAACGTGAAAAGATGTGTGGACAAAAATAAATATTTTTCTTTTTTTCATACAAAAAAATTCCAAAACTGATGGTTATAAAAAAAGGAAAGCTGTATAATCATATTCTTAAAAAAATAAACATTTTTTTGGACTCGAAATTTTATTTCGCAATACCTCGAGAAGTGCGTTGCGAAACTTCGTCCACGCTATATATGTTATTCTATCAAATTCTCTCGCTTCAAGAAGCTGATCCCTTGATATCTCTAGCTCGGAAGATTAATAAAAATCACAGTTAAGGCTTACTTGAGCGTTCTCCTACTCTCTATATAAAAACATAGAGATAATCAAAATCACATTTTGAGCGTTGATCCCAAAAAAAATTTGAAATAATTTTGATCCTAAGCCTTAGGACCTAAGAACCAAGTTTTAATTTGCGAGAAAATTATCATCTTTCCAAGACGCAAGGCGTGGCTACATGCGAAAACAGTCGTGGGACACATTCTTTTCTCCCGTAAAGAGAACGATAGTGAGACAGAAATGGAATCCCACAACTCGGACATTGGTAACGCGAAACGGACGTGCTCCGGACGTTTCTGGGCGATTCAAGGTATCACTTAAGAGCTTTAAGGCTACTAAAGTGGTCACTAGAAAGGCCCCGACACGTCCGATTCGCGTCCCGTTCGCGTTACCAAGGTCTGAGAACGTAAATAAATTCACGAAAATCTGGTACGTTTGGCGTCAGAGCAAACTTCGTCGTTACTCGGTCAATTGTCATTTTTACTTTTTCTTTTGTTTTTTATTTCTATCTTTTCGAAGTATTTTATATTCCATTTTTGTCTAATTAGACCAAAAATCCTTTAGTAGTTCTGTTAGGCATTGAGTTTGCTCGGCCATACGTTATCAGTTAGATGGCGTGAGTCACTAAAGGGCGCGTTGGTTTCATGCTTTATGTTTTCTCTTGCATGCGTGGCCACGATGCGATTTTCATGTGCTGTTAGTTCTCCCAGGCAGTTTTATGGATAGTTTCTTTCTAAAACAAGGATGTATCCATAGAAACGATTTAATTCGAAAAAGTACTTTTTGTTTTCTGGAATTCTCATTTCTAAAATATCACTTAAAACAATTGAATTTTATTGTTTTATTGCGAAAAAAGTTTTGAATCGAGTTATTTATTGGCATAAACGTTTTAAAACATTTTTTCCGATTTTTCTTTCTTATAGTTCAATCGGAAGTTTTTTTTTTATTTTGTTTTGTCGAACGTTTTCGACAAATTCTTTTTTACATTGTTTTCCTCGCGTTTTTGAAAACTTTCAGCAGATGACGACCGTAGACTCTTGGAACCCCATGAAGAAATTCAAACTGGTTTTTCTCGGGGAGCAAAGTGGTTCGTTATAGAATTTCTGAGCTTTTCTTTAATATTGAGCTCACATCAAAAAATTTTCATTTTTTCCAGTTGGGAAAACGTCAATTATCACGCGCTTCATGTACGATTCGTTCGATAATACTTACCAAGCGACCATAGGAATCGACTTTCTCAGCAAAACCATGTACTTGGAGGACCGGACTGTACGTAGATTTTATTATTTTTTCACAAATGTGTCTAATTTGCCTGTTTAAAACTGTTTATTGCATCTTCAATGTAAGAATACATCTGCAATCGACTTTCATTGATTTCAACTGTGTTTAAACGGCGGCAGGAGCTGTGGCTTAGGCAGAGAAGTTGTGAATTTCGCTCGTAGAACATCAGGTACAAGAGAGGTCGTAGGAAGAAGTACGGTGCCGGCTTTCCAAAGGCCGATGGCAGAGATTTAGCCTTTTCGCTGTATGTAGCTCTAAACGTTATCTACCCCGGAGGGATGAAAGGCTTGGTCGACCTCGGGGGGACTCGAACCTACGACCTTGCGGACGTTAGAAATGAGTTATGCCAGCTGAGCTATGCCGCCCCCAATTTGCCTGTTGATATTTATAAATAGATAGATAAACAGAAAAAAATTTCTGTAAAATTTCTCCTTTTTTTGAATCTGAATGTTTCCAGATCCGCCTCCAACTGTGGGACACGGCCGGTCAGGAGCGTTTCCGATCTTTAATTCCTTCCTATATCCGAGACTCCACCGTTGCCGTTGTCGTTTATGACATCACAAGTAACTTTTTATTTTAGTGAAAAAGAGACAATTTTTCTGGAGAATAAAAAAAAAATTTCTCTATTGATGCTTCTTTTCCCATTTCTAATAAAAAAGTGAGAATTTAGAAATTTTACAATGGTTTTCTTTGTGATTAAGCTGTGAATATCAAATTTATTTTTCATTAAGAGAGTTCAAAAAAAGCCGCGAATTTTCCTCTTGTGCGAATTCAATTCGAAAAGCAAAATTGTGAAAAAAAAATGAAAGTGGACTTTACGGTAAAATATTCCCACAAGTTTTTTATTAATTCATTGATTTCTGGGAAAGAGGTCTTTTATAGTTCCCCCTTTTATTTTTTGATAAAAGTTTGACGTTTACGATTCCTGTGTATTGTAATGAGCCAAGAATCAAATTTTGGCCCAGAAAATCATGAATTGAAAAACGAGATTTCAACTCGATTTTAGTAAACCGTTTATGAATAGTTTTATAATTTTTTTTTCACATCATGAACATTTTCGAAATATATGTCATAATTTGTCTGACAATCGTGGTGATCTAATTTTTTTCTTCCTATGCTCTCGGACTCATCAGTATGTTTAAAATTCCTTCACCGATCATTTTTAAAACTCTACGATCGCACTCATTTTTCAATTGTGAAAGTTTTTTTATTCTGAAACATTTGGTCAATCACTGGTGAATCGAGAGGTAGATACAAGTAGGTACCGGGTAGCAACTCAAGTCAATCGGCGAATGGTAATCGGTGCTCATTTGTATGCGACCGGGTACTATCTCTATGGTACCTGGATAGTACCTGATCGGTATCTGGATGCTACCGGGTAGCCACCTGAAATTCGCGATTGCCACTGGCTGGCACATCGGTCGTTTATATAGCACCCGTGTTTTTTTACACCTTCCCAAGCCTTCCAGGGTCTTATTGGATAAAGCTGAAACAACAAATAACGATCCGGGAAGCAACTCCAGACTTTCCGAAAGAAATCGCGAGTGTCAGGTAGCTACCCGGTAGCTACTGCATCGAACTCCGACCCAGGTACCATAGAGATAGTACCCGGTAGCATACAAACGTCCACCGATTACCATACGCCGATTGACTTTTTCAAAAGTTGCTACCCGGTATCTATTTGTATCGACTTCTCGATTCACCTTTGATAGACTAGGCAAGATTAATTTAAATATGGTTTCTTTTGTTCAGAAAGAACCAGCTATGAAAAAAAAATTGAATGATTCATGTTGAAAGAATGAAATACTGTTCCAGACGCGAACTCGTTCCATCAAACTTCCAAATGGATCGACGACGTCCGAACTGAACGCGGCAGTGACGTCATTATTATGCTGGTCGGAAACAAAACGGATTTGTCAGATAAACGGTAATTTTGGTTTTTTATTTAGAAAAGACGGGTTATTAAAAATATTTACGTTTTTGCTAATTTCGGTTCAAGTTGACTCTTTGACAAACTCGAAACAACTGAAAAAAAGGAAACTCGATAGCCTTTTCTTTATTTTTCGAATTTTGACCGACATAGTTAAGTTTTTGAAACGGAGGATCCACTTTGGGAATTAGCTAGTCTATCTGAGGAGCACGATAAAACATTTAACAGGAATCGAAATTTCTTGGAAATTAGCTTTCAATTTCCGTTAAATAAAATCTTATGATTGAGACAAGTGAGCACTGAAGAAGGCGAACGAAAAGCCAAAGATCTCAACGTGATGTTCATCGAAACCTCAGCCAAGGCTGGTTATAATGTCAAGCAGGTTCGAATTCGCTTCATCGAAAATTAAAAAGTTTCTTTGAGAATCCACAAAAGGAGCTGAAAAGGTTCCACCGATTTTTTCATTAAAGAAAATGAAAAAGACGCAGTATTGAAATGAAATTACCTGCTGATTATTCTAAATACTTTTTTCGAGAGAAGTTTTTGAGGAGCCGTTTTTTCCTAGTTGATACGGTTCCAGTTTCAAGAGATATATTGAAAATGGTATAAGGGAAAAATTGGAAATTTTAATTTCTAGGCTATTTCTGTAAGTTGAATAGCATATTGAATTAGGCAATTTTCCTGATTGTAGTCTAACGTTCAAGAAAATTCCCTTTTCGTTTATTTTTTTGAATCCACATCGATAAATTCTTGTGTAAATGAAAATAATATATATAAATATTTTAGCTGTTCCGCCGTATCGCAAGTGCATTGCCGGGAGTGATCAAAGAAGATCCTGTCGAACCAGGTTCTCATTTTTTTTTTATTGTCCATGTTTTTTCTGCCAATCGATATTGTTTCACTTCAGCGATAACGGTGAGCATCGATCAAACTAAAGGGAGAAAGATCGACACGCCAGAAGGATCCTGCTGGTGTTGAGCCTTTCTTTTCTTTCTACTCGTTTTTCCAATTTTCTGCCGGTCTCCGCGTGAATATTTTCATTCACTGAAATGTTTTAGTTTTAGTTCTATACTTTAACCGTAATCTTTGTCCTGTAACTCGAATGTGCAATTTTTTTCCTTTTGATTGCATAATGACTTAATTCACGTTTCAAATAAGAATTGCTTCTTGCGTGGAAAAGCGACGTGGGTTAAGTTTAAAAGTTTTATTGCTTCTTCCCCTTCTGTCAATATCGAATGTTCACTAGTTTCGGGTTCTGATCGCGAGTCACGAAAAGTTTAACGATCATAGTCACATTCACGTTTTTCTTTTTGATAAAAAAGTTTATTGCTAATTCTGACAGTTATTTTTTTACAGCAATAGAAAAACTACAAGATGAAATATTATTAAAAATGGAGAAGTTGACAAAGTGAGAAAACTCGCTAATGGGAAAAATTGACGAAAGACGCTCATAACAAGTTCGAAAAAGAGGAAACACTTTAAAAGATCAACGGCATGCAGAAATTTACAATTATGAGCTTTTTTAGAAGAGAATTCAGCCGCAATATTGTAGATAACAAATTCTCAGGAAGAAAGCAATGGGTGACATTTCACAGAACGAAAAATTGATGAAGGTTATTAATAACATGGAAAAAATGGCAAAGAAAACAAAACATTGCAGGCTTGTCAGTAAATCAACTGTCCTATGTATTCTGTGAATCTTTTTCAAAAAGGTTAAACAAAATATTGATTTACGTAACAGACCAACATAAACCGAAATATGATAACAAATCTTTACATTATTAATTATTAATAAACTTTATAAGCATTGAGCATGTAGCTAATGGGATTTTTTTTTTAGTTGATTCCAAATTCAACTAGAATGGAGATTAACAGTAACATGATGAGGTCGAGTATTAACCTGATGCATTACAAGGATGGCAAACTGTCATTATTATGAACATTATTGAGATTTCATTAATTGCTTGAAACCTCAGCGACTCACCTAGAAAATAACCAAACAACGATTTTGAAGATTAAAGTTATCAGAGACCGTGCGCATGAAATAAGGAAACGGTTTCTCCAAAATACCAACAAGATAAAACTGAAGCTTTTCTCATATTCCAGTTGCCATGGAAAGCTCCAGCCTGTTTGTTTCCTCTTTCCGACATGTCATACAAACTTAAAAATAGCACGTGAATAAAAGAATATCGCAGAAAAACCGAACCGCTTAAAGTTGCGGCAAATAGAAAATTTTTGATTTTTTTTTTCTTAAGGAATTTCCTGGTGTGGAGAAAACCCCGTTTTCTTTTTTATGCACGCGACCTCGAAAAGAGGGTCAAGCAAGAGAGAACTAGAGAGCATCTGTGAAACTTCAGCAACTCTTACGGCGTTCGACTCTCCTTCCTCGTCTGCAAGTTCCTTGGCAGACGGGAAGCCTCGAAGAACGAATTTCGGTGCGGCTCCGATGGTTGGAAAGCGTCCTAGGCATCTCGCCACGAGCCCTCGCCTCGGTCTTGAAGACGTTGGGATCGCCGTACCGCGACTGGATCTCCGGCAGATGCCAGGCACGACGGCGCGTCGACGTCAACGAGGTGAAAATGGCTTGTTGAGCTCGGACAAGAAGGGAAAGAGGCGGAAACAGACTCAAGGCGCTCATCTGCATCCCATACATCTCCTTGTAACGGAACATGAGGATCGATCCCGAAGGATGAGGCGTCAAGACATCGGTCCTGCAAAACTTCCTTTTTTCGGGATATAGCTGCCCCAATTCTTCTGTTTCCAAAAAAGCTGTACTCATAAGCAGGAAATCAGAAAAAAAAAATTACGACTCTTAACCATCATATTATAATTTTAAAAAAAACCAACGGAAGCAAGTTGAGGAGCATCCGTTTCACAGAACCCGTCTCCAAGTCCAACACGACCACCAGCTTCTTGCAGTTCTTACAACGATCACGCCAAGTCGAAACGAGCTGAATGCAGAGATAATAAAAAACTGTCTTCTTTAAACTGATTTTCCAACATTATTTAAACCTAACTTCGATATAAACTTTCTTATTGAGTTCAATTGTTCTTTATGAGTTTCTTTTTTTCTTTTTGAAAAATATATCCAATCGGCATAGAAAAATCCGAAAGGAGACTCGTTTTTCTCATTGATAAGAGAATACTTGAAGACCACGGAAAATAGCCATCCTATGTACTTTCTGTGGAGATCAAACCATCTGAAGACGATTCGACTCCGGTAAATCGCACTTGTCCATGGCGCCATCGGTCAGAACGACAAGTCTTCCGTCTTGCGAAGCGACTGACAGACCCAGACGGTAGCACGGCTTGTCCACGACGCTGAGCGTGATGAAGGCGCCTATAAAAAAGTTCTTCCTGCAATATTAATTTTTCTCTACCATATAACAGCTCGAAGTGATTCGTGTCAGGATTTTTGAGATTTTGCTGCTCCAAAAAGTCGGCGAGTCGGATGGAGACTTTCACCGTCGAGCATTTCTCACACGTCGTGTGGACGAGCAAATGAACTTCCTCCCGGTAAACGAACGGCACCAAGTACAGGTCGTCGTAGACTATCATCGACTCGTTGAACACTGGAACAGGAGTTCAATATTTCTGACAGAACTTTGAAATATATATTTTTTATACTCAAATCGTCCGAACATGTAATTCTAGCGGCTAACCAGAACGCAAGAACACACAACAAAATAAAGATTTTCTATAATTTAAATATTCGCAATTCATTCGAGCAATATTAGAAGGTACCTTGAATAAAAACATTTTCACCTCCCCGCTTAAAAATATGAAATTTTTCAGATCGCCCTTTTCAGAAAATTCACATCTTTTGTTTCATCTAATTTTTATGCTAGTGCAATTCCAAAAAATTCTTCAAAATCTCAAAAAAATAAAAAATAAAAACTAACTGAAATTGAAGTGCCTTCGAAGGTAACTATTCATGTTGACCTTCACGTATTTCACGTCGAGATCATCATTCGGTAAATATGGAATGAGGACGAGGCAATCCTTCGTATTCGAGAAGACCAGATATTTGTCTGAAAATACGATTCGAACTTGCAAATCCCAAAGAAAAAATCTTACCATTATTATTAGCTAGAAACGGCTCTCCGTAACGGTCGTTGAAGACGTGAAACCAAACATTGTAATCGATTGATTCCGTTGTTTCATATATTCTAAATGAAAAGGAGGACTTTCAGAAAAAAATTGGACTATTGATTGAAAAAATGAATGGTACTATTTGAAAGGAGTGTTATGAGCTTTCTATTTTCAATAAAAACCACTCACTTGCTTTTGACAACAGATACAGAAGTATTGCGGTGGTCGACATGCAGAACGATTTGTTCAAAAATCAGAGGAATCTGCTGGAGATCATCACCGTGATCCCGGTAGACCAAAGACACGATGGCCAGCTTGTCTTCGGAGAGCCAGTAGATAAAAGCGAATCGCGGCACCTCCAAATATTTTTTATCATCATAAAAAAAAAATGAAGCTTTTTAACAAATCTCAGTCAGATAGTAGAAAAGTTATCCACTTTATGTAGGTCAGTGGTTAAGGCGACCGCTCAAAAAAATTTCTCGAAGTTACAGGATTAATTTGGATCTAAGATATAATTAGAACTATGCTATAAAATCCCTTGTGTATCGCAGTTTGATGGCTGCTGCTGAATATTTGAGAAAAATTTCCCTCTCTCCAAAAATCGAGAAGAGAGAGAAGAATCAAAAAAAAAAAAATTTATCAAGTCCGCAAAAAAAAACAGACGTGAAAACGAAGGCCGCTTGTCTCGTAATGCCGCCATGTCATGTCGTACAAGTCGAAAAAGGCCAGAACACGATCCTGAGAAGTATGTACATTGTGCCGACCGCCCTGAAAGTCATTCTGATTAAATCATAAAACTCATGATGAAACCGAAGCGTCGACTCCGAAGCGACCGTCGGGAGACCACTTCCAAACGAAAGTCTGGGTTGTGAATGCGTCTTTCCTGAAAAATTTTCGATGAAACTTTTTTCCACCAATATTTTATGTATCCAGAGAAAAAAACATACCTGCTGACCCAGTGGACGGCGTGCGGCCTGAAGATGTGCCGGTTCGCGGTCGGGCGCAGCTGTCGGACTACGCGCCACGGCAAATCTAGGACGCTAACGGAGGCCATCTCATTCGAGCTGTTCGACGACCTTTCTGAGGTCTGTTCGGTGCTGCTCCGGCTACACGAGGCTACGTTTGGAGTGGTCATCTCTGCTCGCCTTGAAGTTATTCATTTTAATGAGCTCTTTAAAGCGTCTAATGTTTTAAAATGAGAAAAGTGATTTCCCAAAGGCATGCGGAAAAGATACGTTGTGGTAGGACGCAAAGTAATCACTGGAGAAACAGTTTGATTAACATAGGCTGAGGAAACATATTTCCTGCAGAATATCATTCATAATACAGAGATGGAATTTAGAAAAATGCAGATCACCCATTCAACAAACAAAAAATGCAAGAATGCATGCATGATTTATAAAACAAACCATCTCACAACACTCGGAAAAAAAAATAGAAAATCAGCAAGATATAATAATTTTCTTCATTAAAAAAAATCGTCCATAAAAATGGAGAGAAGTAAAGCTAGGTTACTTGTGAATATCTAGATACTTATTTATTTTTTTCTCAATTTTTTTCTGATTTTTCTTTCTTGCCTAAAACGCAAAGGAGAAGAATAGTCGCAAATAACTGCGCTGGCAAACCGACAATTAAGCCTAAAAATTCTTTTGAATATGAAGAGAGTTACGAAACAAAACCTGATTATTAAAAAGTGAAAACGAAAGCAACGAGAGGTAAATATAGAGATTTGAAGAAAAAGAAAAAAAGAAAGTTCGAAGAACAATGGAGAATGAGAACTTATTAACACGCTGTCTCCGTTATTCTCAAAAACAACGGGTACAATAAAAAAAAATATTTTTTGATTTGGATGAAACTTCATCCAGTGCGATAACCCATCATCAGAAATGCGGACGCAAATTTTTGAGCCATTCCCTCCTACTGTAGCCGGGTTACGGTAGGCAGGTTGGCACCTGCGTATCTCAGTATTGAAGAGTTTTTACTAGGCAAGTGATATATCAATCGATAGGTAATCCAATTTCAAGAACTTTTACAGTACATACCATCTTGGGTTACGGTCGAAAAATTTTGAGTTACGGTACTTTTTGTGTCTGCCCAGTCAGTTTTTCGACCACCATGAGCTTGAGCCAGGAGATCCATTCTTCCTAACTTCTCAAAAGATACCTTATGAGAAGCTGTACAAGCTGGTACTAGTTTGAAAAAATCCTAGGTGGACCATCATTTCGAAAAATCGCCCCGAAGGCGCGCAATCGTGGTCTTGCGGCGGCCAAGTGGGTGAAGTCCATGATGCCTGACGGCTCATTCTTCAGAGATCCATTCCAATCTTTGTTTCCATTTTACTCATAGATATCTATTATTGACTTTTATATCAATTTGAGATGTTTTCGGGTTGACCATCATCTCGAAATTTCATTTTGAACCCAAATTTGGCCTGAAAAGGGTCGACACGGCTTCTTTCACGGGATCCCTGACCACGTATGTGACCGTTCTCAACTTTTTTTCTTCCTTAAACATGAACAAGAGTGTCTGAACAACAGTTTTATAACAATCAGAAACCCTTTTTGAGAGGACCATCATCTCGAAATTTCATTTTGAACCCAAATTTGGCCTGAAAAAGGGCCGACACGGCTTTTTCACGGAATCCCTGACCCCGTATGTGACCGTTCTCAACTTTTTTTTCTTTCTTAAACATGAAACAAGAGTGTCTAAACAACAGTTTTATAACAATCAGAAACCCTTTTTGAAAGGACCATCATCTCGAAATTTCATTTTTGAACCCAAATTTGGCCTGAAAAGGGCCGACACGGCTTTTTCACGGAATCCCTGACCCCGTATGTGACCGTTCTCAACTTTTTTCTTTCTTAAACATGAACAAGAGTGTCTAAACAACAGTTTTATAACAATCAGAAACCCTTTTGAAAGGACCATCATCTCGAAATTTCATTTTGAACCCAAATTTGGCCTGAAAAGGGCCGACACGGCTTTTTTCACGGAATCCCTGACCCCGTATGTGACCGTTCTCAACTTTTTTGACTCATGGACCCACGAGATGTAGAAAAACTGATAGTGAACAGTAGAAAAAGCGACGGATCTCTTTTTTTTTCCTCCTCACGACCACATCTCGGCAAAAACAAATTGCAGGATACTTTTTCCAGATTCGCAGACAAAAAAAGAAAAAAACTTTCGATCGAGAAGAGCGGTTGAAGGAGAAAAATTTTTGAAGAGGAAGACTTGTTGTTCAGACACTCTTGTTCATGTTTAAGAAAGAAAAAAAGTTGAGAACGGTCACATACGGGGTCAGGGATTCCGTGAAAAAGCCGTGTCGGCCCTTTTTCAGGCAAATTTGGGTTCAAAATGAAAATTTCGAGATGATGGTCCTTTCAAAAGGGTTTCTGATTGTTATAAAACTGTTGTTTAGATACTCTTGTTCATGTTTAAGAAAGAAAAAAAGTTGAGAACGGTCACATACGGGGTCAGGGATTCCGTGAAAAAGCCGTGTCGGCCCTTTTTCAGGCCAAATTTGGGTTCAAAAATGAAATTTCGAGATGATGGTCCTCTCAAAAGGGTTTCTGATTGTTATAAAACTGTTGTTCAGACACTCTTGTTCATGTTTAAGGAAGAAAAAAGTTGAGAACGGTCACATACGTGGTCAGGGATCCCGTGAAAGAAGCCGTGTCGACCCTTTTCAGGCCAAATTTGGGTTCAAAATGAAATTTCGAGATGATGGTCAACCCGAAAACATCTCAAATTGAAATAAAAAGTCAATAATAGATATCTATGAGTAAAATGGAAAGCAAAGATTGGAATGGATCTCTGAAGAATGAGTCGTCAGGCATCATGGACTTCACCCACTTGGCCGCCGCAAGACCACGATTGCGCGCCTTCGGGGCGATTTTTTTCGAAATGATGGTCCACCTAGGATTTTTTTCAAACTAGTACCAGCTTGTACAGCTTCTCATAAGGTATCTTTTGAGAAGTTAGGAAGAATGGATCTCCTGGCTCAAGCTCATGGTGGTCGAAAAAAACTGACTGGGCAGACACAAAAAAAGTACCGTAACTCAAAAATTTTTTTCGACCGTAACCCAAGATGGTATGTACTGTAAAAGTTCTTGAAATTGGATTACCTATCGATTGTTATATTACTTGCCTAGTAAAAACTCTTCAATACTGAGATACGCAGGTGCCAACCTGCCTACCGTAACCCGGCTACAGTAAGAGGGAATGGCTCAAAAAGTTTGCGTCCGCATTTCTGATGATGGGTTATCACACTGGATGAAGTTTCATCCAAATCA